CAAAACTGGCTGCTCTCCTTCACCCTCCCAAAGTGATTGCGACCTGATGACCCTCTGGCCGTTTGGGCATGTCTGTGCTATCACCTCAGCGAGGCGAGCCAGGCAGTGCAGGGGGATCTATTTCAACTCGAGTGCGGCGAACAAAGCCAGAGAACGAACATCCAGGTTCTAAATGAATTCAATCAACATGTCAGCAGCATGGGTCTATTGCTGGTGAGTTGCTTCATCCAGTGTTTGACTTTCATGAAACTGAAATACCTTAAATACCTTAAGCCTGACGATGGTGTGACATGAAGAAGTATCACCATCTCTGGGCTCAAAATCCAACGATTTGGTTCTACCTCGAGGTTCAGGGGAATGTGGTTGGGATCCTAGATGAAGCCTCGCCACCTGTAGAATTTCAATCGCACCACTGTCCAAAATGCAAGGGAACAATGATGGGCTATCTTCCTAAATTCGACCATGGGTCATTTCATATTTCCATTCATTTCCGATTTCTCAAGTATCTGCAGAGACATTGACTATAATTCTTTGGGGACGCTGTGAAATGGTCAAGTTCCAGTGGTTCCCTGTGTCGGCTTTGGGGCCATAACGAATGGAGAAGCTGCAGATCTCTGGTTGACATAGATGTTCATCCCAAAGATGGTATAGGTATTCATCCAGGATATGAAAATCTATGGTATCTTCATATTAAAGAACCTGGGTATTCAGCGAGATGGTTGATGTTAATCCCATATCGGAGCCATCCGGGTGACGGCTTTCTCTGCTGCAGCTCCGTGAAGGTGGCTTCTCTGCCTGCCGTGCAAAACACTCCCGGCGCTTGACCCCCAAAATCATGCAGTTAAAGACATGATCTGATTTCATTCAACCAGCTACATGGCTATTGGTCAAAACCCTGGCACCTAGTGAACCCCAAAATAGCTGGTAAATGGATGTTCACCCATTAGAATTGATAATAATAGGTTTTGACCCACCCCCACATAAATATCATCCAACCATCAACATTGACCTTCAACCATCAACCGAACCAACCGAAGAACACCAAACAACCACAGAAGCAAGCGAGTTCAACCCTTACATGCATCACATGATGCCTCAGCTGCTTTTGCTTCAGCCTCCGCCTTGGCCTTTTCTGCCTTTGACGGATGACTCTTTGTTTCTGGAAAGGTGAGATCCCTGGAGGATCCCGATGGTTGAGGATATTGCAGAATTCATTCTGTGAAAGGTTTGTATTTGAGTCCGCAAGGGTTTGAGCACATAAATGATTCGGTCAGCAGGTTTGAGACAAATCAGTGTGAATCGAGGGTGCTCTCAAACTGATTCGTCCAATTTTGGCCTGCTCCTCCATCTCTCGTTGCTTCTCTTTCTCCTCAGTACGCAACATGGCACCCTAGTTTGGCAGGAAAACGCCAAACGAACTTTCTGACTTTGCTGGAGTGATCTGAGGTTGGCGAAGAACAGTGGCTACCAATGTGCTCAAGACCCTTTGTTGCTGACTAAGCAAGCTTGGAACATCCCTGGCTTCGGGCCCATGCCTCACACTCGAATCTTAGAAGCAATCGCAGCAGCTGTGAAGCCAAGTCTCTCTTTCTCTTTCTCTGTCCTTCTCTTTGTCCTCAATGACATTGACTCACCCAGCTGCGAACTGGTGAATGTGAACTATGCAGGGAAGAATTTCTCATTGACGTGGCAGCAAAGCAACATCATGGCGCTTGGAGGTATTGCCCCTTGAAACACATGACAAACGTATATCATTATACATTCTTTATATGGTAGTCTCATTTAGAAGCCAGGAAATCTTCATCAAGTGCCTTGATTTACGGTCATGGACAGTCCGCCACAACGCAACTTGTAAAACTTCCCCGGCAATTTTGTCCTCCAGAATTGACATGTCTATGCTGTTTAAGTAAGAGCTTTAGCTGATGGAATTTGCAACCTTTTACAAGCTATTTCAGGAAATGATTGCAGATCTGGGGTTCAGCCCTGGAAGTATTTATTGTCAATATCCACGTTGCATCCTTGATAAATCCCAATTGTTGATTCTCCCTGTGATCCTAATGACCAGTATAGAATCACACATGGTCCTTCTTGTCTTTGTCCTTGGTCTTCTCACGGTCTTTATCTCGGTCTTTGTCCCGGTCTTTATCTCGTTCTTTATCTCGCTTCCGGTCCTTGTCCTGCCGAGGGAGGCCCTGAGAGTATGAGGGTTCTCTACAACAGTAAATATGCTGGAAATTTTGGAAAGGACGGTGTGAATCGTAATCTCAAGATCTTCCAAAGATCATTCTGCTTTGCAGCAGAGCTCATGTAGCAGAAAGCTGTCTACTTCATGTATACATCTGAAGGATTTTGGCAAGGTGACCCAGCCCTGAAGACACATTTACATTCTCTATCCTTAAAGTAGTCAGCAACTTGAACATTGTGGCTGATTGCGGCGGGCACATCAAAGATGGCAGCAGCCAGAAATTAAGTTTTCAACGAATTGTAGCCCGTATTGGCATGAATCACAGCCCAAGGACTGCCCAAGCTGCTCAAACCAAAATGCCTAGCTTACAGCCTTGACCCAGCAAGAACATGGCCATACCTTGTCTATTCTTGTCCAAACCCTGAAAATGTGACAGCTATTGGAATCCCCGCCAAAATCACCATCACAATTCAGGATGGAGATGGATGAAGATGGACATAGCCCATAGCCCTATATCATATCACTGATATCTCACTGATGGTAGAGCTACAGATGACAAGATCATCCAGAGCTTCCCAGGGCCTTGTCACGGCTTCGATCTCGATCTTTGCCACGGCGATCCCGATCCCGGTCCTCCATGGGCGGATCGTCGATTTCGCTTCGACAAGGAACCAGACATGGACTGGTCATTGAGTCATTTTGTGGATCTAAAAACCCAACGCCATGGATAATGCATGATGGTCCATGAATTATTAATAATTTTTGATAATTGATGAATCATTTTTGGGATAATTGATGAATCATTTTTGGATAATGCATGATGCCAAATGTGCCCGGCGCAAACGCGAATGGTTCCGGATCACTCCCTCTGTTCTCTGCTCAACTGGGCAAGTGTCGATGAACCTGGTGGATTCTGATCCGACTGTCTGGAATGAGAATGGATCATTGCCGTACCTCCTCCAGTCTGTTTTACTTGCTGGAACCAAATCAGCACGGAGAGCCATACATCCAAACAGGCCACAATACACGGCCGACCCATGTCCTTGTCCCTGTCCTTGTCCTTCTCCTTGTCTTTGTCCTTGCCTCAGGGCAGTTTCCCAAAATCCGAAGCCTGCTTCTCTGCAACCAAGCACTTCTGTTATGACTGCAAAGCCTAATGGCCTCCCAGCGAATCTTCCCCCTTTCTCAGTCTCTTCAGCCCATTCTTGATTCCCCCCGAAAATCCATCTGCCCCTCAACATCGCTATGGTCATTGTTACCCAACCCCAAGCGCGGTGCACTGCTTTCTGTGTTCAACATCCACACCAGCTGCACATGTCGTGCCACAAAAGAGGACTAGGTCAGTCTCTAAGCGTCAGTCAGCCTTGCTTTGTTGGCATGACAAAACTGGGTAGTGAACCGCGGCCCTCCTTGGCAACATCCGGAGGAACATCTTCACTTTAGTCACGTTAGGTCTCAAAAATGAGACGGTTCACCAAACCACTGCAGCACATTCCATGGTTGATACACCTTCCATTGCCAGAGGGACCTGTTTGGGCACCAAAGCTGGCGGGAAAGCAACTGCACCCAAGATCAGTTTTAGAGGAACCCTGAACCGATAGCATTGAGGTGTGCCAACTCCCAAACCTATAAGCTCTAACCCGGAGGAAAACACACCGATTGACAACCACAAACACATGGCCAGCAATGCGGTACAACCGGTGGCATGGAAAGTGCTGCGAAAAACTTGTGCTGAGCTCGCCCTGTGCAAGCTTTGCACGGTATAGATACGCAAATCAATGCACGAAGCGGAAATTGAGCTAAGTTAATTGCTGATATCCGTTGTTTACATCTGGCTACTCGGCAAACTTTTGGAATCCATTGGTCTCAAAATGTCTCTATGATCGTTTGATGTTTTTTTTTGGTTCTCTCTCTCTCTTTGTCCAAAGCTGGGACACCTTTTTGGCGCCATGAGAGCCTGCACGCTGGGAGCTGTCTGCATCGGCGAACCAGTTCCTTGGGAGTCTTTGAGAAACCACGAGGTGAGATCCTAAAGGGAAGAAGTCATGGTTTCAAAGTTCCATGCTTGGATCAGATTTGGGAGCTCACAAGATTCACAAGTCACAAAAAATACCATTAACATTTGTAAATTTTGTAAGGGATTTGGAATTTGGAGTTCCCAAGTTTTCACTCTACTTTGCGTGAAGGTTTCTGGCAGGTCTCCCGGTGTGCAGGTCACACAACTCCCAAACGCGGCTCAAAAGTTCATTGATCCACCTGCCTGCGGCGAACGCTGTGTGACACCACTGAGGAGCTTAAATGCTATGTCTGTGTACATTGACCATTTATTCCTGCAATACCGCAAACATCCACAAAGACATAGACATCAGGTAACATGAAATTGCATCTACTGCATCTACTTTACAGCTGGGAATAACCAAATTAGATCAGCATCGAATCCTTTCCTTCGACTGTGGTGAGATGGGTGTTTGCACCACCTCGCTCCATGGGACACTTCCTGTTTCGCCGTGAAAAGATACCCTTCGAAGGCTTCGACAAGTATTTCATTCCGGAGGATCACAACCACCCTCGAAGATATTGAGTTGCTGTTCAAGTCCATCACTGGTGATTTAATCCATTCCACACTCTTTCTGGTCACGGCAACCAATCATCCCAAGTGTGGTTGAAAAGCAATAAATATTAGACATTTTTAAACCCAACCAGATCATCATTGAGAAGCATCACAAAGATTTGAACACCCCCAACCAACCAGATCACCATTGACATCTTTGGATTTTTTTTGTTACTCCAACTGGAAACATCGTCGCCTCGACGCTCATTGAGGCACTTGGGTGAAGCCTGGCAGCGCTGGCGGAGAACTGGCTGCCCCACGTTGTGCACATGAGAGGTATGGCTTGGATCAAAGATGACCAGCCTGATTGAATATGTTGATCTACTGGTTTGATAATTATGTTCGATATATAATATGATATGATATAATATGTTGAACATTGATGAACTACTCGATATTGAACTGGCTACTGAAAAAAACATCAAAGTCGGCTACTAAGAAATGGTATGGCAACAACTCGAAACTCACAACTTTGGATATTTTGACATAGCTTCATCCCATAAAACTGGGAACATCTTCACAGATCCTCTGCAGCAAGATTTCATGGCCTGCTGGCACGGCAGGCACTGCAGGTCGCGTGAGGCCAGCCTGACGTGGACATCAACTTTAGCATCCTTTGTATCCTAGAAAACATGCTTTCACTCCATCTGCAGTGAAAACGGCTACAACCAATGCACCTGAACAGTCTATACTGAGAAATTGCCTTGGGCACCCTGATGACCACAATGCATAGGTTCGCATCAAAGATAGGAAACCACATACATGGGAGAACTTCAGGCCCCCATTTTATGGCATGAGGGGAAAAGACTGATTTCTGGGTCTTGCTATGATCGTGTCCATGCGATACCTTTGCGCCTTTGGCCAAATGTTGAACATTGCTGAAGTATAATTAGTCATAATTGGATACTTAAGTCACTTAAGTCACAAAAAAGTCCAATTTCATCAATTCCTGCTTTCCGTTTCAGTTTCATTCCAGATCCCTTCTTACCTGCATGGCTGCCATCTCTTGTGGGGAGAGCACGCCGTCACCGTTGGTGTCCAACTGAGTAAACAAGTCCTGGAGGTCATCTGGAGGTGGATTCGACCAGGCTTTTTTTTGGGGTTCCACGGGGGATTGCGCAACGAAATCATGCGGTAAAATGGGTATAAACTTGGCATTTTATCTGGTTTAACACATGGAGCTGTGCCATGGAGATTACCAATGATGTGGCAAAGCCCCCCGTGAAGAACTGCGATTTTTGTTGGTTAAATCCACGTTGATTGCTGAGTTACCAACGTTTTATGGCTGATTGAGTGGGTAAACGCCAGCAATGGAGATGACAAACACTGTGGTTAAACCGCCAATTAAAAACCCATGATTTCAGGTTTATCAAACTTCACAAATGATATCAAACCAATGTGGTAAACCCCGTAAAGCATCCCCCAAAATCACCATAAGTTGCTATAAACCATCCCCAACTGGTAGGTTTACGATTTTTTTCTTTCCCACATTAGGTGGTTTTTTCAACCACATTTGGATTTAGTTCAAAATAATACAACATTTCCATCAGAGTGTTTTCAACCCCATCTGTTCTGATTTCCTGTTGAACGGTTTCTAACAGCGGTGTCCTGTGGTCCAGTGGCCACTGGAGCCGCCTGTGCCTCAGATGCGGCGATAGAATTAGGTCTCAGGTGAACTCTACGGTTTGTGAATATGAATATGGTAGATATATCGAACTAGTTCATGGGGTGAAACTAAACCCACAAAAGTTGGGGGGCACCACCCATGAACCGAGTTTCTCCCCAATCCCCCCCATCCACATCCTCCGTATCCCCATGGCCCAGTGGCATAGGTCATTGGTGCCGGCTGGTACTGGTACTGCGCGCCGGTGTAGACCGGAGATCCGCCGTAGACCCCAGATCCAGCGTAGCCAGAAGCGACCTGCTGCGGATTGCTTGGCTGTTCAACAAGAACAGGGGGGTTAATGGGAAAATGGGGAGGTTAACGAGTTCAACCAACAAAGACACTAGCGTTTTAGCCAACAAAATTGGGAGTAGAAGGAATCATGACCAACAATAACAGGATCAAATGGGGCAGAAGGAATAATCACATCCGTGGGATATTTTACTGAATATCACATTATTCTTTGTGTCCACAGTAAAAAGTCAAGCCATTCGGCAACCCAAGGTTTAGCCAATTTCATCGGCCTTGCCATGGGGTTCCCTGATGTATTGAAACATGGCCCATGTCAACGCCATCCCTGGTGACTTATGATGATCTGGGTTCTGCCTCAATCATCCCAGAGATCAGGGATGGAGAGCCCCTGAAAGTCAACTTCAACATTTTTTGAAAACGCAACCTGCTCCAGATTCACCATTTTTTCTTCGGAAAACACCTTTTTGCAGGGTAAGGGGACCAACTGAACATCTTTTTCACAAGAAATCCGCAGATTGGGGGCCCCACTGGTGCAGCACCCATTGATCGGATAGAGCCCGCCGGAGCAGCGACCTGAGAGTGCGTGGCAGATCTGGAAGATTTTTGGGATTTAACCACCCAAAAAAAAGGAATTTCAGCATCAACAGTGGTAGTTTAAACATCATTTAAGTGTAGGTGTGACCAGCAAAAAAAATGTAGCCTTTCAAAGTTGGGATGCGCCCATCCAAAAACGTCACTTTGCGGATGCTGCGTAGGTGTATGCTTGGCTCTTGCAGAGCATGTCAGAGAGGTCAATGAAGCCATGAAAAATAGAGCTAATGGGGATTTAACTATATATATAGCTAATTAAGCAATCGCATTTTGCTATACGTAAATAAATATATATATATAATTATATATATATATAAATTTAAAGGGAGGTGGCAATCCAAAGTAGGCATTTGAGAAGCAAAAATCGTGATTTGACTGCCAACCAAGGGGTTGAAACAAGCAAACTTAGGAGCTTCAACCAACGAAAGAGGCTTCGTATAAATATCACACATGAGGAGAAACCACAGTTATCCTTTCCAGCAGATATAATACCCACCAATCAACACGTGGTAATTCAGTAATTGGCCAACCTCAATGAGATTAAGGACTTATAAGGACTTAGAACCATTCGAATCAGTTTCACTGCACCTCATTTTCCAGGCCAGAAACCCACCAACAAGAAGTGGATTTTCACATTGAACACATGCAGACTAATGACTAATCGGGTTGATGGGAATCAACTTGATCATGGACAAAGACACCAACAACATTGGAAATATAACATAAAAATAGACTGTAGCTGGGTCTTTTTCCAGCAAACCATGTTTGATTACCAGAGAGTCATATGAAGTATACCCTCTGGTAATTTAACATAGCTATAGAAAATGGCCATTTATAGCGGATTTACCCATTGAAAATGGTGATTTGCCATAGTTCTGTTAGTTTACCAGAGGGTACCTGTACCATATCATATCATTATCCCATTATCCCCTATTAGTCACCAGCAAAATCCTCCACATCTTTGCCATTTTGTTGGTTCGCCTGCGGAGCCGCTGTCATCAATGGGGCCGATTCAGCTGGTGCCTGGCAGTAACTTGACCAATGGATGTGTCGTGGGAGAGTGGACATGTTCTCCGAGGACTTTGGAGGTTTTGGGGTGGTTGAAGCTTGTTGATGTTGACCCCCGCAGACCCTTTTGACAACACCTTGATTGGTGATTGAAAAAATAAAAACTGACTTTGGTTTTTTTTGTCTTCTTGAAGATGAACAGTTAAAGTACTTGAAACTATCAAAGACAATGACCCACTACTTACATATTGGGGCAGTGGCACATATTGCGGCCAGGAGACCGCTGCTTCAACGTCCTTCTTGGCAGACACCTGCGCCGCCACCAGGCGATTTTTGATGCAGGACCTCTTCGACGACACAAACCGCCCCATTTTTTCAAACGCACCCATCTATTGTGACTCAAGGTGACACGCATGTATATATATATATATCATGTGAGCTGTAAAAGTTATGTAATGATATAATTATATAGATACTATAATATATATGAATATCATATACATAAAAAAACAAAATATATTATCATACTATATATGTATATTTTTTTTGTGATCCAAGCCAGGTGTTTTGAAAAGCCGCTCCTTCTGAGAGCGCTTGGAAGACTTCTTTCTGGTGCTGCAGCCTCGGGAAACCCATCGAGGGACATTCGTAGGATCCATGGTGCTGGTATATATGCTAACATAAATGGGGTATATTGATGGTAAATGTTAACATATATGGCATACATGGATCCTATGGGTATGGATATAGTTATCATAACATATAATATTGTGTAAATATAGTATATATATAACTATATTATGTAAATATATTATATAGTTATATATATATATGCATATTAGATGTGTAAAAATTGTCTTGGAAGAGTTTTGAGTTTCGCCAGAAAGCCAAGAAGAATGGACGTTTTGCAATGACCACATATACGGTATAGCTACAGATTGATATAGGTTGCTGGGAATCAAATTAATATCATGACGTAATCGATCCGCATAGGAACATCACAGAAACAACAGCAATCCACCACAGTGCTGCTTCATAGGTGTCACTTGGGATCCCATTTGGGATGGGAAAACAACATCTGATTGAAACCAGCCAATGGATCCAATGGATCTATGGAGGATCCAGCAACCACTTTGGTCTCCAAAAAAATGAACCCAGCAGCATTTTTGGACCCAAGTACTGGCAATTGCCACGCGGATGACACAGGAAAACTCGATGCAAAAAGAGGAGTCCGCAGCGTCGCAATCAAATTTGATAGCAAGATATCCTTCAACTTGTGCCTACATAACATAGCTATTGGAAATGGCCATTTAGTTCGTTGATTTACCTATAAAAAATGGTGGTTTTCCAGAAACCAAATCAGGAAATAGTAAACAAACAGTACAAAAAACATAGAAAAAAAAGAAACCAATGGCTCTCCAGAAGCTCCGCCACAAGTGACAACGTTCCAGAGAATTGGTGGTACACACTCCGTACAGATCCACATTTTTGATGACCCCGTTGCAGACTAGGTTGGGGGATACGTTGGCCATGTAGAAGGCCATATAGATTGGGAATAAGATCCGCTTTGCAAACCCGCATTCTCTCGAAACCACTATGGTTGAAACTCCAATTCTGAACTTTGTTTGCTTAAAGCACACTTTTTGGGGTAACATCCCCAACCCAGAAGTGCCAGTAAATCCCCGATCACATCCCGAGAGTGGTCAGTTGATTAGCATCCCCATATTATCCATAATCCACGACAAACCAGGTAGTATAAACTCCATGTCATAAGCAAATGTCATACGCAATAAACCATCATCTATCAACTATATTCCCATTTTTTTGATGGCAAAAACATCTAAAACAATGGTTTTTCACTGCCCTTGCTACCATTGCCATTGCTTCACCGAGAGACAAATGAAGGACAAGATGCACAGGCCGCAAAAAGCGATGCCCAAGCCGATCAACACCCAGGCCCACCTTGGTACAGATTCACTCAGCTCATCTGGAATTCAGATGGAATATCTTCTGGTTGGTGGCTTGAACCCCTCTGAAAAAATATTAGTCAGTTGGGATGATTATTCCCAATATATGGAAAAATAGTCCAAATGTTCCAAACCACCAACCAGCTTGTATTGATATGTGTCTTGTGGGTGAATTGTGAGGAACATCATCTTCCAGTGTGGTCAGCTATTCTTCCAGCATTCCATTTTGACTTTCTTTGGAGGGTTTCCTGTGGGGGGTGTGAACAGCTCATCGAAGATCATCACGTTGCAGTGAGCCGATGCCAATAGATTTCCAACGAAGTTTGGATAACACAAGCGGCCCTGGACCATGGAATTGCCCCTCAAGAATTCTTGGAGATGCAAATTCCATCTGCCAGCCATGGTGATGTGATAAAAATACCACCATTCAGATTGTGACTGTAACCATCCATCTAGCCAAAAATAATAATGTTTCAGATTCTTTCACCATCCAGAAGCCATCAAGATTCAATTTTTTGAGGCTTTGTCTGAAAATATTCGGCACCCTCAATTCAAATGGGTTATCATCCCGTTTTTCCATTGCCATTTTGGTGGTAGAAACCCTCTGATGATTCAACCAGCAGCAATGGAAGGAATCGCAGCATCAATGGGTGAATCATCGAACTGGGACAGTTTCATTCATCCCATAGTAGCTATGATAGTTTACTGGAGGCTATCCATATGAAATCTCTATTGGATAGCTATGAACTCTACCATAATTTAAGTCTCATTGAATTCTATGAAATCTCTATTAATCCCATCAAATCCTACCATCAAATCCCATGAAATACAGCCATATTCGCAGAAAACACGTGTGCCGAGACGCCAGGGGAAGCTCGCTCCGGTGCTGCTATTTAAGGTCTGGCAGCGGATGCACTGGGAATATGATCCTTTAATCCCATCGGTATGAAACACCACCATTGTATGGTCCCAAATACCGACTCAACCGCGTAAATCCATCCTAAACCATGGTTTAATATTAGGGGGAAGGGATTAATATGGTACATCGTATATATATATATATACACATACATATATATATATACATACATATATATATATACCCATTTATACATAGCTCTCATGAATGAGCCTCTAATCAAAGCCACATATCGATGGATTTTCCCACTCTTAGACCAGAACACTTCGGGGATTTCCCCGGCCATGTTTGATGTATATCCCAGTCGTCCCAGTCGGCAGACAGTGAACAACCATTGGTCTCAAACCCACACATAAATTGGACATATCCATTGGAAAAGCCCAATAATGCAAGGCGAATCTGAAACCGATGGTCACTTGAGATGCATTTGCTCAAGCTGATTATAATGCCTTTGGCCCCAATCTGGAAACTAGAATTCGTGGGAAGTTTTCAGAAAAAAACAAAAAACGCAAAGAAATGAAAGAACTGATAGAATCATAAATGTCATAAATGACAAGCCCTCTCAGTGCTCATTTCCCTCACAAAAAAGGGAGTTCCATTGTTGTACGATTTCCGCCAAAAAGGATGCGGGGCCCTGCGGTGCCCCGTGGCACCTCGACCACCTTTCCCACTTTTCCACTCTTCACCTGAGCCGATGCCCAAGTCTGTGCTGAGGTTTCCATTTTCGGTAGATGAATCATCTACCCTTTAGCTGGTGAAATGTTAGGAATATGTCTTTAAATGCACCCAGAAAACAAGGTGAACACAACAAACAACTTCTGATTTGCAGTACATGCACGTAACAGTTTGAAAAAGTGCTATGGCTGCAGTTTTCATTACCATGTCTGCTTCATATCCTATGTTTCGCTGGTTTTTTCGACCATTTTGAAATGGTGATACCTCAGCAAACATCACACATGGTTCCCACCGGCTCGTCCCACTTAACCATCAAACAAGCAGCCTCTTGATGTAGGCAATACTACCCCAACAACCATCAAACATGTTCCAATTCAGATTGAATACGCCCATGTCAGGATAGTTAAACCAGGTTACATTCCCAATTTTTGATGTGAACACCGACCGAATTTTCGCCTTTTCATATGCAAGTCAAATCCATTTTTCGAAAATTTGGATGCTTAAATTGGCTTAAATCCACAATTTTGATTGAACCCTCTATAAAAAACCATAGTTTTGCATCCCGTACTGGTGATTATGTCTCAAATGATGCGTTGGTTAAATCCCAGACTTTCCGAAATTTGGATGGTCAAACCCCCGCAAATCCCCCATGGGTATTGACCCCGATTCCTTTGTACCGCCTGGTTGGTCGGGATTTCCATGGGTTCTGATCAGCCCCAATATATTGGATAGTATAATCCCCGAACTAATCACCAACCAACAATCATTTGTCAGCTATATCCACTTATATCCAGATGTTTTGATGATAACAATCCATATTTTCCATGACTATAATATAATCATGATTTATCATCAACCAACAGGGGTTTACCCTCTGGTAATTTGTTACATAGCTATTGAACATGGCCCAGTCGAAATAGTTCATTTTCCATTTAATAGCATGGTGATTTTCCCATCGGTTTTTTGTTAACGTTTACCAGGGGGTAACTATGTATATCTCCCAATTTTGATGCCAAAAAAACCACTTTCTTTTTTACCAAAAAAAACAAACGGTGGCCTCGTCCACCACCGTCTCCACCGCAATCTCATCGACGTCCCCGGGGCACCTGCCGAGGCGAAGAATTTCCATGGTCTTAACATGTCTTAAGCATCGGAGAACCACTGGATTTTGAGTCCAAAAACTGGACTTTCGCCCCTCTTTTTCTGGCTGCTCAGCAAATCCCCATCGCCAGTTGCCTCACAGGCCCGCTGACCACACCATCGAAGGTCACATTCCTTGGCGCTATTTCTCTCATGCCAGGGGTGTCACTTCCCAAGAATATGGAGATTTCATTCGGTTTCTTAATGGCTGGCGTACCCCCAAGTCACCATAGGTTTCAATACAAAAATGTTCGAATGACTTGGATGATTTGGGGTACCATGACTTAGGAACCTCCTAAGTCATGGGTGTACTTCCGCCCAGCATCTTGATGGCAGTGGAACTTTGAAGCCAGCATCCTCGCGCACAACGGAGAGGGAAATGACAAGGAAACGCAAAACGGATGTGATTAACAAACGTCAGGCTCTGTGGATGTCCATCAATGCACATCTCATTTTGTCTGCAGAAAAATATATCACTGATTTCATATGCATATGATCAGACAAGCAAAACAATTCCGACACAAGAAACATGCGAACAGGCGATCCCTGCGGCCCCTCCCAGTGCTTCACGCACGGAGTCCTTTGGTATCTGGGTACCTCAGGGTGCTGTGACCAGCTTCAAAACATCTTGGTCAATTGGGGATGGGTCAAAACCCTGGTACCTAGTGAACACCAAGATAGCTGGGATTTATGGATGTGAATAACCCACTAAAAATGTATCTATAGGTATTGACCCATACCCAATTGGAAATCAGGCCACCAAGGTCAAGGTCAGTGCAGCTGAGGTGCCACGTAAAGAAAGCGCAAATGTCTGTGCGTTTGCAATTGTCCTGGTGAAAGTGGGCCAGGAGATGTTGGGTACGCGTTGGCAATGGCCCACCATTGATATTTCACAACAAAAATCTGTAAAAGCCAATCAGTCTCCTGCTTCTCACAACAAAATAGCTGGCTGGTTGGTGGTTTCAATCCTATACCTACCCCTCTGAAAAATATGAGTCAATGGGAAGGATGACATCCCAATATATTATGGAACATAATCCATTCATGTTTGAAACCACCAGCTGGTTTTTCTGGATGTTTACACAGGTTAGCCTCTGGTAATTTAACATAGCTATTGAAAATCACCATTGAAATCGTGGATTTTCCCATTGAAAAATGGTGATTTTCCATAGTTATGTTAGTTTACCAGAGGTTAATTAACCTATGGTTACTGGGAGATCCTTTAAGGGATGTTCATATCCCCCTCCAAACATTGACCCATCTTCCCAACTCCTGGCATTCCTTGGCATCATCTGTGGTAGTGTGCTGCTCCCTCGGGGACAAACGCTCCAAACTAATGCCTGGTGTGTCAATGTATGATGTGTCAATATAATATGATCCAATGATCCAACTTTCGGCATTTCCAGTAGAATCATCCAGTACTTTTGGATCATCTTTGGGATCCCGAATTTTTTCAGTGATCAATTTAGGGTGTATGAGTTGAAATGAAGTGGACAAAATCACCAACTCCAATTCCAATATCTTGTGATGATTGTGATGGAAAAAAATGCACACTTCGAATCAAAGATCGACTCTTGATGGGAAATTCACCAGTGTAACCGGGGTGGATCCCTTCCCACATCGTTGGATTCCACTGGTACGAGGTCCATGCCCGTTCACCAGGTCGCTGTAGCCTGGCAGCGAAAACGTCCAATTGTCATCTGGCAATGTGTCCCCAAAAAAGGGGTCTTTCACCCGTTGGGAACTTTTCTCTCTTTTTGGTCAGACTTTGTTGTATGATTAAAAACATATATGTCCATCCAACAATGGTTGGTGCCGAATGATTGAGGCACCCTCATTCTGTTTGCCGCCAAGCTGGTCTTTGGCCACGGAAATTGACCGTGATATATCCCACTTGGATCCATTGGGTAAAAGTGACCCCTTTGTACCCTGGCGTTGACATCAACAAATTCAACGGAATAGATGATGCTGGGATACTGCGCTGTTTGGTGAGTTCAATCCCCCTTAAAAAATAGAAGTCATGGGGGATCATCAGTCCAGGTAGGGATGAACATTTAAACATATTCGAACCCAACAACCAGCCTACATATCTCATCAGTTTTGCCAGTTATACCCAGCTATATCTCCAACTTGGGATAGAAAAATACTCATTTTGCTTCTTCGTTCGTGGAGTTTTAACCCGCTGCCATACGGCTCTTCAGCATTGCCGCACTATGTTTCGCCTGTACCCACCGTGGCACAGACCGGGGTCTCACCCGTGCAGGGCACCTGCGATGGAGTGATGTAACGTGGAGCACAAAGAACGCCAATCGGTGGAATATTTTTCCTACAAAGAACTTGGGATTTTCCATTTTTAGCCTAGATTGTCAAAGGACACATGCGCTTGCAGAAAACAGTTGATTTTTTGGTCTGAGAACATATTCTTCTCTTGGGTGCTTCTGATCTGAAAACACCTGTGAATTTGGGAGAGAGGGGCACATTCCTATGGCGGCTGATTACATGCGAAGTTTTTAACAACCCAAGTGTGATGTCACGGAACTATTCACGCAACTATTTCTACTACAACTGTTGGCTTACAGATTTCCCCAAAATTGGGAGATATTGTGATATATTGGGGTGATCCAAGATATTATCAATCATTCACCATACCACCCAATCTCTGGGATATATCTTGGAATATAGAATATAGATACCTCATACCATATAAAATGCATATAGCATATTTACCAAATAAGATAGAATGATATACTAATCCATGATACATCAACCATGAACCATACCACTCAATATGGGATACCATCACATACCCACTAATCATACCATCATATTCCCATCATATTCCCATATATACTAGTACCACATACCACCTAACATATTGACCAACCAAATACCAATGGTTCAATGGATATTCCCACATAGATAGATATATATATATATATATATATATACCATATTGGGTTAATCCGGTTAATCCATGATATCAACGATTCATCATACCAGCCAATCTCTGGGATATATCTTGGAATATAGATTTTTTTGATACCACATACCAATCCATATAACTCACATATTTACCCAATATCTGGGATACCAACCATCTCCCGTTCCTTTTCGCAGATTCTGCAGATTGCTCAACGCCCTTCGCGGCAGCACTTCCAGCAGCTCCGTCAAGGGCGCCATGCGGCGGCCCAAGGCACAGGCGTCCGCGGCGGCGGCGTAGGTGAGGACCTCGATGACGGGGAAATCCATGGGGAAACCGTGGAAAAACGTGGGAAAAGCCATGGGGAAAAGCCAAAACTGGGAGAATTCATGGGAAAAATTGGGGAAAACTGGTTGAAGCCTGGGACAGATGGGAGAAACCCAGGACAAAAATGGGGAACCGCAAGCAAAACAATGCGGTTCCAAGAAGTCTTGGGCGGAAAACACCAATGAAAATGGAAGAACAAACATGTAGCTGGGGGTTAAAGGCCAGCAAAACTGGGTGATCTGGGTGAAGTAGCAACACACTTGGGGATGTGCCGTGATATAAGCACTTGGAAGTGGGCTGGAAAACGTTTGATACTGGGGTTGTTGAGCAGATGATGCTGTCCCAAGTGGGAAGCAGCCCAGCTCCAGCCTTCTAAGGATCCTCTGTTTCCAGTTGACTTGAGAGTTGCCCCCATCAATGTAAGATATGGGTTTGTCCAGACATGGTGTGACCCCAAATGACAATTTTCATGGAGAAGATGATTTTCTTTTCCCATTTTGAGGTGTCAACCCTTCTCAACCTTAGCATCGTTGCCATGCCCGGTTCTAGGGACGATTGCGGCTGGGGCACGTCCACGGGTGCAAAGGTCTCTTGCAGATTCTGAAAGAAAGCCAGGGCCAGCTGCCACTCTTCCGCCTTTGACCGAGAGGTGTTGGCCCCGAAAATGTGAAATGGGATAGTTTGGGATCCTAAGAATGACCAATCTGTGCGGGTCGCCAAGCAACGGGCTTTGGGCAACATCGCAACTCAACATGTACTGATCAGGGAATTCTAGATGATTATCCGTGGGTTTATCCCTATGGGGTCTCATGCCAATATGACGACTTAAAATGGATGGCTGGGGCCCTATGACCATCATTTCGCAGAAAACAGGTGAACTATTTAGATGGAGGAAACATGAGGAAACCCAGGAAAGAGTGGAGTGGTTCCTGTTTAATCGAGAAACTGGTGGAAGATGTCCATCCCTGGTTGGTAGCTGGGATGAACTTCCAAATATAGCTTCAGGCAATCACAAAATCAAATAAACCCAGCACTATACTATAGACTATACCTTTCCTTTGATATCCAAGTTCTTCAATTGGGTGGGTCTTAAAATAAGGTACCCTTAAAAATCCACCGGTGAATCATCCGTTTTCAATATCTTCCCTGTACAAATTACTAGAAATTGGGGGTCCCCGTTTCCAGCAAAATGGAGGTCGCCCCGCCTTGCGGTAGGCGCTGATCACGGCGTTGCAGGTGATCGAATTCCTTGTGCTGCTCCACTTTCAGGGGGCTTTGGTGGGAGATCCTCCGATCATCAACCCATGTCAATGGGAAATGCCGAAATCGATGCTGGTGACCCTCTGATAATCAATCATTTTAGATGGGGAAATGCCGAAAATCGATGCTTTTTTGGATGGGGAAATGGAGGAAGAAATTGATGTTCTGGGAGATTTATATCATCACAATAATGAGATGTTCCACTGCCAGATTGGTTCTGACAGGAAACCTTGGCCTGGACAACGGTTCTCCAATGTGGGGGGTAATCATATACCCTCTGGTAAACTAACAAAAAACTATGGAAAATCACCACTTTTAATGGGAAAATCCACTATTAATGGCCATTTTCAATAGCTACGTTAAATTACCAGAGTGTACATATCTGAAAAATACCAACTGTGTATCGATAGATGGTGGATCGTCCAATGTCACCCCAGGAGTGCACCAAAAAAACATACTGGAACAGCTGATCAGTCTAAAATTTCTTACTTTTTTGAGACATTTGTTGAGCACTTCTTCATTCTACAACCTGGTGGCGCCAAAACATCCCTGCCACCCTTCCAGTCAATTTTTCAACATCGGACCATACCTTGGGAACCAGTTCACCACATCGAAACCACCGTGCAAAACCACGTGCGACACCGTGCTCCGACCAAGGGTCGCTTCCATCTGACAGCTCTGCAGCTCATCCAACAAGGCCTGGACCTCGATGAGTGGCTGTCACAGTTGAAGTTAACACGCTAGGAATTCATGATTGGAATCTACATGTTCTTTATGATGCCATACTTGCAGGATTGGAATCGCCAATAATTCAAGTCAACGTTGATGATTTCACTTGATACAAATCTGCCGATCCCCTAGGGGATCCATGGAGATCCATCAGAGTTGAGGCGGGCGTGGACGTCAGTGGTTCACTGAAAATGTGTTCACACCAGACGGATGGTTCTGACAAGAATTCCCAAACCGAAGCCAAAGGTTGCTGTGAGGTCGCTAAGAATTTGGTCAAATATCCATTTTGGTTGGTTCATTCCGAACATTCCCATTTTTGGCTGATTACATCCACCACTTTCTTCCAAAAAATGGATTTTTTGCTGCTTGAAACCAACCACAAGGATGGCACCTGTCGCCATTCTTCACATTTCCCACAGGCTGTGATCAGAGCTGCATAGGTGATGATGCTACCTGCTTTGCTTTGCGACTTTGCGAGGCAGCCCATGGCACTGGAAAACCATGCCACTGTGCCATTTTGATTGGTATTTGACTTCTTTACAGGGGACAAGCAGTAACTAGCAAATATGAAAAAAGGTATACATACCACTGCATGTACATATTTACATGTCAATCCAAAACAGCTACTGACACATGAATAAAGGGATCCCACGGTCCTTTAATACATCATTTATATACATCCAGAGCACATCCAGAGTAGATCCATATACCATGTCCATTTTATACACCATATATTGCCATACACAAAATTTGGACCCGCCTCGCTGCTTCATGAGGCTCAGTAGATGCAGGGCCTTCCTCCATTGGAAGCCCTTCTCACAGGCACTGATGGCCTGGAGATATCTCATCCGAGAGATCGCTGGTTTCCAACTTTGCAAAAGTAGGAATGGTGGAGTTATAACTCCAATAACTATGGTTTATGGTACTTATATCTATAGTTACTGGGGCGAATCTAAACCCACTTATAACTGGGGGGCCTCACATGAATACTAAAATGATATGTTTGGTTGAGCTTGACTCTCAACAAAAAAAAGCCCATTGATGCTTCAAATCTCTACTTTTGTTTGGCTGAAAAAACCTCCATTTCTGCTGGTTAAACACCAGGTTTTGCTGGTAAAACCAAGAGTTCAGGTAAAAACCACCATTTTTACAGGCCAAATACTCAAATTTCATGGTGAATCACCAGTGTTTCACCAGCCATGGACTTAGTAATTGGATCTATCCCCAGGTGATCCGTCCCATCGCACCGCGTTGTAGGCAATGGCATCCATCTGAAGGGCCAACTTCTCCATCTGCCTCGGGGGCATGGTTCCAGCCATGGATTTCCGGACATATCTAGGGTTAATCGTCAGTAACAGCGTGCACAAAGGTAAGACTAGACATATGATCCTGGTGACTAGCAATGTGGCTTTGGGGTTGACACAAGGTATAGTAAGTAACGAACAATTGAGGTCAACCAATAAACATGATTACATAATCCACGAATAGTGGGGAAAACTGGTTGGAACCCTTGTGATGGATCAAACCGCTGGTGAACTGTTTGTTTCGACGTCAAAAGGTGGTAGTTATGGAGTGTCATCGCCCTAAAATATCGGAAAACCGCAGGTGCTGACGCAAACCTACAGTAAGGAACTAAAACCATCCCATTTTGGAAGGTAATTGCCCAGTTTTTTTTTTGGCAAGAAATGGGGATAGTATATGATAGTATACTAACCATCTGAGATTATGTTTTCGAGATTAACCATGAGTGGTATTTGCCTTTTTTGCTCAGGTTGGAGGGTGCGGTTGTTGCAGAGTTTTGTGGAAGCCACCTGACATTTTGCGGGCTGTCATCCATTCACAACAAGTTGGCAGAAATTCTGCAGAGGTTGAAGAAGTTGCGCAAACATGGATATTATGGTTCAAATAATTCAGTGCCATAAATTGAAACGCGATGATCTCACCTCTTTAAATGATTTTAAATAGTGCTTCAACAGGTCTTGAACGAGTAGAATATAGTGGCAAAGGTATCCAGTTGGTATCTCCACATCTAGTTGCGCAAAAGAACCAACCATCTCAAGCTGACCTTAGATTATTCTCATCAAAATTGCAGAACAAATACCAGCAATAAATGAATATAGACATAGACAATCCACCAGTTGCAGATAAAAAACCATCTGTTTTCCATATCGTTTAGTTAGTTTACCTCAAGGAAACCAGCCGGACCAAGTGACCAAAGGAGATCCAGTGCCAAAGGCCATTGAAAGCCTCGCCGAGCCGAGGCTTTGCAGAAAATATGTCGTTTTTTTTTGGGGACAATGATGGTGATTGCTATGTAAAATCTCATGAGATTTCATGATTTATTGCCATTTTCACTTTCATTTAGATGGGAGAAATGAGGATCTGTGTAGCACCGGAATCGGTCTGATCTTCCAACACGGCCAATTCTCTGCTAAGTTATCATTGACCTGGTGGATTAAGAACACTGGGATCCGAATGTCTCTACATGGCGGAAGTTCGAACTAGCTAGGTTTGACAGATAGCTCCTATGAAAAATACTTACACCAAAAGCGTTGCAGGAATCCTGCATCAGCAGTCTTCACCAAAGCTTCACAAGGCACCTGTCTGCCTGTGATGTTGCACAATATTACGATGTGTTTAGCTTTGGCTATAGGCAACAAGCCGTTCGCAAGATGGATGAAAATCACACAACATATTCCATCCAAACCTCCAAACTAGATAGACACACAACCTTATGCACGAGTCTTTATGCTTTCTGCCATCAATCACCACCACCACCGCCACTATCCGTATATTGTGTCATCAAAATGGTAACAACAAAACACGTATTATTTGGCTTATCAATGTTTTTTATTACATTATCACCAATTATTACATCAAAAATGGCAAGCAACCTCAAAGAAATCACCAACTATTCACCACTTACTTTCCCCATTATTTGTTCATTATATCATCAGTTAAATTGTCAAACACTCCCTAATATGGCTATATGACCTTTAGTGATATATTCCATTCCAAATACATATCCTAGTACATACATACATATTATTATCACTATTCACTGTTTGTATTTTACTACTTCCCATGTGGCAAACTCCCATTCAACACCGCATGTGATATGATATATCATGATATATAGGTGTTCCATGATAGTTATATATTATATATATACCCTCTGGTAATTTAACGTAGCTATTGAAAATGACCATTTATAGTGGATTTTCCCATTAAACATGGTGATTTTCCATAGCTATGTAAGTTTACCAGAGGGTATACACCCAGTATATATGCAACACCCATGATATAGAAATCCCACGTCGTCCCAGTTCCCCTCGCGACGTCGCGACGATCGTTTTCGCGCCTTTCTCACAGGCGCTGATGGCAGCGCTGCAGGTGAACTCATCACAACGTCCTGGTGGGAAGCCCAGGGCAACTGGATGAGAATCCGCATTTTACTTATATATTGGATATATATATATACATACATATACATAATGTAGTATATATATATATGTATATGTGGTATATATATATACATGTATAGATATAGTGTATAACTGGCTTTGGTCACAGCATTTATAACCCAGTTATATATTTACATAGGATGAACCACTGATCATCATCACAACTCCTACTAGATCCAGCTATCAATACTAGATCATACATAAACGATGGGTTTATATTCATATGATTGGTTCTATCTATAGGGTTTAGAACCAGGTTGCATCTAGGAGCAACTTATATAAATGGGTCCATACCATCATGCGCGGAGTTGGGTCAAAAACCAAAACCAATTGCAAGACAAGGGATCAAAGTGATCTAAGCAGAAAAGATGTGCACTTAACCCAGGTCCCTAGTTTGCGATATATCCAACTTTCATTGTGCCAATCAACGCACGTAAATCCCAATCCAACAAACTTGAAACAGTTTCATCAACAACCATGAAATATAGTAGAATCTGCAGATGAACAAGGACATTTCACGAACAATGAGTCCATTGCTATGATGTAAGTGGATTTCTCTATAGGATTTATACCTAGTTTCATATATATATATATACATATATATATATACATATATATATATACATATATATATACATATATATATATATACACACATAAACATATATATATATACACAATGATAGAGAGATAAATATGTATACATAAAGTCATCAAGGACAAACTTCCAATGGTGAATAGCACCCAAACTAGCGTCTCCTCCCATCAACTGGAAATCTTCCAGGAGTTGCAAAGCGATGGCCCACATGGCCGACCTCATGGCGACAGCCTTCAAGATGTCGCGAGAGGGATAATCCATTAGCATACGGCATACACACATATATATATATATATTACAATATATTATAATATTGAATATTGTGTATATGCTTGAACATTTTTGAAAGTTATTTTCAGTATCATCGATATCCGCATCAACACGGCACCAGCAGGCTACCAATGTACCCAACCCATCGACGTCAGGACACTTTTCACAGGCAGAGATGAGAGCGTTGAAGCTGATGCGATCCGCCTGGTGCGGTAGAAGCCTCTGGGATCGACTTTGGGGATCTTCATGGGTAAAAAAAATGGTAAGAGCCTCCCCCAAAGTGGGGATATAACGCCTACAACTATGGTTCCATGACCATTTACAATCCCAACATATCCCAACTGCACCTGCAAGTACTCTGGATGTGCATTGGTGATTTGTTGTTTACCCCTTATTTGTCAACCGCACTTTTTCAGTTGCCGTTTCAAAGGAACATCGGAGGGATCTCGGTTTCTTTGAGAAAGTTGTCGCAGGTGTTGGCTAGAAAACACCAAACTGGACAGATTTCCGGGAATTCCAATTCGATCTTCATGTCAAACCAAGTTTTGGCCTACGAATCCTTTCCACCACCCCAGGTATCCATATATCCCATGGTCCTGCACGGTATAGCCATGCATGTCGGACAGGATGCATATAGCACTTTGCCAATGTCCAGATTTCTCCTGAGCCGGGACCAAAAACTGCTATGATCAAGGCACCTGGGGCTATTGGGCCACAGGAAACTGAAGTATGGTCATCTTAGCTCATCTTACTGTATATCCCCATAAGCCAAACCAACTACGCACTTCCAAGCCTCGATGGATGGTCCATTTTGGGGTTTTTGGATAGTTGAAACCAACAAATGTCGCAAGCAGCCATAGACCAGCCCCAATCAACCAGCAGTGGATTGTTTTAAAACCATCCCCCTGCAAAAAGAAGGTTTATGGCATTGGGTTTACAACAATCGGAATTGGATGTTGAGAACCTTCAAGACAAAAACTCCAATTGGGGACCCAGAACAACAATTTTCAATGGTAAAACCACCATTCTTTCAAGGCAAAAAAAACATGTAACACCAAACTGAAAGCCATGATTTCTGACGTTCAAAATCAGCTACATTGAAGTCATATTTTCTGATGGTTTTCCGGGGTTTTGGATGGTACATGCCATTTTCTGATAGGAAAAACATCGATTCAAGTCGCTGCTGCACTGATGGCTGCATTGAAGGCCACCACGTCCATCTGCTGCCGTTGTTGTAGGAAGTCGTGCAAGAAGTGTAGCGCCATGGCCCAGAGCGCCTCAAAACTGGTTCCATGGAATGGTGGGGTGGTGGCCGAGGGCACCCATGGATGGAGATCCAATCAACATGGGATTTAACTTACAAAAATTGGGGGCTTTAACCTATCGTTTGGGACTGAACCAGCAAAAAACATAAAACAACGAGGCTTTTAGCAGCAATCGATAGGAGATTTACCGACCAAAATTGGAGCTCACCAAATCAAAATGCAATGTTTGTCTCAATATGGAGATCCGCATTGCGCCGCCTTGGAAAATCATGGAGGGAGATAAGAAATGATAAGAATAAGGAAAGCTGCGCATTGATCCCTACGGCGATGCCAGTCCGACTTTGGCATCCCCGGGGGGTACAGCTCGACAGGATAAATTGGCCGATCAAAGGAGCTATGGAATGTTGTTGTGTGAGAGTTGACCCAAATGGGCACAAAAAAACACGTGTTTGGCTACTGCATATCATTTGTAGCCGGATACGTGTGACACTTGGTCTTTATTCTCCTAGTACTTAGTACTGCCAGTATCTTACCAAGAGTTGCTTGGACTGTCCTGTCGCCTCTGAGGGTCAGGAATGCCACCTGTGAGGTAAGGATAAATACCGAGACGCGGATTTCTCAAAGGCACTGATAAGCGCATTGCATGCAACGCAGTCTGCCTCCAGAATCGGATCAACTAAATGGTGTCTGACAACCAAGAACTTGCTGCTGTTTCTAGATGTTTCTGGTTGCTCAAAGTGGGAATGACAAACCTCTGTGAATTATGATCTCAAAACATGAAGTTTGCCTCCTAGCCATAATTGTGTCGTCCGCAATGTTCCCTGCCCTGGGTGCTTTAACATGACAGAACTTGGATAATCATTGCACTAGGGTCCGCGTGGAAATGTCCCAAAAGTAGGTTTCCCCAAAAAAATGGCATGCCCTTTGGTAATTGAACATAGCTACGACAAAACAATGGCCTATTTCTAGATGATTTTACCTTTCAACCATCCCAGCATCCTCCAAAAACATCGCAGGTAGCGAGAGGTACAACTGCAAGGCGTGTTGCCACTGGGCTGCCTTCCTCACTCACCGGCATCAGGATGAATGGATAGATGGATTGGTTTGAAACATCCATCCCATTGGACTTGACATTCCCATTGGTGTATAAAAAATATGTAGGATATCCGTATTGAATGTTTTTTTTTGAAGAGGCCATTGATTTATGGCATATTCTGAACTGCACCTTTGGATTTCGGGGCTTCCACGGTTCCATATTTTGAGACAACCCGAAATGCATTGATTCCGCTACTTGGTGTGTCATCCCAGCCTGACCATGGTGAGCCGGAAATCCACAGAATCAACGATCAAAATCCCCGACAGAAATCGACAAAAATGCAGAACAATCTTTCCAGGATGGTTTGTTGATGGTATTTACTTCACATTTCTAAGTGTTTTTTTTTTTTTTGTGAGGTGTTGCTATATATATATATACATATACAATAATATATATATATACTCTTATGCATACTTATATATATATAGATATGTTATATCTTCGGATTTGGGTCAAACGTTGACATGCTTCACTGAAAAGAATTCACTCATCTGCACAAATTACAACCACGTATGGTGAGGTCGTGAGGTCGGTGAAATTGTACTGTTTTGGTTGGTTCATCTCCCACTCTTTCAAGCTTAAATCAATCAGGGTGTTGCCACTAGCCCTTGAAGCCCCAAAAAAGTCCTGAAGAAAACCATTTGCCAATGAAATTCCATTTATTCGGTTCAAGTCCATTAATCTGCTAGTTGAACCCAAGTTTGGTGGCTAAATCCCCATTTGCTGGAGAACTCTGCCATTCACCCTGTCCCACGAAATTTCATCACAAGCATCTCGCAGGCGCTGATGGAGGCATTCCTTGGGGTGATGCATCGAATGGGAATGGGGAGCTCTCTTGCGACAAATCTGTGGATGTGCGTCCCAGGCATCGCAAGCGGTTTATAGTTGTTTAGGGGGGGACAGCCTTCTACCCACTAGTAGCAGTAGCAGTAGCAGTAGCAGTGGCAGCGGCGGTAGCAGTAGCAGTAGGAGTGGGAGTGGGAGTAGTAGTAGTAGTAGTAACAGTAGTAGTAGTAGTAGTAGTCGTCGTTGTCGTCCTCGTCGTCGTCGTAGTAGTCGTCGTCGCCGTCGTCGTCGTAGTAGTCGTCGTAGTCGTCGTCGTCATAGTAGTAGTGGTACTCTCGAATGCAAGTCGCAGAGATGTGTCAACCTGAGGCGAAATGCACTGTCTCTAACAGCAGTGGCACGGGCAATTAACACGTTTTATGCGCTGGCACAAGGGGAGTTAGGCGGGGTTGGATTTGTCCTAGCTGGCTCAAGGCAGGAGCAAATCCGATATGGAATAGATGCACTATGAGGCTGTTAGCCAGTTGTTCACGGGGCACAGCCTTCAACCTGCTAAACGACTGTTTTACGTCAGTCTTGAGCCAAACATCAAGTCGGTAAAACCAAAATGAGTATTGTAAATTGGCGGGTTAGATGAGATGCATGTTCGTCTCTTGTACAACCCTTAGGAAATGTGTGATTTCCTTAATAGCTCCAGCACGCAGCACGCGCAACGTACCGTTGCAACACGCTGTTTCGCAACGCAAGGGCTTTTGGTATGATCAACACATATGGATGCATTTACTTGAAGATTAAAAAAGCATCCGCTAAGGTTCCAGGCTTTGGGGGAGCCCAAATATATATATATATATGTTGCCGGATGCTTTTTTCACTGTCAAGTAAATGCATTTGTTGCAACACAAGGGATTTTGGTATGGTCGACACATATGGATGCATTTACTTGAAGATTAAAAAAGCATCAGCTGAGGTTCTAAGCTTTGGGGGAGCCCAAAAGTTTACATGTTGCCGGATGCTTTTTTCACACTCAAGTAAATGCATTTCTCTGGGGGCCTGTGCAAGAGACAAGGCCTTTTTCACTCCTCCACATATCTAGGGTTTTTACTTTATCCAAAGTCCTTAAAGGGCTTACTTGATCTTAGCTAATATGCCAATGCATTTTTGATTCACCAAAAAAAACATCGACATGCCTCTCACTCAAAAAAACCCAATGACGTACTTCTGTCCATGAAAAATGCATTGGCATAAGTTGCAGCACGTAAGTTGCAGCACGTGAGTGCCGAGTGCTCGCAACGCGAGTGCCCGAGCAACTAAGGTGATTTCACAACTTTTGTAACCCACCCATATATATATATATGTATAACACCCAATAATCTCAGGACTGGGTAGTAATACAGTTGTGACCTCTTCACCCTAAAGGGCATCCGCCTTTGAACACCAATCCAACCAGGCTTTACCCAGCGGAGGGAACCACCTGGACTTCCCGATCGCATCCGATCGCGCCACAGCGTCATGGAGACGGAGTTGATCTCAAGCTTGGCCTGCAGGGCTCATGGCTCATAGTTTTGGCCCAGGTGATAGTGATTTCTTGGAAAACAAAGCGACCCTCATTCGGAAACAAGATGGATTGGGATCATCATCCCATTGAAGTTAGAAAAACACGCCGGAAAGCACCAAGCTAAGGAGATCTGGCAGTGTGTCAAAACCTTGTACCCCTGGTGAACATCAAAATAGCTGGTAAATGGATGTTCATCCCACTAAAAATGGTATTAATAGGTATTGATCCATACCCATTTATCACAACCTGGACATTTCACAGCACGCCCTACGCCGCGGCTTCGCCTCGTGGATGGTGGACAAAATCTGCAAGGCATTCTGCCATTGTGAGGCCTTTGCACCTTCGCCAAGTTCATCGAGCGGGCCGAAGGATATATTAGTTTATAAGTAGGTTAACTAAGGTTGACTCAGGTTAACTCTAAGGTTAACTCAGGTTAACTAAGGTTAACTAAGGTTAACTAACCCAGTCAGTCCAAAGGACAGTGGAACGAGGCCGTTTGAGTAAAGGACCTAAGTGACTAAAGGCTTCAATAACATACAGTGGGAGCTCTCATGAGAAAAATTGGTTGCAAAAACATGTTTTTTTCTCCTTTTCGCACAAACCATCACAAACCTGATTTTGCATGATTTTGCCGTTTTTTTCTTGGCATTTTCACGTTTTTTTCACGGTTTCATCATTTTCCCAAATCCGGAAGGTCCGCCATCGATTTTTCAAGCATAGGATATCTTCCGGGGTGGAACGTTGCCCAGCTAAGTCTAACAAAAATACGACCTCAAAAGTAATGGCATAGAGAAAACTTCAAGTTAAGCCAGGCCTTTAGCAAAGGCCGAATTTAGCGAGGACTTGGACCGACAGGGTAAGGTGAACTAACGTTTATGGTGGATATATCCACAGGATGGCTTTGTTTTATCCAACTTCCAGGGGCATCACTTTGAACGTGAAGCCTGGTTTTTTCTGATTTGGGGACCCCTTCAAAAGTGATATCATCCTGTATATATATATATTATATTATATATTAATCCTGTATATCATCCTCTATCAAAAATAAATTGAACAACGAGGTCTCAGTCATCGCTGACATCATCCAGGATCAATGTTGCAAACCCAAGAAGAAAGCATCCGAGGGAAACCACCATTCGGGGGCTACGGCTAAATCATACCAGTTCTAGGGGTATACTCAAATGATAAACCAATATTTTGGGGATTTATGATATTGGCTTTACCACCTTATCTGTTCTATGTCCATTTTTCGTACCACCATCATTTATAGCTAAAGCCCTTCCCTCCCCATCGCGGCAACTGCAAGGCACACGCGCTGATCACGGTGTTGTGTGCTGCCACCTACCACTGATTTGAGCTTCTGTTTTTGACGAAGGTTATGGCAAGTTTCCCAACAAACATGAGGCGTTCTCCGGGAGAAAGGTGGGAAGATACCGAAAAATGCAACATCCAAACCTCTACCTGCTATCAAGCCCGAATTCACCATGACTGGGGGTCAAATTAGATCATCCCAATACCATTGGGCCTATCACATTGGATGATTTCTGCCACTTGACACCGTATCAACTTCTCGTGGATCCGCTAGGGACACGCCATAACCGTCCATGGTGTTCTCCAATCTCAAGTTTACATCATCAAATTCACATCCTCCAGGGTCCAACCATCAAAAAAATCATCAACCAGCCTCTGGTGATCTTACGTACTGGAAAAGCAAGCAGTTTGAAAAAGGCTAATTTATCATAAATATAAATCATCATAATCATCTATATAACATGTAGCGTTTTTTCTTCAGATATTAACCACATCAAATATCATCAGCAAGCCATCGGGGTGTCATCAGGAACCTCCAGCACAGCTCGCTGGAGCAAAGACATGGCTGGTTGCCAAGCAGCAGACCTGCACCGAGAAAATCGTCAAAAATGGGCTTTGGGCCACTAGAAACTGACATTTCACCAGGGAAAATGGTGGTTTTTTTCATGAGTTTACTGGGATATAAAATGGGGCCGGAGACAAAGTGATGTCACAATGATCAACAAAGTGATGTGTGGGGATGTCTGAAAGTGTTTCTTTTTTTTTTTGCCCCAAACGTGGCCATTTCGTGGGGGAAAGTGGAGGAGTTGATGGATGGGACTTGAAGCAGGGTGAGAACTGAGAGGGTAGTGGTTGTAACCAAATAAGATACCCTCTGGTAAACTAACATAACTATGGAACATCACCATGCTATTAATGGGTAAATCAACTATAAATGGCCATTTTCAATAGCTATGTTTGTCTACCAGAGGGTACATGTACTCATTTCGACAAGGAAACTGGAGATTTTGAAGCAGTGACGATGGACATGTAATCAGGAATGATGATGGATACTTGGACCTGTACTGAACTCATGACTCCTTCAATCCGTTGGTCTCGAAGTAGATTGGTTCTTTCGCGCTTTTGGGTGGCGAGATTGAGCCGAACAAATCTGGGACTTGTCTGGCAGCCCGCTCGCCTTTCGCAGGCACTGATGGATGCTACACACAGAGGGACCGAGGGAACAAAACGTGCTTCCTGCGCGTTGCAGAGAAGAACCTGAGGATCTGCTGTCAGGTGCCCAAAGGGGTGAACATTTCTGAGGGTGATATGTAATCCCTTTTCCACTATTAAATTCTTGTATATAGGGCGCAAAATGAACAGGTCCATCTTTGAACCAGTTTTTGTTGGATATCTACAGGGGAAGGGACTTATGATTTGCCATCATTTACTGTACACAAAATGGGTTTGACAAATATGATTTTGTCAATCTTTTTTTGGTGAACAGTTGATGGGACATCTATGGACCCAATTTCTCACGGCAAAGGATGCCTTAAACATGGATAGTCTTAGATACTGGCCGCAAAAGACTTCAGTTTTGGCTGGTTAGATTCATATTGGCCGTGGATCAAAACCTTTTTGTAGCATTATTTCTTTGATGATACCCATTTGGCAATTATTTTGTTCACCAGAGTACCAGGGTTTTGACCATACCATGTATCCACTTTTATGGCAAAAAAGACCGGTTTACTCATCTATGGTTTATCCAGCAAGCGAGGGTCGACATAAACCAAATGTCGTCAAAGATGGGCAATCTTTCACTGGTGACTGCTCTCATCTTTCTTTTTTTTCACATCCACATCATCTGGGTTTATGATAATTTCTCCATGAACATACACATTTTTTAGGATGATGTCCACCGTATCAAACCTTATGGTGAGGTCATTGTGATGAGGGCGGCTTCACCATGACGCTGGCGAAATCCCCCAGCCAAGGAGCCAGGCTGGCAGGCCAGTTGCTGGACGTCCTGTGACAATGAGTGGTGAGTTTATCCCGCACTATCAGATATACGTTATATCGTATAACTGATGTACTGTATGATCATCAAAGCATCTAGAAGTATGGAAACCAGTGAATGTTCAGTTTGAGAGTGTGATGAATCATGATGTTGATTCAGAGGAATGAGAATGATTAGGAGGACAATCTTGATTATCGTATAGGTTATATATATAATTATAATATATATATATATATTGATATTATTAGGATCACAATTCATATTCCCAGCCTATTGGTAAAGGGACAGTCGTGCTGTTTATCAACCGGTTCCCGACCGGTCATGGCAGCACCATAGGCGACCACATCTGGAGATCGCAGGGCCCAAAAGAGATGCCTCAGCGGTGATTTGGAGGGACACCCAATCCATGGTACCCCCAAAGGCCCAAATCATCCAGAATGAACCAATCTACTTCGAGACCAACGGATTGAAGGAGTCATGAGTTCAGTACAGGTCCAAGTATCCATCATCATTCTTGATTACATGTCCATCGTCACTGCTTCAAAATCTCCAGTTTCCTTGTCGAAATGAGTACATGTACCCTCTGGTAAACGTTTACAGTTTGCGAACTGGAACATGGCCATTGAAAGGTCGTTGATTTACCCATTAATAGCATGGTGATGTTCCATAGATTTTTGTATGTTTACCAGAGGGTAAACCATACATTTTAAACTCGGATTTTCCATGAAATAAACCATCCAGCTATTGGGGTAGCTCCATGCCTTGGGAAACCCCCATCCATGGGAGGGATTTCACCAATGCACAGCCCATCCATGTTTGATGTTGAAATATGGCGGCTTGGTACCTGAACATTTTAGGAACCACTAAAATCTCAGTTGCAATTTTGGGGTACCCAAATTTTTGTCAAATGCACAATCTTTTCAATGACTTAACTGCTATGCATGACCCACTGGCTTTGCCTCTGAAACCGATCCACACGGAAAAACTGAACAGAGACCATCTGGCACACAGCGGGGAAAACTTCGTTGCGAAACATTTTCGCCAAAGCATTTTGGATATTATGGGGGCTTAACCCATTAATTTAATGTTATCTACTGTTAGAAAATCAATCATCAACCACCAAGATTTAGATTATTTACACACGCCATTCATGGGAGAAAACTTGGGATGGTTTGCGTTTTTGCATTACCAACTTTACTGTTTCATTTTTTGTGATGTGGCGAGCCACCAATCAAAAACATTAAGTAAAACATAGTTTTACACAATTATTGGAAGATAAATAATCATTATAACCAATAAACATGATCAATTCGGCACAATTTTCATCATACTAAACCAATGAATGGTTTCTCCTGGCCATATCTCTCCATCGTAACGGGAGTGCCATGGTGCTCAGAGATGTGCCAAGGAGACCCTGTGATGCCTCAGCGAAGAGTGAACTTCTCTGACGCCATTTTCGGGAAATCGGGAAACCTGCCTGACACTAGATGGGTTTGTCTGAAAACAGGGTATATTCCCAATTATAGCCATTTAAAAACGGGATAATGATCAGCAAAACCATTGGGTAAAAAGGGGTACACTATTTTCAGATACACCCAGATAAATTTCTTAAAAGATCATCAAGCATGGGGTATCTACATGTCTCTCCCCATCAGATTTAATGGTTGTTTTTTAATAAAGGTCGTCCCAAAATGTTGTTTCAGCTTGGCACAGCCAAGTCACAGGCGCTCTGAATTTGGAGGTTGGGCTGCTGTCCCTGCTCCTGCGGCTGATTTTGGGTGCGCATCGCAGTTGAGATGGAACATCTCCAAATGACGCAATAGATTCCAGAATGGTTGGTATACCCATGAGTTGGAAACCAATGGTGCTTTTTTCTGTTGGTTACAAGAAGCGGGCGCATCTGATGGTTTCACCAAACCGAACTCAGTTACACGACGGTTCATACCCGTGGCTGGTGTCCCATCAAGTCTTAATCATGAAATCCTCAATAACTATGGAAAATCACCATCAAAAATCAACATTAAATCACAACTACAATCACTAACTATTAACTCTAATCATTGATCAACAAGGGTTTAGCAGCCACAGCTCACCCCTAAGATCCACATTAAACCACGAAATCCATATTGAATCACCATTAAACCCCATGAAATCCCGGTAAATCCCATTAAATCCCATTAAATCCTCCATTGAATCTCTGGTAAAACACCATTAAATCCCGGGTAAATACCATGAAATCACCATGAAATCACCATGAAGTCATCCATCTGCCATCCTTCCATTGAGACACCAAGGCCACACTCAGGGGCCAGGTGCTGGCGGCCACAGCGCTGCCCAAAGATGCCAGGCTCCATGGCATCCTGGTGATGTGTCAACGAAACCATTGGAAAATGGTGATGTTAAGCAACAAGTTTATGAGGGATTTTATGGGATTTATCACTGATTTATGGGATTTTATGGGATTTATCACTGATTTATCACTGATTTATGGTAGATAAATGGGGATTTTATGGGATTTATCACTGATTTATGGTAGATAAATTGACTTATAAGTTATATAACTAGGGCTGATGATTGGGAATAATTCATGGTTTATAAACCCTTTCAAAACTTGAAACCACTATTGTGGGACATCCTTCTGGAACACTTGGGGAATACTCTTGACACGGTGAGAAGCGTTAAATGAAACATCTACGCAGAACAATGGCAAGTAAAGTTAAGGGTCCTCTGCGTGGGACAAAGCCGTTTCATTCTCTCATTCATAAACCGTTCTCAGCTGCACCCCGAAGTAACATACCATTTCATGAAATTATACTATCATATCAGCAATTCATCACCCGCAGAATTTCCCCTGCTTTGTCCACCTATTAATCACCATTCCCCCCTTTTTAAATGTATGGTTTACTGGGATTGACCATCCCCAGTCCTTTCTTCCATCTGCTGCAAGGTCTGTATCGCCTGCGGCCATCCCTCTGCACGGAGCAGGGTTCCATAGGACACCGCGCTCAGTTGCAGGGCGGCGCCCGTGGCGGCCTGATTTGGAGTCGATGTCAAGGGGGTAAGCAGTCTATGGGGATCGATGCAAGTTTACTGGGGATCTCTAGATGTAATGACGAATCTAAATTCATAGATCGACATTTCATGGCTAAGAAAGCCATGATTGTTCCACATTTCAGGTCGATTTTGTAACGGGATGTATCTTCTCCAATCAACATTTTGTAAGAAATGGGAGACCGATGGTGGTGAGGAATCTGGATGTCAACCACCTGGAAAAACTCGGATATCTCAATGGATCCACCTTTGCACACAACGAACTTTCTAGGGATTTTCATACAGCAGTGTTTTTTTTTTTGGTTTGAAAATCCCATAATTTATTATGGTTTTCATAGCACTTTCTAGGGATATACCACTAGCTATACCATGGTTTGATCGATAATGGAAACCCTCCCATGGATATATCCTCCCATGGTTTTTCTGTGGGATCTAATGATTCACCATGTCCGACCACTGAATCCAAAACTGGATCGGTGGATCCCACTGCTCACTAATGGATGGCTCGTATATCCCAAAGCATGTGATATTTGGTAGGTAGTTTCACCTGAAAAATCTGTTCATCATTGCGTATCAGCATCCCATATCATCCCATTTTTCTGGTTGAACATATTTGACACCATCAAGCACCCAAGTAGATTAGCTCCAGAATGTTTGCTGCTTATCTCATATCACCAGATTGGTAAACTCTCCATCTGTCCATTTAATTCTGGTATATGCTGATGAATTCTGGTTGGTGGTATACCTACCCCTCTGAAAAATGATGGAGTTCGTCAGCTAGGATGATGAAATTCCCAACTGAATGGAAAGTCATAATCCATTCATGTTCCAGTCACCACCAACCAGAATTTGATGGGCCACCCCCAGTTCCACCTCCAAGACCTCCAGGGCACTGGTCCATGCCATCGCGAGGATGGCATGGCTGGCCGCATTGTAGGACACCAAGTTGGCTTGCGACCTGCGAGGCTTCGTGCTTCGTCACAGAGTTAGTCCAATTCACCATCCATAAATCTTAGAGTTAAGGCCTGAAATACCAGTTTTAAATGGTTATAAATAAGGGTCATTAAAACCGGGTTATCATTCCACACATGGGGTGAAAAAACTGACTTATAACTGGTAAAGGGCCTGAACTGTAGCATCCTTTGGCAATGACTCACAGTTTGCGAATTGGACAATTTCTGCATTTTTCGTAAATCATCTGTGGGCCATTTTCCATGGCTGAAATTACGGGAGGGTACGTCCATTGAGCCGGTTTTCCAATGGATTATATCCTCAGCTGCTGAACAGCTATTAATTTTGAACCAGCATTCTGTTGCTTGACTCCCCACATTGTTTAAGTTAAATCGTTGTGTTTTGGTGAAACCATCCAGTTTTCGCTGCAGAAATCATCTGCATACACCTGTTGGCTGCTTCAATTTCCTCCAATCTGTTGGCCAAAACTCAATTCTCTGCCAATTTCGCATTCTTGCGAATAAAAACTAGCTGTTTCTGTTTGTTAAAGCACCAGTTTTCTGAAAAATGCTACTCTTCACTCTTCCCATCGAGAAGCGCCTCGACTCCAGTTCCACCAAGAGTTGCAGGGCGTAAAGCCATTGCAGCGCGTCACCAAGGGCACCTAATGGGTTGATCGAAGGGAAAACCACCATCTGTGGCTGCGAACGGGAACATCACCATTTTATAACTCATGGAACTAAATGGACCATTTCCATACGCTAAAAGTACCAGAGTCTAGTATTTACTTGGATATTTCTGAACTATATCCAAATAAATCTGTTTTGAAATAGCTATTTAGGGCACTTCTTTTTCAAGGATTCAAGTGGAATCTGCGGGGATCACACATCTCCCATCACTTTGGCCAACGCCGCGAAAGCGATTTAGATCGAAACATGAATCGAATGAAGCACCAGAAAACGACCATTTTGATCACCCAAAAAGCCACGAAAACCCACCAAAATCCAACATGGGGATGGGTCAAAACCCTGGTACCTAGTGAACCCCAAAATAGCTGGTAAATGGATGTTTCATCCCACTAAAAATGGTATTAATAGGTATTGACCAAAATCCAACATCATTTGGCAGCAGAAACTGTGGGAAAAACCGAGGCACCCATGGAGCTACTGGACACCACTGCGTTGAGCTGCAAGCTTTGCTCCTGGCTTGCAGCATGGTCAACAGCACCTACTGGGTATCGTGGGGATATTTCACCCAAAATGGGGCTATGTAATCAGCAAAGATGGGAATATAATGGGGATATCATGGAAATGTCAGTGTTTCTTTTGATATAACTGAGCAAATTGAAACATCACAAGTTACCTATGACTCTGCGCCAGAAAAAAAACTAGTCATTCGGATTGATCACAAACTAGGGATGGAGAGCCAGCAATTGAAACGGCAAACCAGGACACAAAAGCCATGTTGCTCTGTTTACGACAGGTAATCTTGCAATGCGATCATGCACTTTCACACCAACCTCTCTATGAGTCGGTGCGTGCATAGAAAAAAGCTGGGTTTTATACATACATGTATACATAAACGTATATGCATATGTATATATATATATACTGTAAATGCGGTAGCAACTCAACCAGAAAAAACACGGATGTGGACCCTGCCACAAACACCAAGCCGCTGCGGCCTCGCAGCTTTGTTTTCGCCCAAAATGCCTTGCTGTCACCACAGCTCCAGTTGCCAAAAAGATGGCCTGCCTCGGCCGTCTGTAGCACCTTGATATGGCTCTCCAATGGGATCGGAAAACCCACCCTCCACTGCGCCTAAGGACTCTCTGAGCCGGTGATCCCTGCGGCAATCGCAGGATATTCGCAAGGCTGTGTGGCCTTCCAAGAAACCCTGACAGGCATGGAAGTGAAATGAGATCGTTCACATTCCCAACATTTCAATGTTTAAAATTGATTTGAGCTCATTTCACTGGTTGTGGATCTCAGCCATCTGAGTCGGTTACGGGCATTAGCCCGGTTTTTCAAGACTTCATCAGCGTCGTGCAAACAGTATTGTCCCTGTCTAATTGTTTCCCTGAGAAATTGTCCTTCCATGATTTTCGTCAAAGCATCTGCTAATTGAGCTCCAGAATGTACCCAATGTAACCGAATGTTTTCAGAGAGAATATCCTTTATGGAGCGTGCCACCAATTGTGTTCGAAATTCTTGGCATGAAGGCACAGCAGTTCTTGTTGTAAGATCGTAAAGGCTTTTACAGTCCGTTATGGCCAAATCCTTGTCTTCTGCCTTTAAAGTTGGAACTGTCACTGCTTCTGGGAGTGTCTTGACAGTTTCTGGTTTCTGCCATGGGATCTTGGGATTGTTCAGCCAGGCCCAATACACACGGATCCAGGTGAGTTGATCCAGTGTCGTTGATAGAGCAGTGGCCTCTGCCGATAACGTGCTTGTCACCACACGTTGGATTTTCTTTGTACCCCACGAAAGTGGACTGACTGCGCAAGTTTTATTTTGGGAAATTGCTTTGTCAGTGGCCATGATTATCATTCCTGCATATGATTCCGGCTTTACCTTTGAAGCAAACGATGCATCAGAAAAAGCAAGAAACCTTAGATCTTGGATATTGATTGGTTGAATCTTTATGGTCACATCATGATGTTTCTTGGCTAAATGGAGGGTCTTATTGGCCATTATCAAGGTGGTCACTGTGGCATTGTTAATTTGGGATTGAAGTTGACTTAAAGAACTCGTGAGATCGGGTCTGGTGTGAACGGCCGCGTACTGCAATGACCCGATTAGGCCACGTAGCAAGTGTCTCTCGCTTTCCGTCACTGGTTCGGCTTCTTGAGCTCTGCGTTCGGGTTTGATACAAATGGAATTGATGTTTCGAACATACTGTGACTGTGACATCTCAATGCTATTGTCGGTATTTTGCTTCAGGTCGATTCCTGTGAACGTGAATGCACGGGATTTCTTAGACCCAAACGGATATTTTGATTCCAGTTTCGAGATCTGTTCTTGGAAAAATTGATCACCGCCAAAAATACCATCATCTACATGTATCCCTAGTATTCCTGAGAGTTTTTGGTTCTTGGGATTCCTCAGCACGAAAACACATGGGTCAAATGGGCAAGGTGTGAAACCGAGACCAGTAAGTTCTTCTTGAAGTGTTTTAAACCACAGGTACGGTGCGTCAATCAGGCCATATGCCGACTTGTCAAGCTTGCAAATCTCATCATGATTCAATCGCATTGCCTCTGCTAGTTCGCCTACTGGCTCAAGTCCAATGACGCGATCTTTCTGTGGTTTTCCTTGTAGGAATGCTGCTTTGATATCAAAAGAACCTAGGGACCATCCCATGGAAGAGATCAATTGTAGCAGGATCATCTTTGATTGTTTACCCAGCGTAGGGCTATCCCGGGGAACCTCTGTTAATTGGGGATCCATGTAACCCAACACCACCAAACGCGCTTTGGGTTTGTGGGTCTTGAGTTTACTGTTACCTTCCGGGATCTCATGGTTGGTTTCATCCCTGGGTTTCCACGTGAGAATCCAGCGGCAACGGAGAATCTGCTCTGGCGCCAACTTCGTGCGCAAGATTTTGGAAACGGTGCCGGTCTTCAACCAATTCTGAACCTCTGACTCCTTGGCTTGGGCGAATGCTCTTTGTTCCTCTGCATTTAACACTGATAGTTTGACCTCTGTTCTCTGCTTCTTCTCAGTCGTAGCTGTTAAAAGTTCATCAGGGGACCAATGTTGAAATTGAGAGGACTCTATCCATTTTGGCACTTCAAATTCACATCGCCATGCGCATGGACTTGCAGAGGGTTCAACTGGCATCACATCATCTTCACAGCATAGCAAATGAGTGGTGATCAGTTCATCATCACTTGTTTGCTCAGGTACGGGTGTTTCCACGGCAGGATCGTTTTCAGGTGCCATGGTTGGTTCCTGTGGAGCAGACCCAGTTTCGGGTTCGGTGTCTGGTTGATCTTGTGATTGACTTTGTTCATCAGCATTTGATTGTTGTTCCGGCGAAGTATTGGGATTATGAATTGAAGGGTCTATTGGATTATTTTCAGGGGGGATTATTTCTGGCAATCTCGTTGAGGAGTTTTCGGGGGAAGGTGTTGTCAGGCTTTCTAGTGGTATTTGAGAAACTTCATTGGAACAAACTGGACGGACATGTTCAAGTGCTCTGCGATACAATTTTCCACCCTGAGACGCCCATAAGGAGTTATGTCCCTCGATTGCAACAACCTTGTGTGGTCCAAACCAGTGGCCCCCATTGATCTCCGGCTGCCATAGCATAACCCATTCTCCGGGCTCATACGCATTTCGGTCTGGGCGAGACCGTCGGAGGTATGCACGCCTTAAGGCCTGATCATTGTCAGCTGCATGGAACGCAGCACGTGCTCTTTCTCGCAGGGCGAGGCTTTTCCGGAAGGCAATTCCGTGAGCATCCTCACGATCTGCGCTGGCCAGCGATGACACATTCTCACAACTTGCAAGAGACCCTGGGACACGTGAGCTTTTTCCAAACACAAGAATCTCCGGTGAAAAACCCCTGCGAATACTTAGTGTGTTCTTGGCATGAGTGCATTGAACCAGGGCTTGCTGAAGATCTCCATATGTTTGAATGGGCATCTCATGATCAATTTTGTTGAGCATCGTTTGCAGGATCTGTCCGTGCCTCTCACTTCGGCCATTCTGCCAGTGCGCGTGAGGAGCTGCCGTCACTGATTTCACATCAAATCTCTGCAAGAAGTCTGAGAAATGTTCACTGGTGAATTCTGTTCCGGCATCAGTGACGATCATGTTAGGCGGTCCGGCCCATTGGAACCAATTTTCTGAGACACTTTGTGCGGCCTGGTCCGCGGCACGGTTCGGAGCTGGAGTGGCCACATGATAGTTGGTTGCCTGATCCAGAATGTGATAGAAATGAAACATCTTTCCAGCCTTGCTTTTCCATGTTACCCCATCGATGAAAATCTTATCATTGAAGTCCAGTTCATGCTTAAGGGTACTTGGTCGGGCAATTTTGGGTTGTTTATGAGATGCACAAGTCTCACATGGCATGTCGAACACTGCCTGAGTGATCTCTGGCCTGGCTCCTTGGTTTCTCAGGACCATGCTCAACTGTTCTGGGCTTGGGTGGCACAAATTCTGGTGGGCTCGACGTAGCATCGCCTGTTCTTCACGGGGCAAAGACAAGAATCTATTGTCCTTGCTCTTTGATTCACCTGAGTCCATTTGGATTGTTGATCCAGGTGCAGGCACATTGGAATTTTCACCTGAGAATTCTGATTTGTCTGTGCTTGTGTCTCCTTTCTCACCTTCAGTTCTGATCATGATCTTGGATGTGTCTGCTGCGGGATCTAGGGAACTTGGAGGACTCTCCATCCGGGATGGTGAATCGATGTCCCGTGGCGGAACTTGTGCTTCTGATGAGCTGCTTTCTACATCGGGAAGCCCTGTCACAGGATTGGCCGCAAAGACAGTTATATTCACTCGGCAGGGATATGATTTTCTAATTATTCTTCGTTTTGATAGTTCATCATATTTTTCCCAACTGTCGGTGATTGTCTTTCCTGAACTTCGGAGTTTCATGATTGATCGGCGAAATGGTGCTTCTTTGGAACTGATTTCTTTTGGGGGTGCCATCGTTCGCTCAGTCCCTTTACATGCAATTACCCCCTTGATGATCTTCTCGGGAAATACCTTTTGAATACTTTCAAGTATTTGGGATTGGTCTATGATTTTCTTTCCAACGCGAGGAAGCATGGGTTCTATCATCCTTACAATCTCTGTTAAGTCCCCTGTACTTTCTTGGGTGGTTACTGGAACTTCGGAGGGACCTGCTTCACTTGGCTCGGATGATTTAAATCTTCGGCGCTTGACACATGCTTGATCGCTGAGTGGTCTGTCTGCGGACTTGGCTTTCTGCTGTCGTGGTGACGAAAGCTTGGCCCTTTTGGTCAGGCGGGATTCCACGGCCAATGCACTGCTGAGCTGAAACCACTGATCCAAGGCTACCAATGCTGAGTCTGCAATGCTGCCTACTGGAAGTTCAATGGGAAAACTTTTCTTGAGGACTCCCTTTGCTACCAGTCGTGCAAACTTCCGTGGATACCTTTCGGAAAATTCGGATCTTGCAATTCCGTGGCCATGCACTCTGGTAGTTCCCTCAATGGGCTGATGATCATGGGATCCGGGGCACCTTAAAGGGTCCAAAAGCTTCTGCATGTTTCGAGAAGTGGTTTTGATATGCATTCCTTTTTTCATGAGTTTGTCATTAACGGGGTCGTGAAGTTCTCCTGCAACACACATGTCGGGCTTGGCAATGAGCATGTATCGGTCAAGTTCACTTAGAAATGGCAACAGGAACATCAGAGATCCTTTGGGCTGTTCTCAGTGTGCATGGCGTCTGCATCGGTGCTGATGTCTGCATAAGACCAGGCAAAGAGCTACTTGACTAAGCATGTCTTTCCTTTCCAGGTTTATGCGATCCCACTGCTCAAGTGACTTCTGGCTGTTGAGGCATGACCATTTAGACCATGGTTTACACGTGGGACTTACCCAGACATGCTTGGGTCGATGTCGGCAGACCATGCCGAACAGTTTCTTTCTGCCCTCAGCTTCCTGCAGATTGCCTTGGTCAAGACCGAAGCGCATTGCTTTGCCTCCCAATTGATTTACTTGATTCGTCAGGGTACTTTCGGAACTGCAGAATACTTCCAACATGTCAATTGGTGGTCCAATAACCTTGGTGTTTTCTTCACACATCTTAAGTTCTTTTTCCATCATGGATACCAAGTTTTGAAAGTACCTACGTTCTTGATTGCTTTGACTTTCATGAAAAACATCAATTTCACCTGCTGTGAGCGCCCAGTTGCAGTCCTCTTCATGCGATCTCATGCTGTCCAGGGATCCTCCCATTCCGATGCCAGAGGGAGCACCGGGAGGTCGTCCTCCATGGTCGATGGCACCGGATCTGCTGGCACGTTGGGCGTCAAGTGCACTAAGATCTGATGCAGCGCATGCTCGAGATGGGTCATTCGAGCTTGGAGGCTGCTCATCTCTGCACTTGTTGGCTCCTCGGGACAGGCATCGGGATGTGGAGCAGGACGACTCTTGGACGCCGCCGTCAAGATCTTGGGAGCGGCCTTTGCCTTGGGACGTGCTTGTACTGGTTGTTCTCCCTCGGTCTCCTCTGCCTCGATCTTGAGTTTGATGAACTTGATCATCTTTCTGTGCTCCAGATCCTTGCTCTCTTGGTAGTGCCCCAAGAACCATTTGATCCAGTCGGGCGCACTGTCCCACACTTCGGCATATGTCTTCCCTTGATGAGCCTTCCCAAAACGCACCTTCTCTGACTGGAGTGTCTCCAAGGTCAGGTGGTCGATGCTCTCGACTTCCTGGCTCGGCATCTCCGCTTGCACACGTTGGAGACGCTTGGACCAGTCGCTCATGACTGCTGGACGGTTTCGTGAGAGATTCGTTCTGAGCTACGGTTTGAGATCCAGATCTCTCAGTCTGCATCACTTGCTTTTCATGCTGAGAGTTTTCAGGCTGAGTTGAACTTGACATCATGTTGTGTGTGGACGTATACTTGGAGCATGTGGTCATGGACGTTGAATGTATTGATTGACATGTTTCACTTGTGTTGTGAGTGTCAATTGAGCTTGTTTCTTTCGAACTCACCTCACCTGCCTTTGTGCATGACTGTGTGGCTACCCTTGGAGATTGCATGTTGGGCTGCACAGCATCCTTTTCTGGGGCGTTTTCGGAAACGTCCTGGGCAAAAGTCTCGGCTGTCAAGCTGGAACCTTTCTTTTGGGTGGACACTTCAAACAACTTATTCATATCAATAAGATACAAACCCTTATTGGAAAGCTTCAAGGGAATCTTTCGATGATGCTTGGGAAGTATCAACTGGTTTGCACTCGTATCCACCATGGCTTCCAAGGCTCTCAAAAGCGTATTTGAAACTAGAAAGGGTGTGGCACCGGGAACTATCGCTATCTTGAGGTCAAACCCACATACTGGCACCACCATGGCATGTTCTGATTTGAGAGTTCCTTGATTTCCAAACCTGAAAGTCACATCACAGGGACATCGACGGATTTGGCTTTTGACTTTGGCAGGAACATTTTGCAAAAACCCAGATACAAAATCACTACCCATAACTGTTTTGGTGGCCCCCGTGTCTAGGATTCCCCAGGTGTCATGGGTCGAGAAGAGTATCTCGGCGGCAACATCATTGACCTTGGGCATTGGGCTCTTCGGCTCACGTACCTTCGGTGCAGGCTTTGGGTCCAAAATGGACTTTGTTTCATGGGATTGGTCCAAAATGGACTTGCTGACTTTCGGGCGGCACGGAGACATGGAACACTTGGTCTGCAAAAACGGCTTTCTGTACACGGATGCATGCCGGTTCACAGTTGACCGATCAGGTGCTGAAGCCAGGCGGCTCTCAATCCTGTGCACCAGGGAGGCAACTTTAGAATTATTACCATGATTACCCTTAATCCGGTCCTTAATTCTATTTCTTACATCCCTCATGTTCATTGGATTTCCCTTACCGTGGACTTCACCTGAAGCATTGAACAAAACTGCCTGTACAAAACTCAATGCGTGGGTTCCGACATTGTCCTGTGCGGGAGGTTGGACTTCGGGAAGACTCATGAACTCTGCAGACATCACATCACTGGCAGCTGTCGATGCGACCCCCATGGAGAGAGTTACAGGGACCGTCGAGGCGGATGCACTTGAATTGGATTGGCCTCGATTCGGGCACTCGCTCTTCCAGTGGCCTTTGCGGCCGCAAACTCGGCAGTTGCTCTCTAAGATGCGCTGCTGCAGTGTCTTCCGGTTGTTCCAGGCTGGCTTGCCTTTGGATTTTCCTTTGAATCCCTTAGATTTCCCCTTGGAGGAGATGGGCCAAAAACCCCTTGCTCGGTATTTCTCACTCAGCTTTCTGCGGGCTTCTATGTACGAGGAAAACGCTGCAGCTAAGTCTTCGTCACCTTGAATCACATCTGTTGCTGCTGTTTCGAAATCTGCTACGAACACTGCGTCCTCATCGCCCTCCTGGGCCAGACTCTCAATGAAGTCATCTTCGGCAACTTCGTCATGACCTGCAACGTGAATGGAATCCTCAGTATCACCTGTTGGTTCATCCTCAGCGACCAAAATTGACTGATCGTACACCTTCGATTTGGCACCTTTTTTGCCGGCACCTGTCATTTCTTGGAAAAAGGACGTCCCCAACATACGAATGGACTCCGTCACCTTGACCATGGTTAGTTTTCCTTCCAGGGAATTGTCACTGTCAATGATTACCCGTTTCTTGTCATCGCTTGACAGCTGGGCTCCCCTAAGGGTCACATACGCCTGGAGGTCTTCAAAGGTCAGTTTCTGCGCCAAAAGACGCGTCCAGAGAACATCTGCACGTGCTAGGTAGCTATCATGGCTTTCATCTCCAAGCTGAGAACACTGAAAAAGGGCCTTTTCGGCATCTGAGTATCTTCGTTCCAACCCTGTCTTTCCCCAGTGGCCTCCAAGAAGCTCGATCAAACGTTTGATACCTTTCTCCTCATTGATGCACAGCTCGGCATGATGCAGCTGCAACTTGGAGAATGCTGTCCCTGACGTATTCAGTATCAACCGTGTGATCAACTCCGACAATTTGGATGGAGGCCAGACTGCAAACACAAGTTGGACCTTCTGCTGATAGAGTTGCAAATCGTCTTTACTCGGATCAAAACTGGGCACCAGGTAGGCAAGCTGTGAAGAGATGGTCCCCCCGACAGCTTCGGATGCTTCCGTTCCAGATGCTCCGTCACTACCCGACGGCATGGCACTGACTCACCTGCTCGGTTGTGCCGCAGGCAAATCGTCAGCTTTGCACCAAGGTAGCTTCCTGGATACCCCCGACGGCTGTCGGAGGCTCCGCTACCAATGTAAATGCGGTAGCAACTCAACCAGAAAAAACACGGATGTGGACCCTGCCACAAACACCAAGCCGCTGCGGCCTCGCAGCTTTGTTTTCGCCCAAAATGCCTTGCTGTCACCACAGCTCCAGTTGCCAAAAAGATGGCCTGCCTCGGCCGTCTGTAGCACCTTGATATGGCTCTCCAATGGGATCGGAAAACCCACCCTCCACTGCGCCTAAGGGCTCTCTGAGCCGGTGATCCCTGCGGCAATCGCAGGATATTCGCAAGGCTGTGTGGCCTTCCAAGAAACCCTGACAGGCATGGAAGTGAAATGAGATCGTTCACAATATACGTATATGCATATCTATATATCTATATGTCTATATATCTATATATCTATATATCTATATATCTATATATGTATGTATAAATGTATATGTGTATATGTGTATATGTGTATCCCGTCATATCCCCATCATATCCTTAATCAAATGCCACCATTTTTCAATCATGTTTTGCCACTTAATAAACCATTCCATTGTATATCCCATTGCATGATGGTTTTGTGGACCAACTTTCGTGATATTACTAACCATCTTTTGTTATCCCATTCATTGTTATTTCATTACATTCCAGATTTATATTGTATAGTTATTGCACTTATAATATAAAGATAGCTATAAGTTCTGGACTATAAAGATCATTCTTCGCATTATTATCCCATAGTCATTCTATAGTCCAGAACTGGTTGGTGGTATAGCTACCCCTCTGAAAAATATGAAAGTCAATCAGAAGGATTATCCCATAATTCGATACCCTCTGGTAATTTAACATAGCTATGGAAAATCACCATGCTATTAATGGGAAAATCCAGTATAAATGGCCATTTTTAATAGCTATGTTAGTTTACCAGAGGGTAATTCTCCCATTGTTTCATGATTTCTGGACCGACTTCTCCCACTTTTTTTAGGTCACCCGGTCTCCGGCAGTCGCTGCAGCAGCTGCATTGTCCATGGCCAGCGGCGGATGGCATGGAGCGCAGCGCCCACAGTGATGATGTTCGCCGGGCCCTGGGGGATCCCACCAGGGTGGGATAAGCCTACAGGATGGGGCCCCCCAGTGAAAAAAGTGGGTTTATAAACCATGAAATAAGCCCTATGAACTAGTTCGTTATATCTACCATAAAGCCACTTTTTTCAGGCAACTTAGCTATCTTGGGGGCCCCATCCTGTAGGAATCGGGGACTTATCACCAGGGGTACTAAGGATAACCTTGGATGGTTGAAACCCTACAAATACTGGGATAAACCATCTATCAACCATCCATAGTTATGTTAGTTTACCAGAGGGTACTGTGGATGGGCCAGCGAAAGCCGAATCAACAGTTGAAAACGGTGGTAAACATCCCACTATTTCTAGGGTTTCAACCATCGGTGGTGCAGGATTTCCTCCATCCACCGTATCACCAGGGGTACTAAGCACTTACTAAGGGATCCTCCAAGTGGATCCTGACTTGGTGGGTTTAGGGGAAAACTAGGAGAAAATGGTGAAGCATCAAGAAACATCATAGTTAGAAATACGGTTACAATGCAGTTGGATATAGACCAATAGTATATATGGCTTATGAAACGCGAACTGGGATGCACCTAGAAGGGGGGTGTGGTTTAAGTGGGAAAAACCATGGGAAACATGGCGGGATTTATGGAACTCATGCCGGTTTTATGGGAAAATGGTGGTTTGAAGTAGCCACAAAGGGCCACAAGAGGGGTTCGAAGCCTCTTTCTTGCTGGGTGAATTTGCATTCTGTTGAAAAACAAATGAGTCTTGCTGGTTAAGCATCCATTTTATTTGTAAATCAACCTTTTGCTGGTCAAAACCCGATTCTTGTTGGTTAGATCATCCAACTATATACTGTTGGGTAAAATCAACATTTTGCTGGTAAACATGATTAATTTTGATTGAACTCCAGTGTTTGGTCCATATTTTGCTGATTGAAACTCAAGTTGGCTAAAACATCCATCTACTGCTGGATCAACCTGCATTTCGTTGCATCTTTTCCAGTCACGACCACACCGCACCTTGTTCGACAGCAGCGAGAGAGCGGGCGCCCAGCGGCCCCGCAAGGCGTTGAACAGCGACGTTCGGGTGATATCATTCCCTTCCAATCGCCTCCAAAAGGGGCGGAATGTTTAGAGTGATCTGGGCCAATATAGGGGTTACTACATATTCTACAAATAAGAGATAATGATAAAGGACAACTGACAACTGACATATATGTATTATATATATATGTATTATATATAAATGTATATATATATATGTATTATATATATATGTATATCAATTAAATTCCGAAACTTGTATCACAGGCAATTTTGGTAACTCTTTATTTTTTCTATGCTGAGGTCGGCCGGTCAGGTCGATCGTTTACTTACCCAGACGAATGTTTGACGTCGATGAGATGGAAAAAAACACCTCCAGCATGTAGATCAATATGTAGCTGTACGCATATTTCCATATATTTCCTATCTGGGTATTATGGTTGTGGATCAAACTTGGTTACCAGAAAATGTGATGAGTGACTACTGCTGATGGAAAAAGAATCGTACCCAGGTTTCAATTTTGATCCATACAAATATTGAATCAACCCATTTGAGCCTTCAAACTACCCCGGTTGATTGCTTATTGCAGGGGGTTGTACTCTCTGTTATACTAACCCACAATTAACAGGATGCCTATGAAGGCGGGTATAAATGTATTGGCTCAAACTGTAAACAAAATACCTACCAAGAGGGGCCCCGCAAGAATGTTTGTTGATGTGGTTTCAGCCCATGAACAAACCATGCCTAAACTAGTTAATAATATCCAACTTCACTACCATAAAATCAGATATATCAACTAGAAATCCCGTTTTTCTTGTTGGTTAAACACCTATTTCACCCATTCCTATAGGGTAAATCCTACCATAACTCTGCTTCCCGAAAGTTCGCTGGTCGCGCCTTCGAGAGATTTCATCCCAGTGCTGCAGCGCCAGCTGCCAACGCAGCTGCTTAGCACTGTTGCTGATGGCAGCATTGTGGGCGATGATATCCATCCATGGAATCCATGGAATCCATGGCCAAAACGATGAATTTATGGGGCAAAATGCCAAGTGTTCAGAAAAAAAATCATTGGGGGACACATCATCCATTCATTGCTGGATTGGTGTTTCTTAGCGCCTCCAAAGTCCACCAGAAAGTAGGCCTTTTCAGCCATGATCCGTTGGTGAAATCGAGGAATAGGCACGCCTTTTTTGAGAAAGCAATGGAAGGGATTTCAAGAGAACTGAACCTCCAAATTGTGTCAAAGGGAATTGGCTTAGGGTACCAATGGACCCACAAACGGCTGGTCATTGATTGAAGCACCCGTTTGTTGGGCGCAATATGCAATAATTATAAGCATTTGGAAGCCAATGACCCCAACTTCATCTGATATCAATTTCATCTCCGTTTTCCTCCATAAGTTTTTTCTATGCTTTCCCACATGTTGTCGCATGTTTGTTGCTTGAATATCCCCCATTCACCCTCTGGTATATCCACAAAATAATATGGAACACCCATGGTTTCCCTTATGTGAAATTACTAGAGGGTAAGTAACTGGCTAATAACCCTGGTTAGTAAGTCCCGGATTCGTGGGTTACACCACAAATCAGTGGCTTATCACTATGGTTACTAACCGGTGATGTTTCGCCCTGATAAGTGGGATGATTACTAAGATTACTAATCAGACTATAGTTACTATGGCAACTAATAGATATCTAATGGCAATAACTATGACTTATGTTGCCATAGTTACTATATCAATGGCCAATAACTATGGATTGCTAAGATCCTCCAAGTCACCCCCCTGCGACAGCTTAGCATCTTTTTACGCCATCGCCCGAAGGGCCGCAAGGCCCTGTTCTGGCAGCAAGGCTAAGAACTGCCTCATGGAACAGAGCTTGGTTGGGAAAACAGGAACACCGTGGTCTTTACCCATGGTTTATAGGGATTATTTGGAGGCTAACTAGCAAGAAATAGCAAGACTGTTTTTTTAAATGGATTTTTACGACCTTGGATTCCAAGAAAAACACCAAACCATCGATGAAAATAACCAGGCCTCACAAATGTACTGGTGGAACAACCTGGAACAAAACCAAGGGCTCTGTAACTCTTTGGGGCGTCCCTTTCAGCAACGTTCGGAACACGTATCGGTTTTTGGGCAGATGGCATGTGGCCCCAAACTCCAAAGACTCACTGAGTGGTTGGTGGTTTTTCGCCACCCCTCTGAAACATGATGGAGTGAAAGTCAGTTGGGATGATGACATTCACTATATATATATATATATATGGAAAGTCATAATCCATTCATGTTCCAGTCACCACCAACCAGGAAAATGATGGGCTTTTCACCCTGAAATTCACCATGAAATCTCCAGGGTTCCAGCCGAAAATCCCGGATCGGAAACCCCACCTTTGCCGCCTCCAGCGTGCACTAAGGTCGCAAATGGCTATGGCCTCGCCACAGCAAATGGCCTAGGCGTTGTCCCATTGAGGTACCGAGGTTTTGAGGTACCGAAACATGGTTTCCATTAAGTTATGAGACTTTACCAGAGAATATATACATATATGGGTAAATATGTGGTTGAATCCCCTATCTAAATAGGGTTTTATGATCTAAAGTGTGAGAATATCCAGACATCTGGCTAAATTTCATGGCCTGTGGGGATGATTTCCCGACCAAAAAACACGATGGTGATGTTCCAGTTGGCCATGTTTTTGGGCAAACATCGTCACCAATTGGGTGTTTCCCATGGTGTACCCGGCCTGGTAAACATACAAAAAACTGATGGGAAAATCCACCATTTTCAATGGGAACATCCACTATTTCGACTGGGTCATTTTCAATAGCTATTTTGACATAACCAGAGGGTAACACTGCCATCCTGCCATTCCAAAAGAAGTGACATTGAGAGCCACGGAAGAAGGCTCCAGCTCTTCCTGGGCGACAACACCATCTCGCTTTGTCGCCGGGGAATGACAGATCCATAGCTACGACTGGCTTAATCTAATTTGGTGGCTTGTAAATGTAGTTGGAAACAATGTTGGTTCTTATACATATATATATATAACATACATTATGTATATATATATATGTATATACATGTGTATATATATATATATATAACATTATAACCAAGTGGTGGGTATAATCCAACCTTTTGGTGATGAAACTAACTGGTGATTGTATGTTCCATTCTATCCTTGTTGGACTTGGAAGTGGCTGGACCCCTGAAACTGTTGGTTCCATGGGCGTCTGAAGCAATTCATGTGGTCGAAACATGTCATTTTTGCATCTTGAACCTTACCCTCTGGTAAACATACAAAAAGCTATTGAAAATGGCCATTTATAGTGGATTTACCCATTGAAAATGGTGATTTTCCATAGTTATGTTAGTTTACCAGAGGGTAACCAATGAATTACAATTATTTGGAAATGATGAGGCCTAATTCATGGGTTAATCCAATCCAACTTTTGAATTTAGCGGGTTAGAAAAAACATACCATTTTTTTTTATCCATGAATATCTCATGAAATCCGAATTCGAATCAGTTGGTACCAGTTAGTAACACGACATATCCCACTTTTCTCCCACTCAATTCTCATTTTTCTCCCACGAACTCCTCATGATCTCATGATTATCACCGCTGTGCCTGCTGAAATCCCAAAACCTCCGGGTGAGATCATCTCCACCGGTGATCCGCCAGGCGATGTCTGGTGATGGGAAACGCCAGCAAAAACTAGCGATTTAGGTCTCATCCCGAACTTGGATCAACTCCGATTGGGCAAAGATAATTAGGTATCATTCTATAGTACTCATAATTATAATGGGCAATATATCAACTAGTACTATAAATGGGCAATATATCAGCCATAATGATATATTTAGGTATCATTCCTAAACCAGGAAGACTATGTTTTCAAATGGGCGTTTTCCTCAAATTCTAACCATCAGGTTCCATTAATGGTTTGGTTCAATCCCCTACGCTTCTTGGAGATTCATCTCGGTTGGATGGCTAAATTCCCCATATCCCAGACCGCATCCCTGAAATCCCATATTTTTGTTGCTGAAAGCCAACTGTTACCCTCTGGTAATTTCACATAGCTATGGAAAATCACAATTTTTCATGGGAAAATCCACTATAAATGGCAATTTTCAATAGCTATTTAACAAATCACCAGAGGGTACAGGCGTTTTTACCCATCATTTTTTTGGGGGGCTGTACATCACCAAGGCTCCATTAAGGACAGTTGCAGGTGCCACGTGGCTCCACCGTTTCGCACGGCTTTCAGCGTGCTGGCGAAGGTCAAGACGTCGACGTCAACGTCGCCGTGTCCGCAGCCAGTGAAGAGCTGGACGGCCTCCTGGCGGTCTGATGTGTTACCCTCTGGTAAACATGGAAAAAGCTACTGAAAATGGCCATAGAAATAGTGGATTTACCCATTAATAGCATGGTGATTTTCCATAGTTATGTAAACGTTTATCAGAGGGTATATTGTGGGTATATATATAGAGATTACATATGTCTCACGAGCTTTTCTTGCTTTATCATTACATTCCGGCCCGAGACTTGACTGTGAGATGAGGTGAGCTTGTCCAGCAGTGGTGTCTTCAAGTGTGGGATCCCCAACTCACCATGGTTGTTTCAATAGTAAAATGATCGAATGTTGGATGATTTGGGGTACCCCTATGACTTAGGAAACCTCCATATTTGGGATTTCCACTTGACATGTTAGCGATGAGGCTACTAAGAGGTTTCCTGTACCTCCCTGGAAGAAAGAACCAAAATTGTACGGAAAATCCTGCAGAATCTTGGTTCCAGCGAGGTTCAAGTAATTATCCCTTGGTATCTTGTCATGCCAGAGATCATTTCTCTGGCGATATATATATATATATATACATGGTACCCCTCAAAAACCATTAAGAAAACCAAACACAAGAGGATATGGGCAAAGGCAACAGACGGTATAAGCCCCAAAGTTTCATCGAACGTAGTGATTTTAACCAGCAAAAGTAGGATATCAATCTACCAAAACACTGCGAGGTTTGAACAAACGAAACAAATATCGAGGTATATAGATAACATATGATCCACCATATACAGTCTATACATATAGTTACATATATAAAGGTTCTATCTCGAGAGCAACGCATTTTCCAAGTTGCTTCATAACAATGTTAACGGATAAGCTATGGTGGATGTATTTGGAGTTGGACACCAAACCACCTTGAGGGCACATTTTCTCAACCATCGGGGTCTGAAAGAACGATGGAGAAAAATGCCAAAACCACGATCTTGTCATGTCGGCCCAAACATCAGAAAGTAAGGTTTCCCAAAAACGCTTTCCGACAGGGCAGTGCTTCGCTGTGCATCTGCGGCATAGCAGCGATGAACTTGAGGTCGGATTCGGCACAGCATCGAAATTTTCTATGGCTGGTTGGTGGTTTTTCGCCCTCTGAAAAATGATGGAGTTAAAGTCATTTGGGGTTATTTTACCTTATGACATACCCAATATGATGGGAAAAATAAGCCAAATGTTCCAGTCACCACCAACCAGTTATGGCATTCTATGGTCATTCCCTTGGTGGCCTGACCCCTGACATGCGGCCACGGCTGCCACAGCCATTGTGGGACAATTTTTGTGGCACGAAAACGGGAAAGGAACGTCCTTAAACTATTTGAGAAGTTCGCCAGCTGGAGTATCTCTGGCAGATTGCGGCTGTCCATGCACTGCGTAGCCGAATTGTCTCATGGAGCATTTTGGCATTGTCATTGCACTTGCAATGAACATTCTGAAGCACACCATCCACAAAAAATCAGTCAATTGGCTTCACTTCCTCCTCAAAATGGTGTAGTGACCCATCCCAAGATTCAAATGGGACGAATCCCAATGGTTACAGCTTAAATCCACATTCTTACTAGTGATAATTTTTCGGAACAACAGTGGGGGTTCTTACCATGCTCACACCCATAAAAGATCATCCCAACACCCTCAAGTGCAATTTCATCAACAACCAGGGTTCTCCAACTCTCCAACGCCCTCCTTCCAGCGTTTGCACTTTTCGGAGGCGCTGATGGCAGAGTTGAAAGTGAAGACGTCCAACTCCAGTCTTGCGGCCTTGAGTTTTGATGAGGAATTCCCAGATGATAATAATCCCCAATGTATATTGGAGAGTATGGTTTGGACCATGGTTTATTTGACTACAGAAAAAAAGATTGGGAGTGGCACTTGTTTCATGATAATTACAAGTAAAGAATATTAAATAAAGTTTGATAGGCTAAGCACTCATGGTTGATCAGAACAATATCTATTCGTGGGGATTGGCACCTATTTCATCGTGAAATTGGTTGTATTTGAGAATCTCAACCCTAGTTGTTGATGGTAAAGTAGCACCAACTTTCGCTGTTCAAACAACTTTTTCTTTTCTGTGAAAATTACTATCCTAGGCTGTGGTAGTTTAACATAGCCATGGAAAATCACCACTTTCACTAGGTAAATCATCGAACAATGGGCCATACTGTTAAATTACCACACGGTACATCTCCTGCCGATGAACATCACCATTTTCTGCACTTCCGAGCGCCCGCCCGCCTGCATTTCGGCCATCAGCGCTAGAGCCAAACGCCAATGGGCACCTGGAAAATGATAAACCACGATTGGGCACTGTTGACTCACAAATGGCTGTGCATTTTCGGCAATGATATTTTTTGGCACCAATTTTGAGCGGTTGCCTTTTGCCACCTGGTTGAAACTTATTTGCGGCCCACAAGTGAAAGGTTTTTGCTTCACTGGTTGCAGTGGTTTCAACCCATCCCAAAAACAGTAGTCAGGTTGGAAAAATCATCCCAGGTACAATTCAAAGTAACAGATATCTGAACCACCAATTATCTAATTATCTAATTATCTAATTATCTAGCTATATATATAATTATATAATTATATGCATATTATATCCATATTTCTCCTGCGTTTTTACTAGCTATGTTCCTTTTCGGTTGGCAAGTCCTCCCCATCCCCATCTCTACCGGTACCAGGGGATGAACTCACCTTCTTCGCAAGCGCTCACCGTCGAGTTGTAGGTTAACCTTGGAAGTTGTGGGGACAACTCATTTGGTTATTATATGATGACTAATATATGGTTAATGATGGTTAATATTAATGGTTAATGTATGGTTATTAGATAATTAATGATGATTAATAATAATCTGGTTGGTGGTGCAATGTGCCCATCTTGAAAAATGATGGAGTTCGTCAATGGGAAGGATGACATCCCATATATAATGGAAACCAGTAATGATCATGGGGATAGTTATCATGACATCATTGAATTCCGATTCCCAAATCAGATGAAATTCATGGGGGTTTTGTTATAATGACATCATGGACATCTAATGGGCAATCTAATCTAAATATCAATCATGGTCTTTTGAATGGCTCAAATGGGTCCAAATGCCAATGGGTAACTAGCAGATGGGCACTTTGTCAGTCTTAAATATTTATCCCAAGAAAAACACATCAGTTTTGGCTGGTTAGTCAATTTCACATTTATATATGGGAGACACTGCGGGAAACAGCTACTCAAAAAACATATACGCATGTTCACCCAGGGTAATATATATATATACACTATATATATATATACATAGATGTGGCTATGGATCAAAACCCTAGTAACCTAGAAAATAGCTGGCGAATGGATGCACATCTTCATCTCAATTTTTTCTTTGGGATAAGTTTGGACTTAGGCCCATACCCATATTCAGAATGAAGCTACCTGTTTGTTTCTTAGCAATCATCCAAATGCACAAGAGAATCCCTCGGGCCTGTGGATGTAGACAAGTACAGAACTCCATCGTGCGTGAAACAGCGGTTGTGCTGGACCCAGTACAACTTGATAAATAGTCCCTTCCCGCTAGTATTAAACACCCCAAAGAAATCCTGGTTGAGTAGGGGATTCTGATATAATGGGGACCATTTATGGGGTGTTTCATAGGGGGATGAGATTATAAATTTCATGAAGCAACAATTTTCCAACAATTCTGGATCCAAACAATTTTCCAAACGCACCACAGCTGTCGGGCCACGAATTCCTTGCAAAGCACTGCATGGAGTGCAGCCGCAAGGCTTGCGCCCAACGATCGCCTTTGACGCACCTGTCGGGTCATCGGATGTCATGACGGTCATCGGATCTGCCGCCTTGCGGCAGTGCTGAAAAAGTTGGAGTATCATGTGCACCCTTTAATATATGGCACAAAGTATATATATATATATATCATAACATGGCAAGTGTAATACATAACTACCTAACTAACTAACTAACCAACTAAATAAATAAATAAATAAGTACATAAATAAATAAATAAATAAATAAATATATATATAGTATACATTGGATAAAAGATAAGATCCTCGGAAAGCACTGGTGGTGATTTCTCGCGCAAATTGAAGATCTTCTGTGGTATTTTAAAGCCCAAGGCCAGGGGGCCGTCACCATCCCATGAAGCATCATTCCATGTAACTCGGGCCTATCAAAGAACTGTAAGTCACTGTTCTCGGATTCAAAAGAACAAAAGAATACAACAGATACAAAAGATCAATGGGAATATCAGGATCCTAAAATGGAGGTACTGTACCATATAAGATAACAGAGAAGAAACAACTAAAGAAGCAGAGTGATGGCTTCAAAAAAAGAATGTGGCTCTGGCTCCAAGGCAAGTCTTGTAGCCCTGCAAAATTGGGTAGCTCGAGAGTGATTCGGCACAGGTGGCAGGAAGTCTCCATAGACTTCCCTTCCAAATCACCGGGATGTACATGAGCCGCTGGACAAACCATAAGGAACAGTTGTTCCGAAGTTCCTAATTGAAAAGGATCCGTCTAGGAGTATAGCCAATTTCATAAATCTCAAACTTGTGGATTGTTTATGGCATTGGGTTTACCACATTACTTCATATTACGGGTCCGGGATTACCCGTCGTCAACCACTACTGAGTATCGATCACATTAACCACACATCGAAAATGATCTTTACCCCCATGGTGAATGGGATGGTGACTATGGCATTCAGCTTTACCACACATTCCAAGCCACGCGCTGATGGCAGCCCCCATGCTACGCATCAGCTCGCCGTTTCCCGCAGCTTGCGGCGGCAGCGCTTGCGGCAATAGCCACAGGGCGCCGCGCCACGTGGCTTGGAGGACCTGGCAAATCCGCAGAACTACCAGGGATTTTAAAGCAAATAACAGCTATAATCAATGCCATATTTTGGGGGTATATCCCCTGAAATTTAGGCCAAAAAAAATAGGCCTTATATATGGTAGGTACCTCCAATCAATCGGTTCCTGAAATGGCCATTGATATAATAACCATCCAAGAAATGAGGATTTGATAAGAATGGCATTTGACAATGTGAAGTTGGTGGTATGAGCTAGTCAGCTAGTCCAACATGCTTCATTTAAGCTACGAACATGGAGACCTAAGTTGCTAGACGCTATTGGATACAAACATTGGGATCTAACCATCAATTAGGGGTATGACCCTGAAACCATAGGGGGTTTCACTAACTTGGGGGGAAGTCACCAACACACAAGTGCAGCAGGCTGGAGATGGACTGGCCGTTGGACCAACGATCGAAGATGTCATATCTCGGCAGATCCCAGAAGTTGGATATTTTTCCACCTTTTTTTCCATATTTTCTGTGTCTCCACCTTTTTTCTATCTAGGGAGTCGTGAAAAAAATGGTAAATTCTGGTAGACAAAAGCCCATCTCGGAAGCGGATAAGCAACCCCAGCTTGGCCCATGGCATCAACAGCATTCGTTAAGTGATGTCAATTTTCCTGAATTCAACTGTACCACATGAGCCCTTCTACTCGATTTTTTCTCAATCTACAGAACATGTTGATTTACATAAACTTTTATTCATATGGGTATGTCTGAAAATGGGGTATACCCCCAATTATAGCCATTTAGTAGGGATAATGATCATTAACCATTGGGTGTAGGGGTACACTATTTTCAGACAAACCCATATGTTTACTGGTTAACATCCCAATTCTCATGAATTCTTGCTGGATCTTCCCTGCCGCAGTGTCAAGGTGCTGGAAGCAAGGACCCTGAGCTAATACGGAGAGCGACTTGGTACCTGGGCAAAAATGAATGGTACCCCGAGCGCGAGGTCATGATCATACCGTAATGGATGAGAATGGACCCTTTTGTGAATTTTGAATGGGGGATGGAAATAGTGGATGCAAAAATACTTTTTTTATGGATAATTATCATGGATAGTATAGCACACCAGGATGGATACTGGACAATGGGGTATCATGTAACGATAGGGTCCCAAGCAGCCCTGGTGGAATGTGCTGGATGTATTCATTGGCGAGGTAAAACACGTGGTTTCCCCATGGTTTTGCGCCTGAAAATAGGGAGGTTCTGCTAATTTCCTATAAGGGAAAATGAGTATGGATAATCCATGATAAATCCCATTCAATTCGGGTTTCAGCCAATGGGCATACGGGAACATTTGCCAATCTAACCTTGACCATTAAAAGTAATTTCTCATCGATCCGAAACCAGACTTTTTGACCTGTTCCTTTCCGCCAACATTGATCATCATTTAGATTAGTAGGCTTGGCTGTGTGAGAACAAAAAAGGCACACAAGCCATACAAAACAGGGATTTTTCACTACAGGAAGGCAGTCCAGCAGTCCATGCAACATCGGAGCTTCATCAACGAACTGGTGGCATAGAAGCAACGGTCCAGTTTGCCAACTAGGAATGCTTGCACCAGATTTGCGAAGAATAGGCGGAAGCTCAATGTCCACTTGATTGCAGAACTCTTGGTGGTTGAAAACTCAAAGCTGATCGAACAAATGGGCAAATGCCCTCTATCCTTTTCCATGATCAAAAGGCTCTGTTCACATTGCCTGCAGAAGTATCATTCTAAGACGTGCAACTTGCAATCTGAAATTCTTGGATGTAAAATCATGGTTTCCCGCAGATTTTCCCTTAAGCCAATCCAGGGATTCACCATCACGGCACAAGGAGTGCAACGAGTGCATGGCATTGCGCCACCTGGCAGATGTTGGAACCCTGGGAAAGTCCTCTTATTTCTTTACAGCCCAAAATGATCCAACATCTCCAGTCCTAGTCTGTATACACGTATATATATATATACACACTATATATATATATACACACTATATATATATACACTATATATATATACTATATACTATATGTATATATATACATACTATATATATATATATACATACTATATATATATATACATACTATATATATATATACATACACATACATTATTATATATTTATATACGTATCTTAGGAACATTTGGGTAACTGCCCTCACGTTCAGGAGATGTTGGGATCTGGCTCTCAACACCGGCTCAACCGGCGAGCTATGCGTATCCGTAGGAGGTGGCGACTCATGGGGGGATACCCCAAAATGGCGCTTTCAATGGCAAACATACGAATTATTGATGGATAAACATGGATAATCATGGTAATTATGGATGAATAGTAATTAATATTATGGATAACAATGATGGTTAATAAAATTGTTGATGGATAATAGTAATTCATGGACAATATTGGAAAAATTGAGATAACAAGAGGAATTACTCCCCAGGAATTAACATTGGCTGGCTTTTATAAATCTCCAAATTAGAAGTGTCTAATATGCCACGTTTGATCACCGCAGGGTCTCCGTTGGAATTTAAGGTACCCCATTTTCAAACCATGGCTGGGTCGCTTTTTGTTATGTCAGGATCGTCCCGAAAGCCCCCTGGTTGGTGGTTTCAACCAACCCCTCAGAAAAATCATGGAGTGAAAGTCAGTTGGGATGATGACATTCCCAATGGAAAAAATATAATCCAGTCATGTTCCAGTCACCACCAAGCAGAGCAGAGCATTTTCGAGTGGCTTGAGGCTAAACTTTGACTTACTGGTGCGTTTTACGTGGGGTTGCTGGGGGTTGCTGGGATGATGACTGTGGTCATTCCATTGCAACTGGTTTCACCACAACTGGGGGGTGCCTTAGGTAACTTTCTTTTGGGATCTTTCTATGGTTGTAATAACTGTAACTATGGGTACAGTGGTTATATATCCATAGTTATTCCCAACCTATCTTTAAGTTTCTTTTGGGAAGAACTATGGTTGTAAAACCAGAAAAGTTGGGATATAACTTTAACTTGATATAACCCCTATAACTGTAACATAACTGTAACTATGGGTACATATCCACTGACAACTGGAACACTTCCAAGCAGGCAAAAACAGTCGCTTCTTCCCAATTGCTCAACAGTAGGTGTACAAGAAAACCCCTGTGAGTCGCTATGGATTCCCAAGCTGTTTCAATGAATCACCCAATGTGCAAGGGAACTATTTTTTGCCTCGAAATCGGATTTCAGCCAACCTGGGTGATGAATCCATGGCTGGCTTTGCCAAAGGTGATACCAATGGATACTAAATCCATCACTGGGGTGGCTACTGAGCTGGTACCGCATTCCCAAGCGACAAAAAAAAACGGGGCTATCCCAGCCTGCCGTGGCCATAGGAATTCATAGTGGCATTGAAGGCAATGAGATCGGGCTCCAGGTGCTTCTCCTGTGATCCCCAGTCGACCTCAACCTATCGTGATATCAGTGATATCCATATGGGCAAAATAGGAATTTGCATTGCAAAATAGCAGATATGTCTTGTGGGAGTTTTGGGGGATCCTCGATTTTTGAACATCAACGTACCATTATTTAGTATCAATCCCAAACAGAGCATATCAGACGAGTTTGAGACTGGCTTTTTCGACTCTGCGATCAAGAGCACAAAAAGCCATAGAGCTTCGACCATTTATGCAGTTTTTGGTCAACTCTAGTATTGAACAATCTCTTCTTATCTTCTTGAGGGTACCCGCTCTATCCCCACTGCAATGTCCTCTACTGATTGCTACTTGCGACATCCCCAGCTTTTCTTGCTTAGATTCCCAAGCCTTTGTCGGTGATATTTTGTCAGCCTGTGCAGCTTATTTGTCGCACTTGCGATTCCATAGCCAATGGTAGATACCCTCTGGTGAACTAACATAGCAATGGAAAATCACCATTTTTCATGGGAAAATCCACTATAAATGGCCATTTTCCATTGCTATGTTAGTTCACCAGAGGGTACCCTGCAATACCCTGCAGCCAGCCAGTTTGAGCTGGTGAGCTCCATGTCTCCATGACCCAGGGATGTTTTTCGCCTGCAGCTCCAGAAGTAGCTGAGAGCTGGTAGACCTTGGGAAGCCCCAAATCCCATGGTTGGATTGATCATCCCACGAAAATGGCCATGGAGGTGCAGTATTTGGACAATCAACGATTTAACGGGTAAGTACCAATCAACGATTTCGTAACTGACAGAATCATTGGATTCGATAGGTCAATGATTGATGGTGAACTATCCTTTGACCATTCACCTGCTAAAGTGCTAAATTCATGGGTTAGTAGGATTACTTTGTCACTTCTCAATGGATTTTGGATGGGTCATCAAATGACCCACGAAGCCAGAAGTCCAACAACTACCGGTCAACAGACCAACCGAAACCCATCCACAAAGAAACGCTTGCCATGATAACTTCACAGAAACAAGTGCTTGATACCTACAAGGCCAATCTTGCATACCCTGCCAAGAACGTGTATGTTTTGGCTGGCTAGTACATATTGTACATGTATGTGCACATACAGCATATATATATATATTATACAGACATACATATACTCCCAAATCAAACCCGCCAAAAAAAACAAAGAATAAGAATGACCTGCTCAACCAGTCAGTTTAACCGAAGGGATTCCCCAACTTCAGCCCAGAGACCAACGACACTTGGTGATGCTGCTGCTGTAGCCCAGAAGGTCCTTGCGGCTGATGGAGATCTTTACCATGTGCTTCACAAAACAGTTCCGCCACCTGTACTGTGAACAACTCATCCTAACTGTGAAAATATTACCCTCTGGTAAACTAACATAGCTATTGAAAATGGCCATTTATAGTGGATTTACCCATGAAAAATGGTGATTTTCCATAGTTTTTTGTTAACGTTTACCAGAGGGTAAAAGAGTGTCATCAGTACCCAAAAGGTCCTGTGAACAAGTCATTCTAATTGTGTAAACATTTGCAATCCCAAGCCTTACAAGATATTTGAAGCCATTTCTCAGCTCGTGCTCATGCTTCCCCCACTCTTCCCCATCAATCATCATATCGTGAAATTGGGTGCTCAATTCCATCCCATTGTTGAGAAATGCATTTCTCTGTTTTCCGATGGCCATAAATTGGGGGTAAACCATGTAATTTCCTTATTTTTGAACAACCCCAGGGCCCCAGCTTCTTCGGTCGCGTCCTGTGCCAACTGCAAGGCCCTTGCCCAATGGTCCAGCAGCGAAATGCACAGGTTCCGCGAAGTGAAGTTGGGCGACAAACCTCCATGGGCTGATGCTGGTTTGGATTGATTGGGCATTCATCCCATCATCCCAGCACAATTGGGGATTTACAGCGGCTGCAGACCACGGCTTTCATGAGAATTGAAGCCACCTCACCGGTGTTAGGTAAAAAACATGTTTCAGATTGAGCCCCTAAACACATCCACACATCAGGCAACATGACAATTCAATGGATAAAACTGGCTTTGATTTCCAGTGGATGGAACTCTGTTCTTTCGAAACTTCAATCCGTCAATGGCCATTTTTGGTCTAAGGGCTAAGGGGATATATCCCCAAAATATGGCCACTGACTCTAACGTAGCTAAAACAATAAACCATCCTCCAGTCATCACCATTTTTTTGCTTGGTGGTATAAACTTACCATTCCCAGGAACATGGGTGGTAAACATGACATTGTTATACCCACATTAATCATCATTAGTCATCCATGAATCACCATTATTAACCAGTATTAACCAATATTAACCATTATTGACCAGTATTAACCAATATTAGGCAATTATTAACCATTATTAACCAATATTAACCATTATTAACCAATATTAGGCCACTATTAACCAACATTAACCATGGATATTTACCCACATGAAATGGCTTCTGTGCCTCGCTGTGGCATCTCCTCCAAACTTCGCAGCGCCAAGCGCCACGCTTCGGTGGCTTTCAACGCAGCATTCTGCGAGGCCACGTCGGAGCGCCTCGGTAAAAAAGGAACCACTTGGATCGGCTGGAGAAATCTGCAGAAAACGGCGGTTTCGAATTTCAAAGTAGTATATTAATATATATATATATTAATAAATATTTGTAAAATACAAAATCTAATATTAATGAACCAATAATGTCCTTGTGGTAAAAAAATAGAGGGGCCGGGAGCTGGTTAATCCCATCTATCATCATAGAAACCTGTTGTTTTTCAGGGGTTTCTTCAATTTTCCCTCTATTAATCACGCAACCAATGGGAATTTTGGGAAATCTATGGTAGGAACCACTTCTCACCAAATTTTTGGGGAATCCAAGAAATCCATTGGATGATTTTCTACCATAGGCGTGAACCTGGTTTTGCTGAGGGGAAGTACATGTATTCCACAACCGATGGGGTCTCCTACATAGCGACTGAATGTAGAACCAGCGTTTCTTGTCTTACCTGGTTCTCAAGGAGAATGCAAGTTTTGCCATAGTTTTAGTAGCAAAGCTAACTATCAATAACAATTTTCATGGTGTTCTTTTCCCAGCCAGGCCAGATACTGTCAGATACTTTCTGTTTGGAAAATATCATACTGTATCATTTTTGATGGGAGAAAACATTGAATCCGTAATCCCAGTAGACCTTCTTGAGGTTTTCCCGTAGGTTTCACAGGAAACGTAATGAGGAAAAGCTGGCTTTTCAATCAATCAATGCATTGAATGCCTTGATTGTTGGCAAACATACTACATTTTTGATGCTTAAGCCCTGAATAATCACTGTAAAACGTGGGATGAAAAAAATCCCCAGTTGATGATAAAAAAATATAACCACTATTAGTGATGAATTCCCAGTTGCTGGGGACAATCAAAAAATGTTTTTTTTTAGTTTTTCTGATCAACCACATCTGCAAGTCTCTGGTCAAAATTTTCCCAATCACACCAGTGTTACGCCCAGATTAGTTACATATGGGAAAACCCAGCCACAAGTTCCATCTGTTCATCTGGGCCAAGAGTTTCTGCGCCAACGGCCAAGCAGAGAAGAGGCTGCTGAAAGTGATGACCTGTTTCGGCAAAGCTGCCATGCCAACAAATGCTGGTGGATTGGATAAGAGTTCCCATGATTTTTCAGAGATGTTCAAAATAAACCAGGTATAATACATTATATACATTTATATACCATGATTATTTTATAACCATGTTATTAGGGGTATGTTCCCCAGGTATAATCACCATGTTCCCCATGAGTATAATACATTATAATAGCCCTAAAGAGAAATCGAACCGTTGGACACCTGGATTTTTTCTCGGGGATTCTGAAAACATCGAACTACCATCCTGAAAACACCACTTTCTGATTCTTTTTGTGGCTTGCGAAAAAATGTAGCACAAGGCCTGAACATCACCAATGGGGCCAGTAGTCTGCAGGATGTCAACTTGCTAAACCTTGGACAGCTGATACACATCGAACCATACATTACAATCATTACAATACCATATCTACCAACATGGTGGTTTCCATAAATGGGGAATCCCCAATAGCTGGATGGCTTATTTCATGGAAATTCCTATACACATGGATGATTTAGGGGTACTTTCTGGTTATTTAACATGGCCATGGGAGCCATGGCCCATTTATTTCGATGGTTTACCTATGAAAAAATGGGTGGATCTTTCCATGGCAAACTGTTAGTCATAACCAGAGGGTATCCCAATAAAATCCCATGAAATCATCATTAAATCAATGGCTAAATCCACTTTTTCAATAATTTGGTTGATGATTTAGGGGTACCTTATTTTTAGGAAACCTCCATATCCCTACCAGTTGATCTATCCATCAGCCAGCACCCCACTACGATATGGGCCGAGTGGCATTTGGCCGGATCGATCGCCTGAGGTGGTCGATAGTCAAAGTCTGTGCTATTTATATCGATTTCCATTACCCCCTGGTAAACATACAAAAAACCGATGGGAAATACGGTGATTTATTGGAAACATATGGGAAAATATGGTGATTTTTTGGAAACATATGGGAAATATGGTGATTTATGGGAGATACACTCTGGTAAACATACAAACAACTGATGGGAAAATCACCATGCTATTAATGGGTAAATCCACGAACTAAATGGCAATTTTCAATAGCTTTTTGTTTGTTTACCAGAGGGTATTTGCTGGTTATCCATACATATCCCATTTCTCCGTCTCATCACTGATGGTTAAACCCCTCACACAACACATGGTACATGGGGCATTGTCATCCGACTGTCATTAAGGATTCCTTGTAACCACCTAATAATCTGGGATGACCTAGCCCGATTGATATGGAAATGACAATCCAACTTCATACTGAGCTGGTTGTATATCTCCATTATATCCCTATGAATAATGCATGAAATCCCCATTTATTGAGGAGTAAATCCAACTTTGATGGTGCCAACACGTATCCCTAATTTTCATGGCTTATCATCATGATCCATATTTAAAAACGGTTATTTCAGGGGGATTACGTAGATTACATTCCCATTTTCAACAACAGTGGCGCCAAGTGGCCCTCGCATATCTCCAAAGACCATCTGCAGCGACCTTGGCCAAACGCCTGCAGTCGCGCCTGCGGCAGCAGTCCATGTCACGGCGTTGCCTCAGAAAAAAGTTGCGGCGGGGTCATACAGGGAAACCCTGGGAAAAATCATCCATAGTTTAGGGTCTAATTTATACCCCCAAAAGATGACCTGGGGTTGGGTGTCCCCATTTTGTAGAGCCAAATCTGGCTTTTGGAGGCTTTTGGGGGGATTCTAATTTACTGAAATCTCGTAGATAAACAAGGGAAGTACCTGGAAATAGGCAATAGATGCCAATAGATTGGATGGGGTTAGATTCGATGGACACTTCTATAGTTTTTATTCCAGAGTTGTTGCATTTTTTCCTTCCCGTCCCGTTGATGATCATCGTCTGAAATAGGGAACAAATGAGAAACATCACCCATCAATATACAATAATAAATATATTGGCAATCCCAAAATAATAACTATATACAAATAACATGAAATAACTATTGGATATAGTATAATCAATGGGATATAATATATATTATATAATAATCTATTGGATGGGGATAATCTATTTCAAAAATTGGGATAATCCATTACAATAGTATATGGGCAATCCCCATTTTTCTCTTTCAATGGACTCCGAAAAACGACATGGTGAATCCCCCATGATCTCGCCACGTGCCTTCGAGCGTTCTGGCACTGAGAGCGGACAAAAACTCCACGGCTTGTAGCCACTTCAAGCTTCGACGTTGCGCCTCGCTTTGCGAAGCAATCTGGCAGTGCAATATTTGTGATGCAATTCTAATTGGGTAAACCCAATGCTTGAACCCAGGTTATATATATATATATGGCTTTGAATTTTGGAATGACCCATTTCTAGAAAGTCATTGTGTAAAATTGGGAATGGCTTCTGGTTTTTGGTTCACATTGCGACCAAATCCTGCTGCAGTTCTGCTTGTTCTGGTCCTCTGCGCTGGATCTCCCAGCATTTTTGCTAATCTTCGACTTACATCACTCACTGGTTGGTGGTTTCAACCCCTTCCCAAAATTATGAGTCAATTTGGAGAATCGAAAAAAGGTTGGAAAATAACACATGTTCGATAGCACCAACCAACTCAAATCTTCAAACTCCCAGCATCCTTTGGGTTTGTCCATATGGTACTTCAAATTTGGTGCTTCACCATCATTTTCCCTATTAAAGTAGCCATTTTCAGCTACCCCCTATTTTCAGACAAGACTTTGTTTCATTTCTCAGCTTCACGCTGCGATGGCATTGGTGTAGACCACGACTCCGCAGCGTTGGTCGACCTCCAGATCGCTGGGATTTACGGATGGTTATCCCCCGCCAAATATGCGATACCCGGATACCCCCCCCAACCTCCAGATCGCTGGGATTTACGGATGGTTATCCCCCGCCAAATATGCGATACCCGGATACCCCCCCCAATTTATAGCCATGGAAAATGGGAAAATGATGAGCCAGCAAATTCTTCAGCACCTCATTTTATGACAAAGCCATATGGAATCATAGGTTTACCCAGCTTTGGACTACGAAAGCAAAGCATCTGTTCAACTCTTTTGGAAAAAATGCACTCACACATGGCCATTGGGGAATGATTTTCTCATGGACACATAGAGGAACACCATCAAAGAAGAATGGCTGAGGATTACCAGAGGGCCATCCTTGCCTGCTTCAGTGCCAAGCACCAGTCGGGGACGCTGAAGTTTGACTGCCATGGCATGAGATCGCTGCTGAAGATAGCTTCAAGTTGAACCTTGGCATAGCATATTTCTATAGATAGATACTGGCTGGCAGTTTCAAACCCTCTGAAAAACACTCATCAATGGATCCTTGAAATAAACTGGGCAAAACCAGAAATCAGGATGGTATGGATTTGTTGGACCCCACACCAGTCATGTCATTTCAGCATCTGGAGAAAAGAAGATCGTTCCCCAGCAGTGGTTCTCGGCGATGGACGCAGGATCAGAGAAATCAGCGGGGCATAAGGGTGCTACTCTAGACCAAAGAATACCCTACCAGTGAATACATACATGACACTCCTCCTTGCTCCAAAAAAAAACCAAACAAGTATGGTAAAAGTATTAGATGGGAGTTTTTTTTTGGGCTTCATACATATTGCTCTGGTTGGTGGTTTCAACCCTCTGAAACATAGTCAGTTGGGATTATTATTCCCAATATATTGAAAGATAAGACATGTTCCAAGCCACCAGCCTGTGCTATATTTTAAAACATCTAAGTTGATCTCATTTTGTTTTCTCCATCTGGTGGCACTCCATCTGGTGGGCTCACTGCTCTCTCGACAGGACTAGTTGGGTCAACCCTGGAGACTCACCGTTTTTTGAGCCAGTCTAGCTATGGCACTGAAGAAAAAAAACCAATGTTCATGGTAACAATCTAACAATTATCATTATATCATATAATATCATTATGAAAATTCCTGAAAAAATGGATTAGATGAACCGTCTGTGTTTCACATTGTGAAACCATCCGCTTCTTTAAAAATGTTGTCCGTGATCCAGTCGACCCCTTGAATTACACTGTTTCGTTCAGCGGGGGTGGCACCAGCAGCAATGCGAGGGCAAAAACGCGGGCCATCTCCTGCCGTGAACCCCCATCCACAGATAACCACCCCAATACATGGCCAATGGATTGAATCACCGCGATTACCATCTGATTATGACTAACAGTTTGCCATGGAAAGATCCACCCATTTTTAATAGGTGAAGCATCGAACTAAATGGGCCATGGCTTCCATGGCAAACTGTTAAATAACTAGAGGGTACATGATATTGAATGGTGTAATAGCCATCTGTGGCGGTCGCTGTACTTTTGCTGCTTTCGTTCTGGATGGCTCACTGGACTTCTTGCTGTCTCTGTCGCTGACGGTTACCACCCTGTGGTTCACTGTCTTCAAACCAAGCATGAATCACAATAAGAATATAGTAGCATTAGTACTATAATAGTGAATATATATATAAGAATCATCTTCTTCAGAATGGTCTGACTTAGTAGCATTAGTACTCAGCAGTATCAAAGTAGAATGACGCATGCACCCCTTGTAGACGGACAGGCCATGATTTGGACAAACAACCCACCAACACGGGTACCCTCTGGTAAACTAACATAACTATTGAACATCGCCATTTTGAATGGGAAAACTCACTATAAATGGCCATGTTCAATAGCTTTTGTATGTTTACCGGTATATCTTCAGTTCCAATCGAAGATCTCCAACCAACACGACATCGACCAGTGCCATCCCCTACGGTTTTAATGTGCCAACACCGGTGACCGGCTGAAGTCCTGAGATGTCCCAACGAAAAACCACCCAAAAAAAGATGCGCCTTTTCATGATGAATTTCCACATGATGGTCCCATTCTTACCCAAGATTTCTGATGGTTCAACCCAGCCAGCCTCGATGATACTGATGTCAACGGGCAATGCGTTAAAGCTCGAGCCAACATCAAACAGGTCACAACTGAAGGAGCGGTAACGCCTCACAAAATGTGGCAAAACACAGCCTAGTCCTGATGGCTTCATTATCTCAGAAACTCTAAGAATTATAGTTCACCAACTTGAACTATTGGTGATTTTGGGGAGTTCCCCAATGACCAAAATATACCAAAATCATCATTTTTGGTGAGGCAGGTATGATTCGAATTGGTCGAAGATCCTCTTTGGTGGCATGCAAAATCATTTTGCTAAGTGGGGGGCTTCAACCAATTTTTCGCGTTCTTAAAGTCATCCATATTTAAATCCACCTGGTCGTAACACCAGTATGCTAGGGTTGCAGTTCCACTCAATGGCTGTTTAGATTTAGACTTCACCGATAAATCATCATGGTAAAGAACTAGTGGCATCCATTCATAATTTAGCATCTATTATCCACGATATCCCTAGACACAACGCCGATATTGGCGGCTACACTCCATTGAAACTAAAGTTCCTGCTTACCACCATCCGTCTGGATAATCTAGGTGAATTCTGCAACTGGATTAAAAAAACATAATTCCTGCTGGGATTATGGGATATAATGAATGATATAATTTTGGGCTCCCCATTCGTCATGGTCAAACTCACATGCGCACCCTTGCACCTCAGTCAAACCTCTGCTTCTGCCAACTGGTCAAATCACTTTTTGTATCCATTATTTATGGGGCTACTCCAAAACCATTGGCTTTTTCCATTCAAAAAACAATCCAAATTTGGATGATTTTCAGGTCCCCAATGGCGACCGAGGCCCCCCGCGCCGCTTCCCCGAGCGCGACCGTGAGGAGCGATCGTCGCGGCGACGCTCCTCGCGGCGGTCGTCGCGACCGTCGCGACGGTCACGGCTCCTGGCGGTCCAAGTGCAACACTGTTATTGGTGCCATAACTTTCTTTTAACCATATGGTACAGAATATATTTTGTTTTTTTAGGGTTGACATTGTGGGGATCAATGTGGTAAAACCAGCAATCAACCATCCCAATCAACCTAACTTTATCAGTTGGCGGGTATTTTAAACCAAGCCAAAATACGGGGGTTATGGCTTTGGGCTTAAGACATTGTGACTAATTTACATTTGGACTTTAATCGTCAAAATTTGATTCACGAATCGAGAATCGAAAATTGCCATGGTCCCGTCGAATGCACGAATCTGATTTTGCATGTTGTTGGTGGTTTCAACGCATCTTAAACATGTTGAACCCCTAAAGAAACATCATCATTCCGTTTTAGGATGGAAAATGAAGCGCACTTACCACTGACCAACCAGTCATTGTCTGATCCTTGTCTCTCCAGGCGCCAGGAATCGGACGTGGAACATGCGATAACATCACTCCATTAAAACCTCCCCGTGATATGGAACAAACAGCGTGAAGTATCATGGTGATACACAAACTATAGTGATCATGTCCTATTCGTCTCTGTGAAACCTATGAAACGTTTCTGCTTCGTTCTATCACTTTCTCACTTTCGTTTCTGCTTTCATTTTATCTATCCCGTAGAACATCTGTGCCACGGTCAAAAGATGGTATGTGGTATAGTCATCCATCCCAGAATGGGAATCTTATAACGGTTTTAGAATTGGTATGTAGATCCCTAATGGATTGATGACCATCCCCTCTTCATAGTTCCATATAAAACTGTTTGGACTATATCCCATTGTGTTTCCAGCATCATTAAATCACCATTTTTATTACTACCCTCTGGTAAATTAACATAGACCCTGGCAGATAGGGGTTGGAAGACTAGTTTCCATTAAAAATTGGTGATTTTCAGGGTCTATGTTTATTTACCAGAGGGTAAAAAACCAACCTTTTGACCATGGCACAGCAATACAAGGCCTCCGTGTCTTTTTGCGGCTATCGCGTGACCTGGCGAAGACGGTGAAGAAGTGGGGTTTTCTGGAAAAAATTGAGGTAAACCTCTACATAGATATGGAGAACAACCATAATTTCAATAGGACATGTTCAATGGATATCAATGGTACATTCTCCATATCCATGTTGTTTTTGGTAGGGTAAGGAACACAGTTGACCAACAAACAAGGTGATGTGATAAGCATGAGAATAAATGGTAAACGAATAGGTTTCGTTTCCTTAGATGCAGCTGCCGATCATCAGGCAACCATTTCCTGCGGGTGCCAGGCACCCCTCTTCCTAGTGATCTCAAACAAGAGATGAAGAAATTGCATGGGCAGAGCATTGATAAGACTCAATCTTACCCTCCGGTAATAATCAAACGTGGCAATGGAACATGTCCATTTAAAGATGATTTTCCCATTAAAACCACCCTTTATAGGAAATTTGCCATTGCCACGTTTGATGACACCGGAGGGTGCTGCTTTAGATGCCACATTGCTGGGAAACTGTGCTCATGATCGCTGCCTCTTGTTCACCTGGAAGGGAACAATGCTCTTGATGCAAATGCGTGTTTACATTGTACCGGTATCCAAGCAAAGGCACACGTAGTAGAAATTACTGTTGGCAATGTCTCCTGACGGGTCAAGACGTACCGGACTGTCACCTGGTTCTGCTTCGTCTCAAGCTCGTCGTCTCTTCCGGTTCAAGCACGCTGCCAGAAGCCAATTTCACCGTGGCATAAAAAGGCTCATCTTGGGCAGCAGAAATCAGGCCAGTCTTCGACATCCTGCACAAAACTCCATTTTGAAGCTGATTAGATATGGGTTTGTCTGGAAATGGGCTGGCTACCAGCATTAATATGGTGATTTCGGAAAATTATGTTTCACACCCTTGGATTTTCCCCTATGGCATTGAAATAGGAAACTTATGATCAAGTAATGACAGTAAAACAATAATAAACCACCCGTATTTTGATGGTTGATATAAACCCATTTATGCTAAACTTGCGGATGGTGGATCCTATTGATTTACTAGGCTATACTATACCCATCTATCCCATTATTGTCAAACAAATCAGCATGCCCATTTCTGCCCAAAAAATCGACACCAGCGGCACCTGGATCGCTGTGGGCTACCACCCGGCCTGTGCAGCGTCTGGTAGGCTTTGGTTCAAAACTTGGAACCCCAATCCTGCCTTGAATGAAAATACACATTTTGGCTTATCTACAAATGAAAACATGGAACAACAAGATGGCCAATCTTAAAAACTGAGCATGAACAACTTCATTGCCAACTAATTGGTGGTTTCAACCCCTTGAAACATATTAGTCAGATTGGATCATCATCCCAACTATTGGGGAAAGAAAACATGTTCCAAACCACCAACCAGCTATTTTCGATGATTTTCCACTTTTGGTCGGTTATATCCCCAATTGGTGTAGCTTGGTTTACCTGTCTTGGTTACAGCTTTATCATGCTTCAGCCGTTGAACTTCCCCACTTTCTTCGCCTTCCGCGTGGTGGGCTCAACCTTGGAGTGCTGGACATTTCTGACTGGGTAGGATATCCCGATCGGATCATCCCATTGCTATCATCATTTTGGCTTCAATCCCCATTTTTGCCGCTTCAATCATCATTTTTGTCGCCTACCCTCTGGTAAACGTTAACAAAAAACTATGGAAAGATCCACCATTTTTCATGGGAAAATCCACGAACTAAATGGTCATTTTCAGTAGCTATTTTGACATAACCAGAGGGTATCTCATCATTTTTGTTGGCGACAACTCCGGCAACTCGCCATTTTGCTCGGTCAACTCGGGATACCGGACTCAGGTCCTCGAGGAGGACCTTTGCCTTTGCCCTTGCCTGGCGATCGTTGGTTAACAATCAATGACTAGATAGGACTTATGACAGTCATAATAGTATATCTATAGTATACTATCGAAAGTACAGCATCTATACGTATATCTATCCATCATGATGACTATCATAATTTTATGATGGATAGATCTATAGTTAGGGCGAACGTGCTATGCCTCGTTTCGTCTTTCGGGATGATCGCCAGAAATCATTTTTTGGTGACCTTGCAGTACTTTGTGGCCTTCTAGTGTTTGGCGATGTGATAACTTGATGTCCCTGGGTTTGTGAACCCAGAGACCTCGTTGATGACCCCCTGCGTTGAATCTGCTGTAACCCAATTTTTTTTGGTCACTTTTTACATCTTTTTACATAAAACCTAAAACCCATAGAGAACCCCATATCAACCCTAAAGAAACCCTACATAAACCCAAATAAAACCCTATGAAAGTGTATATAGTGAAGTACCTGTAGGGCGTAGAGCACGTGCCGCGGGTATAGTTGGATGGGGTTAAAAACCAACTTAAAACTAGGGGGCCTCACCTTGTACCCAAACTCAAAATTTCACCAACAAGACTGGAGGTTTTAACCATTTAAACCCAAAGGAAAAATGGTTCTGCATGCTCATCATTTGGCTGGTGGAAGTTCCTTTCGGCGGAGGCCCTCGTGGGGTGCACTGCCATGCCCCACTCATCCGGGCAGTAGACAATTTTGTGGTGCTTGTGGACCATCTTGGCCAAGGACGAAAAGTTGATTCGCCTCCATGATGTCCACTTCATCCTGCCCAACCTGTTCACCATCACAGTGGATGGCAGAATCCGAGATGAAGGAGGCCCCAAAACAAGCAATCCAAGCAAGGATTATTAAGGCTTGACCAATATGGGGATTACATAGTAATTACACATAGGATACAAAACCAATTGTGATACAAAGAGGGATCCCCCTAGTTATAAGTTGGTGAACGTTCACCCAGCCAACTAGGTTTACGACCATTTCGCGGCCGTGGTAAAAATGTCCATGATGTGAATAGAAAATAAGCACGCCGCTAAAGCGAACAATGATTTTGCACATCCAGCATGTGAAAATGCATCATCGTCGTTTCAGAAAACTACTTGTTTTGTTTGCACTGTCATCATCATAATGAACATCATCATCATGATCATCATCACATCATCACATCATCATCATCATCATCACCATCATTATCATCATCACCATCATCATCATGATCATCATCATGATCATCATCATGATCATCATCACATCATCATCATCATCATCATCATCACCATCATCATCATCACCATCATCATCATCATCACATCATCACATCATCACATCATCATCATCATCACCATCATCATCATCATCATCATCACAGCATCATCATCTTCAGCATCATCACTAGCATTTTTAGGATCATATAGATCGTCAGCAGCTGCAGCGTCAGTTTCTTCCTTCAGCTGCGTCCACGCTCCGCGAACACACGCGACAGTTCTTGCAAGAACTTAGCACTAGAGACTGATCCGATGGACCTGCGCCATTGGAACTGTAAAACAAGAAGAGACAACATGCCCCACCCCACCCCAACCCTTCCGTTGCGTAGCATCCAACATGTGTGCAACGTGCAAGGAACGTTAACATGCCCCACCCCAGCCCAACCCTTCAGTTGCGTAGCATGCAACATGTGTGCAACGTGCAAGGAACGTTAACATGCCCCACCCCACCCCAACCCTTCAGTTGCGTAGCATGCAACATGTGTGCAACGTGCAAGGAACGTTAACATGCCCCACCCCACCCCAAACCCTTCAGTTGCGTAGGCATGGCAACATGTGTGCAACGTGCACGGACGTTAACATGCCCCACCCCACCCCCACCCTTAGTTGCCCCAACATGGTCAAGTTAACAGCCCACTCCCACCCCAACCCTTCCGTTGCGTAGCATCCAACATGTGTGCAACGTGCAAGGAACGTTAACATGCCCCACCCCAGCCCAACCCTTCAGTTGCGTAGCATGCAACATGTGTGCAACGTGCAAGGAACGTTAACATGCCCCACCCCACCCCAACCCTTCAGTTGCGTAGCATGCAACATGTGTGCAACGTGCAAGGAACGTTAACATGCCCCACCCCACCCCACCCTAACCTTTCAAATACGTTCAAAACGCAAAAAAAGCCACTTCGTGCCACGGCCGTGCAGCGGTCGGTGTCCAACTACTGCCCAAAATCGTAGTTAGTTCTAAACCAGCTCACCTGTCGTTTAGCGGCCACTTCCTGGGTTTGACGGACACCGACACCAACAGTCTTTTCATAGGATTGAATGGGCATTTGTGCATAACACCCCATATTTGGTGGTCGTTTCAAGTCTTTCTTCGAACGCGCTTTATGAACCAGCATGGAGTATTTTTAAGTATGTTTAAATGTTTTTTTTGAATAAGGAGCACCACACAGGTAGATGTGTTGATGGGCTTTTCAGATCTTTCAACTACCATTCTCCCTGCAAATTTGCTCATCCATGCTCATCCATAGTTGGTATGATCCGCTCGTTGGTGGTGCCAACCCTATGGAAGAATTCGTAGGCAGTGTTGACTATGATTTCTTTTCAACTAAGCAATGAACATAAGACATCTTCCATACCTTCTGGGAGGAACCATGAAACATATAGTCATATAGTGGCCCCAAAGAGATGCACAAAAGATTCAAATTATCAGTATTTTCAGCAGGATTTTACACGACATGTCTATCTTTCCGGTAATTTCAGTGGTAAATTTAACCAGGTTGCCAAGTCTATCTTTACCAAATTCCATCTGTTTGTACTTTACCACTACTTTTTGGAGGCTGCCATATTCAAACCCATCCCCCCCATGGTGTGTCTCTGAAAGGTGCCACCTCCTTTGGGAACAAACGTGCCGTCCTGGCGTTGAAGGGATGGATGTGAAACAACCAAACCTGGGCAATGAACCAGGATATCTGGTTGGTGGTTTCATCCCTCTGAAAAATATGAAAGTCAGTTGGGATGATTATTCCCTATGGAAAAATAATCCAAATGTTCCAAACCACCAACCAGATATAATCAATAGGGATTCATGGCAGAAAATACTCTCCGGTTATTGAACATAGCTGTGGAACATGGTCCGTTCATAGATGGTAATTGCTAGAGGATAATCACCAAAATCCCACGAGTTAAAACCGAATTACCCCATTGACGCCAGCCAGCTCCCATTTTGGCCCTCATATCCATCATTATCCATTTTCCATGGCTTAATTTCCCTATATTTGATGGCTAAATCCCAATCATTGTCCATTTTAGCTGCATCGCATACTCTACTGCCTATCAGTTGCCACCTGTTGAACACCTGCAACATTGAAATGAATGGCTCAAAATGCCGAGAGGTGTATCTTCGGCATAACCACACCACTTCTTTTGGGTGAAGTTGCCACGCGGAAAAACACCAAACAAAACTCACCCATAAGTGGGTCCCTCAGTGCGAATTCCCGTTATGGAAAATCATCTGCAAATGAATCAACACATCGTTTTCCACAGCCTAAGTAGCAAAGAGTATGTCCCGTGCTGACCCAACATTACATACTCATGGACTTTGTTCTTTTATCTCAATGCAATCACCATGGAATAATCCCCATAAAATCTATATCAATCTCTTAGATTCTCTTAGCCAATCCTACCCTCGACAAAGATATTTCTTGGCTGGTTGGATCAATACATCAAAATTGCAAACGCTCAGCCATTGTTAAAACTAGCCTTCACCAGTTGGTCTGGCAAGTTATCTGCACTTTTTGTTTTGTCAGCTACAAACCCATAGAACACTATGGTTCACCAGGGTTTAGCCATGACCTTTAAGTTATATCATCCATTTTCGATGATTACTTTCCCAATTTTCCAGTCGGCTCACCTAAAACTTCTGGCTGAATTGAAGCAATTCATGATCCTGAAAGCAATGTTTTGATAAATTCACCCCTATCCTACCCATCATTTGACATTGTGACGTGGTGGTGCAGTCGTAGTTATAATTCAGTTGTGCATAGTGTATATATCTTGTCACATCACATCATATGGTATCATATCATATCACATCATGTCATTATCAAGTTGGTTATAAATTCCATCAGATCACCCCCAAAAACATAATATGATCATATTTACCTATATCCCATCATATCCCATGACGGTTATAGATCCCATCATATCCCTCAAATATCACCATTTTGGTGGATTACATCCGTTATTCTGGTTCTTTTTCCCAATGAATTACTACCATTCATCCCCACTGTGGGTAAAACAATGCCATGTTTACCATCCCCCAGTCATCACCATTTTTAAAGGTGGTAGGGTAGTTTTACCATTCCCAGGAAAATGGGTGGTTCCTGTTGGGAGTTCGGGTCTCCTCCATCTCACGCAACTTCACGGACAGCAAACCCGGAGGGCTTCGAGCCTTTTTTGGAGTGAGATGGCAGAAACGAGGGAAGTTATGAGATGTAAATGGATGTAAACTGGCTGTAAAATAGGAATCTAATGGGTATAGGATATGTGCTTCATGGATATATGATAGAATATGAATATACTACCCATAATCACCTATATAATCCTATATATGGAAATCAAAGGGTCATGCATCCTCGAACCGTTGAACGCTTCGAGCAACGGAGTGGGATTTAACTGGCAACACATCGAACTTACCCTATTCAAGGGGATATTAATAATATTAATATTACAACGGTTTGGTTCATACTTGGGGGAATCAATTACACATGCTTGGGAAAAACTTAATTCCATCATATATATATGTGTTTGTCCAGAAATGAGATTTGCTCATAATTTTGGATAATTTTCCAACTTTTAGGACATGGGAAAGGCCCCACTTCTGCTTTCCTCGCGAATGGGTGTGCGGTAGCCTATTTTCAGGCAAACCCGATTTTCAACTGCCTCGTAGAATAGCAATGTTCTAAAAAAAGGAAAGACATTTGACGGGCAGAATGTAACATCATTATATCATTCATATACTCAGAATGCTTGTGAAAGACAAACAACGAAGGGTACGCTGCTACACTCAACCATGATCAACCAACTAGTGGGGAAAGAAGACATCTATCATTCATGAATACCGGTACCATCAAGGATAATGACTTTGATATTTGGTTGCCCAACCAGCAAGTCAGCTGAAGCATTGCAAATGGGATAGGTTGCTTCCCGTATCCTCAGGGCGATTAAATGTATCTTTGCACTGGGCATTGGGTATTGCTCGCATACCTGCTGGCTTGTAGACTAATCCAAAACATGTAGTTGCTATCATTAGATCCCAAAATGGCAAAAATGATGGCCCAAATTAGCGAAAGGATGCCAGCTTTGAAACAAAAAAAGGCTGCTTGCTGATTTGAACAAGGCACACCATGGTGTCTCTCTTTGCGGATCAGCTCAATGGATGCAGTGGCTGCCGTGGCGATCACCATCCGTGGCTGCGCAACCAATGGGGCCGGTCGAATGAAAGAACCTTCGGGTTCTGCAGCATCTCTGTATTCGCCACGGCAAAAACTTGCATTGAATTCCAGAAGGTGGGACGTTGCCTGCGAATTCCGCAGGCTGTTTGCAACCATTGGCCAGTAGCCATATCAACCAATTTTCCTGGGATCCTTGCTTTTGCAGCGTATCTGGGGAAACACCATATTCATCCATATCATGGTCCATATCCATCCATCTCTGGCTTGAATACACATTTACATACATTTACTGCGACATTTGATTTGTTCTTCTCATCTTCTTGGCTCAATCTCTATTTCCGATGAAATCCGGTAGATGAAGGCTACAGCATTGCATGGGTTGGTTCGACCTGAACCTCCGCCGAGGTTTCCTAAAATATGGCTACGCCCACATCAGCAATTTTCATAGGCTTTTTCATTTTTGAAGCGTCCAGCTATTGGGGTACCCCCATTCGAAAAGCCGCCATCGTGCTGGGCCCTCTGGCCGTTTCCAACGTCTCGCCCAGGCTTTTGATGTCCTGGTGCGGAGGACATGGGCTACTGGAACGAGACCCCAAAATGATTTATAGTGGATTTATAGTGGAGTTACCCATTGAAAATGATGATTTAATGGGATTTTAATGGGATTTACCATATGAGATTCCAGAAACCCATAACATTTTAACCCAAACTGGCCATAGATACTACGGTGAACTCCGAAATATTCCAATAACCCATCCTATCAGAACATGATAACCGATGAGATTTTTGGGTATCATATTTTTCTTGACAAATCCAAGTGGGGCAAGGGACTCACAGATGAATTTGGATATAGCCGTTTCGGAGATCAGTTTTGGGATCGATTTGAATCGCCATACTTCAGCAACAGATTCGGATTGACCAACATTTTTTTTGTACCACGAGCCACAAGAGACAGCGGAAAACCGGCTGTCTCAATGCACAAAAAAACCGTTTCCAGGTGGACCCGACCTCTCGGAAGGTGTCTTGACGCGACCTCAGAGCTTTGGGCGGGCACCAAGTGATGCTAATGGCGCCCAGTGATGAAATCATGGTTTACCCCAAAAGGTGATGCTAATCGCAGCCAAAAGGAATGACAAACCCTTCAAAATCTTCAAACATGGTATGAACTGTGGAATATACATTGGAATAGACAAATCAAATCGAACAAAAGCACCTAACTGCGGAAACATACCGCAGTCACGCATTAATCTAGCCTTATTCAACAAAATATTGACTGGTTGATCAACCAACACATAACTATAAGTCGATTTTTACGCAACATCCAGAAAATAACCATGAGCAATTATGATTTACAGGACCCTTAGATAATCATCAGTCTAATTGGTTACAGCTAACATTCTTACTAATTGGGGGTTTCCTGAAACGGGATTACCCCCAAATCATCCATTTATAGATGGATTTTCCGTGAAATATTGAGGTATTGGGTACCCCATGGAAACCTCCGTTTAAACCATGAAAACCATGGTGCCCCAATCTATAATGGAACTATTCATCATCCATTAAACCTGATTATATCCATTAATCATCCATTAATCATCCATTAAACATCCATTAATCATCCAGTAAACTATCTATGATGGAACCATTAAACCATCCATTTATGGAAACCTCCACTTCATCAGCCGTGGCCGTGGGTCCCCGGGCTCCATTCGCTCCATGACCCGTCGCTCCAAGCGATCGTCGATGTTGAACCTGACTGACACATCCCCGGGGAAACGTGCAATCCTTTTTGGGATGGAGATGGATGGGGCGCATTGTTCATTTGGTTCTAAGCAAGAAAACCTGGGGAACTCTGATATATTCAAATGATTTCAAATGAATTAGCATATATTGTTTGGATCTGTTTGGCAGGGTTTGGCGTTCAGAACGCACGGTTGCTAGTCTGTTACTGCGTTGGTTCCTTGTGCTGCATTGGATCCTTTTTGCACAAGGCCAACACAAGGTAGAGTGCGGCATTGATTCCTTTTTTTGCTGACTTGGTTCATTTCACTGTAATAATATATTTGCGAATATGTGTTATAGGTATTTTCTTGTTCGGGTTGCAAGTCTTATTACTAGGCATGGTTTTGATAATTATGGCGGACCCTTTCTCCAAAGTGCGAAGAAAGGCGCCAGGTGCTTAGCACAGCAACAAACGAAGGCACCAGCGCGGTTGGAAGACGGCTTGCCACCACCTGCATCACCTCCTGGCCCCGATTGCACCAACGCCATTGATCCGTTGGAGGATTGGAAGGCCCGATGGACAGCTGGGTCCCTATGACCTGGGCTGCGACAATGGTTGAGGGATGTGGTTGTTTGGCCATGGCCATCGTCGCCTTGGCGGACCTGTCAGCAAAAGGCCAGACGCAGTTTATGGTCCTTGCTCTAATGGGGATTTCACCTACAAGAATGGTGGTGACAATAGTATATATCTTACAGAGGTTGTGGGGATTATATATCCAGTAGCTGCGAGGAGCTATGGTTCTATCCATATTCCCGATAAAAACTGGGGGACCAAGGAGCTAAATAATTGAGTTTCCCAACCGCATGATAGAATATGGGGGTATAGACTGTTTAGTTCCTTCCAACATGTTTCTGGCTCAACCTTGAGTAATTTTTGACTTCGTTGGCCATAAATGAGAAATGGCCAGTTGCTCACATCCAAATAGAATGCATTGTGGTACCTTTTCTGGATAAACCTTGGTATTTTATGTCTGGAATGTTTGTTTGTCATTGGATTTTTAAACAGAACCTGCTGGTATGCTTTTGGCGGCTGTTGGACTGACCATGATAACATGCGCCATTGTACAAGAGACATTTTGCCATCCAAGACTCTGACAGGACAATGTAAAGCCTACCATTATGGCCCTTACCAGGTATAAGTCAGTTAGAACCCCATTCATGGAATGATAGCCCCATGTATGACCATTTATACCTGGTAAAGGTCCATGGTTTTTTACCTCAAGCTCACTCGCCTCCTCAAAACGATTTTTTTGGGTGCATCTCGTATGATGGGTGCATGCATTATTAACCACTAATAACACGTATTAATTAACCATTAATTAACCATTATTACCTATTAATACCCATTATTAACCATTAATAACAAGTATTAACCATCAATTAACCATTATTAACCATTATTAACCATTAATAACTAGTATTAACCATTATTAACCATTAATAACCATTATTAGCCATTATTAACCATTAATTAACCATTATTAACCATTGATAAGAAGTATTAACCATTATTAACCATTAACTACCATTATTAACCATTAATAACAAGTATTAACCATTAACTAACCAGCATAAACCATTAATAACCACAAATAAGCATGATTAACCATTACTAACCATTAATAACAAATATTACGAATTAATTACCCATTATTAACCATTAATAACACGTATTAACCATTAATAAACATTAATTAACGACTATTAACCATTATTAACCATTAATGAACCATTATTAACCATTAGTGAATCATTATTAACCATTAATAGCAAGTATTAACCATTAATTAACCATTAATTAACCATTATTCACCATTATGAACCATTAATCAACCACTATTAACCATTAATAACAAGTATTAACCATTAATAACCTTTATTAAACATCAATAGCAAGTTTTAACCATTAATTAACCATTATTAAACATTGATAACATGTATTAACCAGTTTTTAACCATTATTAACGATTAATTAGCCATTATTGACCGTTAATAACAAGTGTTAACAATTATTAAGCATTAATTAACCATTAGTAACCATTAGTAACCATTAAGTAACCATTACTAACCATTAATAACAAGTATTAGCCATCAATTATCCATTATTAACCATTAATTAACCATTATTAACCATTAATTAACCATTATTAACCATTAATTACCCATTATTAATCATTAATGACACGTATTTTTCATTAATTGACAATTCGTCACCATTAATTAACCATTATTAACCATTAATTAACCATTATTAACCATTAAGAACCATTATTTACCACAATTAGCCATTATCAACCATTAATTAACCTTTATTAACCATTAATAACAAGTATTAACCATTAATTAAACATTATTAACCATTAATAAACCGTTATTAACCATTAACTCACAATTATTAACCATTAATAACCATGAATAACCATTAAGTCACAATTATTAACCATTAATAACCGTTATTAACCATTACTAAGTATATTAACCATTAATATCCATTATTATCCATTAATAACAAGTGTTACCCATCAATTCATCATCATTAACCATTAATGACCCATTATTAACCATTGATAACCATTCTTAACCATTAATTAACCATTAATAGCAAGTATTAACCATTAATAAGCATTATTAATCATTAATTAACCATTATCGGCCATTAATTAACCATTATTAACCATTAATAACAAGTATTGACAATTAATTAACAATTATTAACCATTAAAAACAAGTATTAACCATTATATAATAACCATTAATTTACAATTATTACTCATTAATGAACCATTATTAAGCATTCATTAACAATTTGCAACCATTAATAACAAGTATTGACCATGATTTAAACATTATTGACTATTAATTACCCATTAATAACCATTAATAACAATTATTAATCATTAATTAACCATTATTAACCCTTGATAACAAGTATTAACCATTGATTAACCATTATTAACCATTGATAAACAATTATTAGCCATTAATGAATCATGATTAACCACTAATGGAAACATTATTAACCATTAATGACAAGTAATAACCATTAATTAACCATTATTTACCTTTAAAAACAAATATTAACCATTAAAAAACAATATGAACCATTACTAAATGTATTAACCATTAATATCCATTATTATCCATTATCCATTAATAACAAGTATTAACCATCAATTAATCATCATTAACCTTTAATGAACCATTATTAACCATTGATAACCATTTTTAACCACTAATTAACCATTAATAGCAAGTATTAAACATTAATAAGCATTATTAACATTTAATTAACCATTAATTCACAATTGTTAACCATTAATGAACCATTATTAATAATTAATTAACCATTAATAAGCACTATTAACCATGTATTAACCATTATTAACAAGTATTAAGTATTAACCATTAATTAACCATTATTAACCATTGATAAACCATCATTAACCATTAATTCCCCATTATTAATCATGAATGAACCATTATTAACCATTAATTAACCACTATGAACCATTAATTACCTATTATTAACCATTAATTAACAATTAATGAGACATTATTACCCATTAATAACAAGTATTGACCATTGTTAACCATTAATAACAAGTATTAACCATTAATTAACCATTATTAACCATTATTCACCATTATTAACCACTATTAACCATAAATTAACCATTATTAACAAGTATTGACCATTATTAACCATTAATAACAAGTATTAACCATTAATTAACCATTAATTAACCATTACTAACCATTATTAACCATTGATGAACCATTATAAACCATTATCAACCATTAATAACAAGTATTGACCATTATTAACCATTAACAACAAGTATTAACCGTTAATTTACCATCATTAACCATTACCAGTAGTACCGCACAAGGCGGTGGCGGAAGTTTCAAAAATAGGAAGCCTATAGGAGAGGCTGGTTGTTGTGAATCAGGGATGGCAGAGCGAATCCACTGATGGACCGAAAGGTGCTTGAGGTCTCCTCTCTTTCGCTCTCTTTCTCTGTCTATCTGCCTACCTACCTATCTATGTTTCTATCTATCTATCTATCTATCCATCTATCGATCTATATAAATATGTATATATATATATATCTCTCTCTCTCTCTCCCTTTCATCTGTCTATCTGTCTACCTGTCTACCTGTCTATCTGTGGTGCAGTGCCATTCAGTGTAATGTAGTGTAGTGTAATGTAGTGTAGTGTAGTGTAATTTAGTGTAGTGGAATGTAGTGGAGTGTAGTGGAGTTCAGTTGTGTAGTTGTAGTTGTAATGTTGTGGAGTGTTGTGTAGTGTAATGTAGTGTAGTGGAGTGTAGTGTAGTGTAACGTAGTGTAGTGTAGTGAAGTGAAGCAAAGCGACATCTGAACCTGCAAAAGTGGTCCGAACCCCTAGTGTTTTGGACATTTTGACTTCGAAATGTGCTTCACGCCACAACGACGTGCACTTTTTCGACATCTCAACTTCCAAAAGTGGTCCGAAGCTGGTGTGTTTTGTACCTTTTGACTTGGAAATGTGCTTCGCGCCACAACGGCGTGCACTTTTTCGACATCGCAACTTCCAAAAGTGGTCCGACAATGGTGTGTTTTGTACATTTTGACTTCCAAATGTGCTTCGCGCCACAACGGCGTGCAACTTTTCATCTCTCATCTGGCCAGCTGGCTCCGCACCCGCCGCTTTAGCGAGCCTACTTTTCGACCCTCCGGAGTTCCAAATCATTGGAAAAACGCAGTGTTTCGCGACTTTCCTACCTTTTCGCGCATCTCCATCTTCTTTCTTCTTACTCTTCCTCTTCTACTCTTCTTTCTTCTAATCTGTCTCTTCTCTCTGCCTCTTCCCTGCTCTGCTTTTCCTCTGTCCATATTGTCGGAAGTTTGACTTCTAAACTTCCTTCGCATAACAAGTATTGACCATTATTAACAAATAACAACACGTATTAACCATTAATGAACCACTATTAACCATTAATGAACCATGAACCATTATTAACCATTATTAACCATTAGTAACCATTAATTAACAATTTGAAACCATTAATAACAAGTATTGACCATTAATTAACCATTAATAACAAGTATTAACCATCAATTAACCATCAATTAACCATTATTAACCATTATTAACCATTATTAACCATTAATTAACCGTTATTAACCATTAAATCACAATTATTAACCATTAATAACAATGAATAACAAGTATTAACTATTGATTAACAATTAATTAACAATTATTAACCTTTATTCACCATTATTAACCAGTATTAATCATTAATTAACCATTATTCAACATTATTCACCATTATAAACCATTATAAACCATTAAGGAACCATTATCAACCATTAAAAACAAGTATTAAGCATTAATTAAGCATTAATTAAACATTATTAACCATTATGAACCATTATTCACCATTTTAAACCATTAATGAACCATTATTAACCATTAATAACAAGTATTGACCATTATTAACCATTAATAACAGGTATTAACCATCAATTATCCATTATTAACCATTAATTATCCATTATTAACTATTAATAACACGTATTAACCATTAATTACCCATTATTAATCATTAATGACACGTATTTTCCATTAATTAACAATTATTCCCCATTAATTAACCATTATTAATCATTAATTAACCATTATAAACCATTAAAAACCATTATTTACCATTAATTAACCATTATCAACCATTAATTAACCTTTATTAACCATTAATAACAAGTATTAACCATTAATTAACCATTAAATAACACTTATTAACTTTTATTCACCATTATTAACTAGTATTAACCATTAATAACAAGTATTAACCATTGATTAACCATTAAAAACACTTATTAACTTTTATTCACCATTATTAACTAGTATTAACCATTATTAACCATTAATAGCAAGTATTGACCACGATTAACAATTAATAACAAGTATCAACCACTAACTAACTATCATTAACCATTTTTAACAATTAGTCACAATTATTAACCATTATTAACCAATCATGAACCATTATTAACCATTAATAACAAGTATTGACCATTAATTAACCATTAACCATTATTAACGATTATTCACCATTTGTTAACATTTTTAACCATTAATGAACCCGTTATTAACCATTAATAACAAGTATTGACCATTATTAGCCATTAATAACAAGTATTAACCATCAATTATCCATTAATTAACCATTAATAACACGTATTCACCATTAATTAACCATTAATTAACCGTTATTAACCATTAATAACAAGGTATTGACCATTATTCACCATTATTAACCATTAATTAACCGTTATTAACTATTAATATTAACATTGATTAACAATTAATTAACAATTATTAACATTTTTTCACCACTGCTCACCTGACTACATCCACATCGTTGGTTACATCCCCATCATATCCCCATATATTACCCTATGTACCCACTTATTTATCCACATACTATCAATATTATCCCATGTTTATAAGTATTTTATCCCTATATAACTTTTAATAGTTCATTTCTTTATACTTATCAGCATTAATATCCACACATTATCCTTTAGTAACCCTTATTACCCTCTGGTAAACCAACATAACTATGGAAAATCACAATTTTCATGGGAAATTTCACTATAAATGGCCATTTTCAATAGCTATTTTGACATAACCAGAGGGTAATATCCTTCGTTGATGAAGCCCTGGGTCATTCCGACCACACCACGCCTCTCGCAGAGATCTTTGATGTCGTCGATCATCCAACTGGCCAAGGTGCTTGGGGCGCCGCCGCCCTTGCCTGCCATGGCGAGGATGGTTTTGCTGCGAAAAAAAACCAGGGTTTCTAGGGATTGGTTTAAGGGAAAATCCATAGGAAATCATAGGGATCATTTCACAGTAGGCCAAAGAACTGCCATTGCATGGTAGTTCGTTTTTGGGACGGAATATGGCGGATTACCGTTCTATTAATCAACCAAACATGATGGTTTATGATAATTTAGCCACCAATCTTGGGGATATTCATCAGCAAAGACTGGACATAAATTACTCAGAAATGATGGTGAGAGATATGCATACATGTATATATATAATATACACATCCACACACACACATACAGGGTTACCCCGACTGCTTCAATGCAGATTATCCAAACTTCAAAGTGGGTTCCTCAGCAAATCCAAAAAACAAGAGCAACCATGGGACAGTTCAATGGAGATAGCATTCTATTTGGCAAAATCATTTGCAGTACGTGGATGGGAAACCCTGCAAATGCATGCAAATGCGCAAAATTGACAGGTGGACAACGTGTTTGATGCCAGTGTTGGGCCAATGGTATCCCTGCCATCTCAGTGGACGCGGTGTGTTTTTACTGGTTTACTGGGTTGATAATGCTGATATGGCAGCTACAACAATCTGGCAAACTCTTAGCACGGACCGAGTTCTTCCGAAACCACGCTAGCCTACCGAAGTCCCAGCACTGGTCATGACCTAAGTTTAAAAATCCCGATGTTCTGCAGGGAAAATTGCGCTTGCTTCTCCTTCAGGGGACTTGCCACCGGATCATCATCCCAAATGCTTACATACTAGTCGGAAGGGAAACCCAAATCTTCAACCCCATCAGCCAGCTTATGAATAATCTGGAATGTCCAGCATTTGTCTTAGTTTGGTACTATATTCCCTCCATTTGTAGCAAAAAAACTAAGACGATAAACTACCCAAACAAATTTCACCTTGAGAACAACAACAACAGCGACGACGACGACGACGATGACGACGACGACAACGACGACAATGATGAAGATGAAGATTGGCAGCAGCAAGATGACCGCTTGAGATTCGTAATCTCGACTGCTTTGAACAGCTAATGGACCGGCATCTCCAGCTCCAGCTTGTCAATGAAACTTTTCAGCATGTTCTTCTGAGCGTACCATGTCACCACAGCAAGAGTTTGCCATCGCAGCTGCAGTCGATGGATGAGAGACTCCACAGCATTGTAGAGTTCCGCTGAGTACATTCCACCGACACCTGCTGTGTCGTGCTGCTGGAATGACCTTGTGAACAGGAAAGTGTTTTAATCCTTCGTGCACCTACGACTTTCAAATCATACACCTCTTCAACAAAATATATCAACTTCTGTAGGGTTACCTTGGGGGGTTGGGGTGTTGCCTGGGGATGGGGGACCAAAGTACTTTGGGGGCTCGGGCGCTGTGTTAGAGTTTTGTGTTTTCAATCACCCGCGTACCTACAAAATATCTGCTTGGTTTGAAGTTGAAATTGGAGGTTGGGTGGGGTGGGGTGGGGTGGGAAAAAAACTTCGACAAGCAGGCGCTTGCAGGCAAGGTAGCCTCGAACTACAAAGCATGAAATCTATGGTTTGGGTTGGGGTGGGGTAGGGTGGGTTGGGGACGATGACGATGACGATGATGACAATGACGATGACGATGACGATGATGATGATGAGGATGAGGAGGAGGAGGAGGATGATGATGAGGACTAGGATGATGATGATGATGATGATGATGGTGAGAACGAGGAGGATGATGATGATGATGATGAAGATGATGACGATGATGATGATGATGATGACGATAATGAGGATGATGATGATGATGACGACGATGATGATGCTACTGATGATCATGATGGTGATGATGATGGTGATGATGATGATGATGATGATAATGAGGATGATGATGATGATGATGATGATGATGATGGCGGTGACGGTGACGAAGAAGAAGATGATGATGATAGTGACAATGATGATGATGATGATGGTGAAAACGATGATGATGATGATGATGATGATGCTGATGATGATGATGAGGACAAGGATGATGATGATGATGATGATGAGGTCGAGGATGATGTCGATGACAATGACCATGACCATGACGATGACGATGATGAGGATGATGATGATGACGATGATGATAAAAAAGATGAGGACGAGGATGAGGATGATGATGACGATGATGATGATGACAATGATGATGATGATGATGATGATGATGATGATGATGATGATGTGGACTAGGATGATGATGATGATGACGAAGAAGAAGAATATCATGATAATTACGATGATGATAATGATGATGATGACGATGATGATGATGATGGTGACGGTGACGAAGAAGAAGATGATGATGACAATGATGATGATGATGACGATGACGATGACGATGATGATGATGACGCTGATGATGATGATGATGATGATGATGATGACGGTAACGGTGACTAAGATGATGATGGTGATGAGGATTAGGATGATTAGGATGATGATGATGATGATGATGATGATGATGACGGTGACAAAGATGATGATGATGATGATGACGATGACGATTCTTCTTTTATTTTGCTTGAGTTAATATTTTTAAGGGTGACATCCCCAGATTTGCTCTAAAAATGGACACGGCGGAGCCCTTCATGGCCTCCTCCCTCAGGACATTCACGGGCAAAGTGTGGCCCACCACACCTGGGTGGCGCCGCCAGGCGCCAGGGATGGCAGGCACTTGATGAATTCCTTCACCACACTATGTGTTGATACCAAATATGGGGAACTATACCAAATGTTAAAATATATCCTTATATCAAAGTATACCAAATGTGTTTAAATACCACTTCGAAATCAAGTTTAGTATGGGGATTTACACCTTTTTATTGGACCATGGAATGGGGTGTTTAATATGAACGGGAGATGGGATGAGAAAAACCTCGGCCATTATTGGATCTATTCATTTTGGCTATCCAATATGATCCGCAGAACATAAATGGCTGTGAGTCAAAATTGTGTATGGAACGTTCCGCGGTGTTCCGCGGTGTTCCGGGCGTATGGAACGAAGGGGCTTCGTAACTGGTCTTGTTCCGGACCTTTGGGGTTTGATGAAATCTAGGCCTAGGCTATACATAAATGTAAATATATATATATACACACATATGTATTATGTATGTATCTAGTATACATCTCCAGGATATGCATGTTGAAGCTACTCACGCTAGCTGCCGCTCATTTTCGCTTCTCATCTGCACGACATCCTTGTTGTACACCTGGTCAACGCAGGTTTGCCTTGGATGGCTAGTGCGCGTACACTAGCTAGGACACAACCGGTAGCCAGCGTCACCCACTGGCTAGCATGTGAAAAATTGTCACGCAGGGCCCGCCTCCTACTCTTCAAACTCAAAGTCGCGTAGCAAGACTCTAGGCTTGCACAAAGGAGACCCGGGGAGTGGGTCAGGGGTGGTACATGGGTGGTCCGGGTCTGGAACGTGTATGGAACGGGGTCTGGAACGAAACGGCCTACTCCAGCACAGCACTGCCACCCAAAATTGGCAGTTTGGAGCGAGAGTAGCGCAGCAAGCAATTCTTAGACTGCCAGCTGGCAGCAGCCGAACGCATCTCTACCATCAAACAGCACAGCTGTGCCACAGCGGGCAGCAACTGTACCTGATGCAGGCGCAGACCTTCACACAAAGTAGGTAGCAGCTGTAAGTGCTGCATACGTATTCTTGCATGTATGCACTCATGTATGTATGTGCGCTCATGTACGTGCGTACAAACGTAAAAACAGATTGCACATGTTCTATATATATATACACACATAATAAATATATAAGAACGTATGGATCAGAGGTATGGAACGGATCCTTCAAACAGGTATGGAACGGGGGGCATGGAACGGGGGCATGGAACGGGGGTATGGAACGGGTGTGGTCCTGGACCTTGTTCCGGACCTTATAATTTGACTTGCACCCAAATCAGCAAACAGAACCGAGGTATTGCCAAAACTCAACCTGGCTATTCAAGTTTGGGGCAGGCCTTCCATTGGAAGAGCAAACCTTCACTTTTCTGGGTGTGACATGGTGTGACCTCCTCAATGTAGAAAGCACAATTTTAAATTCAGGGTTGACTCTACTTAGAACCATAAATGGATACAAACGGCCTAGAACGGCCATAACTGTGGTATAACCCCCAGGTAGTCACCACCAACGGGCGCCGCACTTGAAGCATTCCACACTTTTGCCTGGAGTGGTGCGACCCATTTAACCAGAACTAATTTTTGCTGGTTTCTGAACCCATTGATGTACATTTATCTATAATAAGGCCATAAATGGCATAGATATATAATCATAACAACCCATATATATATATTTATTACATTAATGCAATATAATCATATAATCCCATATAATCTCTAGTTACTTATGAAATAACCTTGATTCAGAATAGATTATAGATATAACTGATATAACTATTGACCAACCCAAAGAACACCTGCACATTGTGCCCAGTCTGACGGCCAAGGCCATTTCATATTTCCAAAGGTTTTTCATGCGGCCGTATATCTCTGAAAAGAAAATAAATGGAACATTCACTGGGTTGAGGGAGCGGCTACAGGAACCATATTTTTTTTGCAATCCAAAAACGTTTCTTTTGTCCAAAGGGGGCATGCCCCAACATGGCAATTTCTTCCAGAAAATGGTGATGAATCATCACATTTTGATGTCCGATGAAAAATCAAACAAGCCCATATCAGATTTTCCTCAGAGTGTCTCTTCAAACCAATTCTGGAACACCTGTGTGTCATTCCGAATTGGTGCCAATTGACCCAATGGGAACTGGTTGATTTTTTCGAGTCTCCAACATTTTTTCTTGCAAAAAAGCCGGCTGTATCATGAAAAAAACATGAAATACAAAAAACAAAGCCATCCCCAATTGCGGTTTGCTATGGAGTAACGTGGGTAAAACAGGAATAAACCATCACCAATTTCACCATAAATAGGTGGTATAAACCATTCCCAAATGGGTGGTTTGTGGCATTGTTTTAACCACATTAATCATCATTAGTCATCCATTAGTCATCCATTAGTCATCCATTAATTACCATTATTAAGCATTATTAAACCATTCTTAACCAATATTAACCATTCTTAGCATTACAGTAATATCACCACTATTTGGGATGCTGTAAGCTCAACCCCAGTCATGGCTACTGGGATGGAGGCGTTGGTTCAAACGGCGGCAGAGGCTCCAGCATGATTTGGTCGGTGCTGCTTGACCAATAGGTATCCCTTTAAGGATAGCGAGATCCCGAACAATTATTACCATCTGTTTATTTAACAGTTCGCCATGGAAAATCACCATGCTATTAACAGGTAAACCATCGAACTAAATAGGCCATCTATACCGTGGCTATGTTAAATAACCAGAGGGTAATAATTTCCAATTATCATACTGTATCATACGGTACGTCTGACTTGGACAAGCATCAAAAACTATCAGTGAGTAATGGACCTTAAGCGCCTATATTATCACCAATGAACAGGGGCATTCTTCCTGGCTCACATGGCACAATCCACCCGGTCCGCGAGCTGTGCCTTTTCCCCCACCTTTACCTTTGCTATCACCTGCCGCAGAGACCGCGGGTCATGAGGCTTGCAACTTTTCAACAAATATTGGTAAATCAGTGACAATCCTGACTGATTCCAGATGCGTTTATCTGAACATTATGGGAAAACAATGGAAAACACGATTCCATCCACTTTGTCATGATTTTCCTCGTTGACATTGACATTGCCATTTTTTTGGTGCCTATACCTAATTTTCAGACACACTCACGTATCCTCAGTGACAGGGCTCGGTTGAAGCCCGGATGGTCGGCGAGGCATCTGAGGATTCATTAGATATCTCACCAACATACTCTGGATGCAGAAATCCTGCGCCAGTTGTAGATGGTTTATCCATGTTTATCCCATCTATCCCGGAAAATACTCCCATGATTTACAGTGTTTCATAGGACTATCCAATGTATTTAGATGAATCATTAATATCATCCGATGTATAGTTTTTCATTGGAAAATCCAATGTTTTAGATGATTTATCCCATTTATCCCAATAGTTACCCTCTGGTAAACGTTTACATAACTGATGGGAAAATCACCATGCTATCAATGGGTAAATCCGCGAACTAAATCACCATTTCCAGTAGCTATGTTAGTATGTTTACCAGAGGGTAAGTTCCAATAAATCCCTATTGATCACCATCAATTCCCATTAAAATCCCATTAAATCCAATAAAATCCCATGACCAGAGCCACTAAATCCCATTAAAATCCCATTTAATCACCATAAATCACCATTGATCACCAGGTTCTTAGTTTACCAGAGGGTACCAACCTGGTGATTCGGATATCTTCCATCCACCAGAGCTGCCTTCCGGGCATTCGCGTGCAAAGTGTCCAAAGCCACCACACCTGGGCGTTCAACGCAAAAAAACCGGGGAATCACCGGTTGGTGGGTTAAACATAGAACCAAACATATGTATCATCATAATAACAACAATGTATATATATATTACAATATATATATATAGGTAAATGTAAATGTATATATATATATAAATATAAATATATATATATAGAGAGAGAGAGAGAGCCATGCTGGCTAGGGAATGCTTTAAACAGTAAATAGTTCAAGTGCCAAAGAGATTGATCTATGAGATTTCGGGAGACAGAAATGTAGACTTCAACCGCCAAAGAAAGATCAAACAATGGGAATTTCGTAGCCAATAAATATAAACCATGAAAGATCATGCGGATCTGCCCGCGATGGAAAATCGCAGGGAGGATTTCATCATGGAGATGGGGCATGTGAGCAATGTTAAACCCTCTGTGATTCCATCATTCGGGTTGGTGAAGAACGGGATTCCCGCGAATGGATTATGATAATTACACATGAATATTGGATAGAAAAAAACCTCCTGTAATCAACAGTGGCTTAGTATGATGTGTCGTGTTTACCATCAGTTTAGCAGATTAAAATGATCTTAATAGATTCGTAATCATCACATCATCACCGTACGGCCCCTTTGCAGCTAAAGCGACTTGAAGCACTCACTCTTGCCTAGCGGCGAATGGCTTTTCCGCAGTTGCTTGGGGGGAGAAAGAACGAAACACACAGCTAAAGTAAGTCTGTCCATGCCGATGCTCGGTGAACCCAGAAATTCCTGGCTACAAAACACAGAAGAGATGTCTGGCTTACAATGGGAGTTTCCATACAACAACGTAATCTGGAGAGGTTCAAGCAGTTGCGACCAATCTCCTTCAGACTTTCCTCTGAAGCAGAACATTTTGAGGCTGTACAGATCTTTATCTTCCACGGCAGTGTGAGAAAAAAGGAATCATACAGATGCCAAAAAAGGTGGGGGAAATAATCCCATTCTCGTAATACTGAAGCCCCAACATGGGACCCTAGAATGGATAGATCCAATAGGGAATGAACAGCATTCAAGGCATCAAAAAAACCTGCATGGTCCAAGACACTCTCTGAGATGGTCTTGGCTATACGAAACCACTAGAAGGATTGACAGTGGCATAGAGATTCTCATTGGACAACATCGAACTTGGTTGCCTACATATGCCATTGAAAAAACCAAGAATATCAACCAACATCTGACTCTCTAAGCGCAAATCCAGGGTTTGGCAGCTTCAACCCACGACTTTGACTTTGAAAGTCAGCTGTTCAAGTTTTCATCCAATTTTTTGGGCTGGAACAACTCATTGAAACCAGATTTTTTCAGAAAATCCCATAAACATCTGACTCACCTGGAACTGGCTATTGAAGCAGCATTCGAATGGTGGCAAAAAAAATCATTCGAAATGGTGAGCTAGGTGTATAAAGCCAACTATAACTGGTATAGAACGGACATATGTCGGATCTTTTTGTATTCTGATATGAGTCATATGAGTAGGAAAAGTTGATTGTTTCGTCACGGAAGTGGGAATCCAATGCCTTACCCGGGATGATCCAAAAGTGATGTTTCTAGAGGAAAGAGATAAGGATCCCTAACATGGGATTATTTCTTGGTGGTTTCCGCCAAATATCCTAAAATTCCATTTATCATTGTTTTCTGGCCGGAAGTGGGGGGTTAAATCATGCATTGCCGGACACAACCACAAATAACATCTTGTTAATCACTATTGGTTATATATATATATATTCATCAGATCTCCTAACTTCTTGGTTTTGGTTACTTTAGTTACTTTTAATATCATGAGATATCTTATCTATCCCCATTAATATCCCATTAACAGCCAACCGTCACCCATTTTTCTTTTCTTACCCAAGAATCTCCCTGATTTCCCGACCAAAATCTTTGACTTTCCAGTTCGCAAACTGTTAGTTTACCAGAGGGTAAACATCTTAAGCACCAATTTAATCGCTAGTAAGAAAACCATCCCCAAATGGTAGGCTTATTGGTTTACAGTTGCTTAAAAAAACACTAAGGTTTACCAGAATAAACCATAGCTTTTCAACACATCAGCTGTTCACCATCCAATCGCGCCTTTGCCTTTGCCACCATTTGGGGGTCCGTCAAGGTCGTCGCCGTCCAGATCTTTGCCTAGCGGTTGGGGACCAGCTGTGAATCGATCTATCTGTCTATCTGTCTATCTATTTATTTATTTATCTATCTATTTATCTATCTTCTGAAACGGTTCATCCTATATGGCCAGCAAAATAAATAGATTCCAGTTCTCAACCAGAGACGCTAGGCTGGGGGTTCAATATTAAGGCTCATTTTGTCCCAGAGAGTCACTGGTCGACAAAATGAGTCACGGGGATCTTTTTCGCAGCTTATAACCACCCCTACATTTTCCATCATTTTCCATGGTTAAACTTTGGATTCTATATACCAACACTTGGGGGATGTTATAAATGGCAATAAAGGGGAATCTAAGCAACAACACTGTGTTTTTTTTTACCAACGGGGATATAAAAATAGAAACACATAAACAATAATTATAACGGGATACATAGCCAACTTTGTATGTGCCATGGTCAAGTTACATCCACAATGAAATTGCGAATCCTGAAATCATGGCCATTCCACTGGTACCACCTTTTTGACCCATACCCACCCTCAACCATTTTTGGCGTCTTCCAAACATTCCGATTTTAGTGGGGCAAAATCATCATGGTCCTGAGAATTTATGGGTACCCTAATTTCAGAGCCTGAGGTTTGGTAGCAATCCCAGCCTCGACCTTTGAAGCTTCCCTTCCTGCAGAGCGCTGTGAAGAAGCTGTGGATACCATCCCATCAACCACAACTAGTCCTAATATAAAGTAGCAACGCTATAGTTTGACAATATCAGTTATAATAAGGGGGTAATGATCAATAGTCATTCATTCATCATCATCATCCTCATCCACCACAACAAATACCACTAGAATGAAAACCGTGAGTCACCGTGCCGGCGCCTTGGCTCCGGTCGACTCTCAGCCGGTGGATCTTTCGGAACCTCCCAGTGGCGACGCAGAAAACATTCCGTGCTGATCCCCGAGTCTGTTGGCAACTGGATGGACGTTCATATTTGGGTTAATGATGGTTAATAATGATGGTTAATGATGGTTAATAATGATGGTGAATAATGATGTTTTTGGGTTGGTTATACATGGCTATATTTTGTTATATTATGTTAGATTACATATGGCTATATCATATTACAACTTTGTGGCTGACACCCGAATGTATCGTTGGGTGCATCACCAATTTGGGCTTTACCACCTCGGTCTTGCTTGTATCATCACTTTTGTTGGCTGCACTCATGTTTTGCTACACTCATGTTAATAATGATGGCTAATGATGGCTAATAATGATGGTGAATAATGATGTTTTGCTGGCATGATCTTCAAGGTGAAATAGGCTTGGCCTTCTTCCTTGGTGTCGAGGGTGGTGACACCCGATGGGTTGCTTGCTTATGTCCGATTTTTCGCGGACCGTACATCATTTTTTTCGGCACCGATGAAATGGGCGAGATTCTGACATGATTTCCCCAATGTCAAAATCGACGGTAAAAGGCGAGTTCGGTGCAAGGTCCTTAAAACCTCAAACAAACTGTGCACAAATTGTGATTCGTAGCTATAATGGTGTTCGATTAACTGCAATGTCAATTCCACCCGTAGAAAAACAGAGTTCTGTTCTATATACAAATGCAACGTGCAGCATTTCTGCATGATTCGTTACATCCCAAACCAGACTTTTGCCGCCATTTTGGATGCAGTAGTGTTCCCCCAAGAGAAACCATCCATGGTAAGGTCGAGTGAGATCATCCCAGGAACAGACAGGACTTCATTGAACCCCCCAGTCTCCATCATTGACACCAAAGATGTTGACTCTATGTATCATATATATATATATATATATATGTATAGACGTATAGGCCGATACCATAGATGTTGCTTAATCCCTGATTGTTGCTGCTAATTTCTGGACTTTTGACTGGTTGCATCCCATTTTTCTTGCTTCCAATCCCATATTTCTAGAGTTTGAATCCAAATTTTCATGATCAAATCCCACTTTCGGAAGTTTCAATCCTATTCAATTCCAATAAATCCCAATGAAGTCCCAGCTAAGTCCATGATCCAAACATCACAAAATTGGGAAGAACAAGCCCTCCCCTAGCTTCCCCAACCTAGCATCTTGCGCGCAAAACAGCGCACAAAGGCGCCAAACCAAAGGCGGCCAAGTATCCAAGACCATACGCCGCCTCAATGTGGTCCTTTCCACCACCGATCGGGCCAACAGTGCCACAATGCCCTACTCACCCCGAGCCCAACAATGGAGGAAGCAGCTCCGACAGCAGCTGCCTGATTGAAAGGCATTCCAAGGCCATATCCCGCGAGACCCCCGCAATATCTCCAATGAGGGTCCCCAAATCAATAGATCCAGTATCGCCAAGGTTTGTAGAAGCATTGCGAGTAGAAACATTAAGAACGAACTGAACGCACCAGCAGCTTAGAGTTGATGAATCAAAATTGAAACCGGAAGGGTTCCAAGTTTTTCATATATACTTATTCCAAACATGCGGCAAGCCATCAGAAACTCAGCTCTTGGAGTACCCTTTGTCGCCTCTCTTGTTGATGACGAGGGGCCGAACGTCAGAGTGAGCTCAACGTCCCTTGTGTGCACATCTTTTCCTCAGAGGGCCCAAGCTGCCTGTCATTCACCCAGGTTGGCAGCGCTTCCGCTTTCGAAGCCCTGAGCTCCCATCGCTCAATATGAGGTGCCATGAACAAAAACGGCATCAACTCTCCCATTTGCCTCACCGGGCCGCAGGAAATCCGGATTAAGTCCCATGAAATCCCCATTTTCCCAATGGTTAACCATGGTTCACCCCGCCATTTTTTCCTCAAATCCCCCGGCTCATGCCATGCCTGCGAGGCTGGTGCCTGTCCCATCATGGCAGCCATCATCTCCTGGGACGGCATAAATCCTAGGCATATGTTGGGTTTTCATGGGATAATCCAGGGAAACTCGATATATATATATATACATATATATATGCATATGTTTATATGTGTATATGTATATATGTATATATATATGTGTATGTGTATATATATATATGTATATAGGAACAACATGATAATAATGGTGGTTTAATGGGACATTCATCTATAAATGGCGGATTTTTCCATTGCTATGTTTGAGTACCGGAGAGTAATTCCCAGGTTTCTGTAACTTTTTGGTGGCGATACTTGCGAAAAGATGATGTTCGAGTTAGACGTTGCGAAATTTGTCACAGTATTTACAAACTTTCCCATTACGTTCTGCGCGCAGTCTCGGCAAGCTTAAAAGGGCCATTTTTGTGGGGGTGCAACGCCACATTTTCAGACACACCCAACAATCTTATTAGTTGGTTGAGTTGGTATCTGCATGATATCCTCCATATTTGTTTCCCGCCCACCTTCATGCCGGGCTGGTTCATCTGCTGCATCATGGCACTCATCATCTGCTCCATTCCAGGCATGGCCCTCAGGGTTTCAAGGAAGATAAGCAACAGGTATACTATCTATCGTAGTTGTTTAGGGACCCAATCTTAGGAGCTCTGCGCACATGAGGGTTGCAGCAGCAAACGGAGACTTCAGCAGCAATCTTGAGGCTGATAAACAGCAAAGATAAGCGGTGTACTAACCCTCATCCATAAAAAGATTCCGTTAGATTGATATGCCCATATCTTCTTATTAAACCCTGGTCATGAAAAGACAACCACCAGCAATAAAAACCGGGTATGGCTCTGATTTTCTGGTGTGAATCAGCGGATTTTCTGTTGGAAAACCAAGGATAACATGGACACCCCCTATAACCTAAGACAAAAATCATCAGAAAATTCGCGATTTAGTCTGGATTGTTTCCCAATTTCCGATGGAAATTGACCCTTGTGAATTCCCGTTTTGTACCTGTCCAAGCTTGCATATCAGATGCATTTTTTGGCTCCTCAGGTTGATCTTCATCCATTGATGGCAGCATCATCCACTACTAAGCATTACACAGGTGCATGGGACAATCATCTACCTCAGGCTGATTCTCATCAAGTCTGCCTTCCCCAATGGATATTTTATTATCAAAATCCTGCTCACGGGTGATTTCTACAGATTCTACTGTATATTCACAATCACAATCTCTCGATGAATTTGATGTTTTTTGATGTTTTTTCACCAGACATGAACACCCAAATTTGTGGACGATTTGCCGATTCAAAATCGAATTCATGGCTGATTTGAACTGAATGATTTTCTTGTTAGCAATCCATTTTCTGGATGATTGCAGATGTTATCTTTTGCATCCCAACAAAAACTGACATGTTCCCATTTAAAATCCTGGTATCATGGCTGATCTTGGTATCAAACATGCCATTTCTGGTGGATTTTCTCATCAAAACAGAAGAGATCGAGATCTCCGACCCTTGGTCTCCGGACATCATGTTGGGCATCTGGCCGGCGCCTGCCGCGCCAGCCGCACCTGCGCCTGCAAGTAGATCATCAATGATTCAATGATACACACTATATATACATATATAATATAATATAACATAATTTAATATAATATAATAAAATATAATATAATGTAATGTAACGTAATGCAACGTAATGTGAGGTAAGGTAATGTAATGTAATGTATATATATATATACCGCCTTGATGGTTCATTGATCCAATGCTACAAATTCAACTTTCAGTGGAATATATAATATATGGTAAACCAATCTATCATCGAAAATGCTTAGAGTGCAAGGGTAAGACTATAATCCACCCACACATATATATATATATGTATATGTATGCAATATGCATCACAGGTTGCTGATTCAAGGAACAAGTGCGGGAAATTGGGTATTGAATAGCGTTGATCAGTCGAAATTATGTTTTTCCATGGTTTGACACGTCTTTTTCTCTGGTCAGCTTCCATAAAACCATCCTGTAGTCTACCTTCTGGCTGCCTGACAGACCTACTTACTTGCTACTTTATGCAGAACTCACATGTGTGGATTTGAGCTTAGAAGTAGGTGTTCCACAACCTTAGGAATTTTGGGCACAGTACCCAAAGTTTGAATCCTGTGTATCACCATGTATGGGCACACGTACATGTTGCAGAGCTACTCTGGTTGAAATACCCTGAACATGGCTAGGGCACACTGTGGTCTGTGTGTAAGGCGCGCGTCTAAGGCACGTCTTGCCAAAAGGCGCGCCGTAAAACGGTAAACCGTAAAATGGTAAATTCCATTGTTCCAGAGAAACGCCCCGTAAAACGCTCCGTAAAACGGTAAATTCCTAAATTTACGATCTGAGCGTGCCGCTTTCGGAGCGTAAAACGGTAAATTTGGTAAATTTGCAAAATTTACCGTAAGCAAAATTTACCGTAAACCCGTAAAGGCGTAATGTATCAATGTAGTGGAGCGTGAGGAAGAAGAGGCGGTAAAACAGTAAAACGGTAAATTCGTAAAGTTGTATCATGATACTACGAGATTAAAATTTACAGATTTACGGATTTACCAAATTTACCTTTGCCCGGACACAGCAAAATTCACCACTTTACTGATTTACCCAATTTACCATGGCCTGAAGAGCGGCGAAATTTACCAATTTACCGATTTACCACATGTACCATTGCCCGGAGAGCGTTCTCTCCTTAGCATCATGCCTTCCGCAGTGATGGCTTAGGGAACGGAAAAGGCTACCAAAAATCATGACCTACAAGAAATAAATCCCGGAAAGCAATTGGTATTGTTGTCACCATGGATAGCAGTCACGTGCTCTCGTGATTCAACTTTGATACCCTACAAATCGTAATCCTAGCAGGACTGTCAAAAATTCATCGAAATGGCCAGAAAAACACTGATAAATGGTCAGTTCATGTCAAATCTGTTAAGCTCTCATGTATCCCAACTAGCTAAATCCCATTGTTCATGGCTAATCCCCATGATCTTCACTACAATCTCCACCAACAATGTCCTTTTGGTAAAAATAGAGGGGCCGGGAGCTGGTTAATCCCATCTATCATCATAGAAACCTGTAACTTAAAGGGTTTTTTTCAAACCCCTCTACAAGGTGGTGCCCCCCAGTTATAAGTTGGTTTATAATCCCATTAACTATAGATATATCACCTATAAACCATAGTTATTGGAGTTATAAACCAACTTAGCTATCTAGGGGGCACCACCTTGTAGAAACCTGTAACTTAAAGGGGTTTCTTCAAACCCCTCTATTAATCAACCAACCAATGGGAATTTGGGACATCTATGATCTCCATTCAACGAGTGCACGGCATGGCCTGCTCCCGGCATGGCCGCCATAGCAGGCATTCCAGGCCTTGAGGACCAGCTGAAATGGTGAAAGGAACACTATACGATAGATGGATAGATCATATGTGCAAATATATATATATATAGTATATGTGTATATATATATAGTATGTATATATATACATGTACTGTATATAGAGATCCCCAAAAAAGATAGAACAGTGGAATCCAAATCTATATTTCCGTGATAAGTAGAAGCTTTTCGGCATCTTTTTTGGGGTTACAACTTGCCATGGAAAACCCCATTTTCCCTCCAATAACACAATAAACTAACATAGCATAACACGGCTGTAGGTTAAATGGGGTTAAATGGCTATAGTAACTATATTCTAACATAACATAGCTATGGAAAACAACCGTCATTTCGATAGGTTAGTAAATCATCGAAGTAAATGGGCCATGGCTTTCGTAGCAAATTGTGAAATTACCAGAGGGTAACCAACAACAATGACGGACAATTAGAATTCAACCACCAAACGTTGGCACCTATGATGGAATTATGAAACAGAAGTAGGCCGATTTGTCATAATTCGTTCATGGCTTTTACAGTATCTGTTTGTAAATGGGATTGATAGCAGCAAGACTGGTCTACCATTCATTTCTGGTGGACAGATCTATAGCGAAACTCAACCAACTTACGGCGCAAAATATTGCATGTTTGCATTCTGAAGTGATGGCTCCAATTTTATCATCCAAGTTATTGGTGATGTTATTGGTGATTTTGTAGTGAAACCAAGGAAACTCGTGCTGATTTTCGACATCCTCCTGGGGCTTACGATGCAAAAAGAGGAACCAACTGATTTCAAGGGAAAAAATGAACCAACGAATGACTGGTTGGTGGTATACCTACCCCTCTGAAAAAATATGATAGTCAGTTGGGATTACTATTCCCAATATATGGAAAATAATCCAAATGTTCCACACCACCAACCAGATGATATTTGGATGGCCATCCACTTTAGTACACAAGATGATCAGAACTTCTGAGACTCTGGGCTTACCAAGTTCAACCAGCTTTGCAGGATTTGTGCCCAAACTCACTAGGTTTACAAACATGGGCTTGAACATCAGCCACTACGGCAATTCTACATAATCTCCCCAAGTAACATAGATCCTGCCAAATGGGGGATTTTTAAGACTAGTCTTACTTGGTATCCTTCCAGCATAACGTATGCCTTATTGGGATGATGATCTCAATTCACTTTCAACTGTAGAGTGGTTGTTCCAACGCTTCTTTACCAGTTGTGAATTGACGATAATTGACGTGGATATCCTGCAAGAAGCATGAATTCAAAGATTTCAACAGAATATACATATGACTATATTTCATCAAAAGAGCACTAAAAGGAACCATCTTATATACCCTCTGGTAAACGTTTACATAACTATGGAAAATCACCATTTTTAATGGGAAAATCCACGAACTAAATCACCATTTTCAATAGCTATGTAACAAATTACCAGAGGGTACATGCCATTTCTTGGTTCAGCATTCTTGATGGTCACACTGAGTCAAACTCCCATGTGGTCGCCGAATTGGCTCGATACTGAGCTCACGCACATGGCGAAGCCGCCTGGGGTGCTGGGTTGGGGTGAACTTTCTGGGGGCGGCCTCGGAAAATCCCATGCACGTCTCTAGCAAAATCATAGGATGAGGTCGTCACTATCTTGGAGAATCTTGTCCCACGAAAGACATATGGATATGTATATATATATATACATATATATATACATATATATATATACATATATATATACATATGTATATAATTATCTTCAATCCATGCAAAACTACTGGATACAGTACCTGCGTTGGTGACAAATCCAGATCACAGAGATCCCGTCTTCGCACCTGGTGGAGGAAAACCAGTGCCCTGCCTGGAATTGTGGGTGATGTTCGTCCCTTTTTTGGGTCCCTTGGAATCAAACCAGTGCCCTGCCTTCATACCTTTCCTGGAATTGTGGAAGTATTTTTTTTGGGTTACCGCGGTATGGAAAGGACATGCTTTTCATCGCAAAGCGGCTTCAAAACCCAGTTATCCGGCTTTTCTTGTTGTCAGGACGTGTTTTGTCCGGCCAATTGCAGGCAAGATTTGTTTAAACAATGTCATATGGGAAATTGGAGCCATTGGCCAAGAAGAAAAAAACAACATCCAACAGCGATGTTGGGCCTGACGAACAATCATTGGATGATCCAAAGCGGGCTTTGGTATCATTTTGGGATACCAGCGCATGAAGATTTGACCCTGTTCATATACGTGCATGAGATGTTACAGGAGTCTGCAGATTTGTGATGTATCATGAAAAAACACGCATAAAAAGAGAGTTTAGGAGATCTTTGCAGACAAGAAGAATTTGATTGTTGGTTATATCCCCATCATATTCATATTGCATTCCTGCTTTTTGGGAGAAAATCCATGAAGTCCGCTTGTTCATCATCATGTTTTCATGCAAAACAATGCCAATTTTGGGTGTACATGGGTATATCCCATTTTCACACACACGCACACCCAGACTTAGTACCAAACCATCCAATTTTTCTCGGTGAGTCATCTTCAGCACATGGATCGATCCATCAGATGGAGAGGCGAAACCATGGCCATTGTCAGCTCTTTGATGTGGTAAACACCATATGTCTGTAAGGTTTATAAGAAATGTCTGTAAGGTTCAAATGGAGGTTCCATAAATGGGGGATAATAGTAATTATACTAAAATTGTCTAATGTCTAATGTTGGATGAATAATTGGGGTACCCCATTTTTGGAAACCTTGAAATGATCAAATTAACATCAGGAGAGTGGTCCAAACCTTCTCCTTCCACCCTCGAAATTTCCCAACGGCAGGACTGGGTGCTCCCAACATGGTCACGATGTGCACAACTCCACGCGCCGCGTGGCTTCAGATAATTCGGTGACTTCCAGTGCTTTTTAGCTAAGAATTCCTAAAATTTCCTGAAAAAAAAAGGCATGTATTACCCTCCAGTAAATTAACATAGACCCTGGCAGATAGGGGTTGGAAGACTAGTTTCCATTAAAAATGGGTGATTTTCAGGGTCTATGTTAATTTACTGGAGGGTAATGTATTGAATCAATTTCTTGAATGTAGGAATTAGTTTCATGTCAATCGCTAATGAACGTATTGCTCGCATTGATTTTTCACCATGATCATGGATTTGTTCAACCGACATGGGCACGAGTTCTTCGCAGTGCATGTTTGTCTCAATGCAGTTGCAGGTGCTGAGCATCGTCCTATTGTCAACCCAAATTCAAAGATACATATTCACACATGTTTGATAAACACATGAGATCTCATGCGAAATGCCCATGACTGTGGCGATTCTGATCTTATGGCCATCGTCACCTGAAAAGGCGAAAGGAAAAAGGCATTGGTGAATCCAACCGCAGGGTAACACCCAGGAAACTGGCGTAACTTGGGGAAAACGTGGCTGGTCACGTTAGGTGCCTGCAATGCTCAAACAAACCAAAACCATCATTGCAATTGGCAATTTCCTCCAACTTTTTTTGGGTTTTGTAGTGGAAATCTAAGGGTTACAGTACCCCCCAAAAAATATCAAAAAATACGGCCTTCTTAAGGCGCTGTTCACCACCATCAACCCATACGAATACGGCTTATCAAATCTTTCACCATGTGCACCAACATAGCTCAAAGTACCATCAAATCTTCATCAAAACCATCCCTCGCTTTAGCCACCATTTAGCCATCATTTAGCCAGGTTATTTCACTATTTTTATCTATTTCTGGTGTGGAAAGATGCGCCTTAGCACATAGCTGACATAGCTTTGTTGTGGAATCCATGGCATATCATAGGGGGTCCCTGGTGAATCCCCCCCAATTTTTTCACGCCGCGGCGTTCGATTCGTTCGATTCGTTCGATTCGTCCACAGGTCCCAGCTCCACCTGTCCAGCCCTCAGTGCACCGGACAAAATAGGGTTTTCAATGGGAGGTTTCAATGAGATTTAGTGGGTCAGAATGTTTGCCCTATAGAAAATCACCATGCTATCAATGGGTAAATCCACTATTTCTATGGCCATTTTCAATAGCTATGTTAAATTGCCAGAGGGTACAATGTTTGTTTTTGGGATTTTAAGGGTGCTTCAATATGTTTCAATGGGGGTTCAATGGTGCTTAAATTGGAATATCATTGGGAACAACTACTCCCCAAACTGGTGGTTGAGCCACCTGCATCCCCAATTGCACAAATGGCAATGTATTTGGCCAATACAAAGGGAGGTTTAAGGAAGACAAAAAGATAAAAAGGACATTGAATCCAGGGTTAAGAGTAAGAATATGGGAACAAAATAACAACAAGTAGTTGATTTAATCAACGAAAGTACGGACTTCAGCAAATGAAGGTCACACAGCGATGTGAACCAATAAACAATTGAATTCAAGTGGTTTTTAACCCACACAAATGGCCGCTTAGCGTATCTCTACCCCAAAATTGTTGGCTTGCACCCTCCACAATTGCCTTGACGGGCATGCTTATTTCTGTTGGCTTTTAGCATATAGTTTTACAGCCTTGTGTATATATATATATATACACACACACCTGCACACACATATATATATATAACATACATACATATACTACGTATATATATATATAACATACATACATATACTACGTATATATATATAACATACATACATATACTACGTATATATATATATAACATACATACATATACTACGTATATATATATAACATACATACATATACTACGTATATATATATAACATACATACATATACTACGTATATATATAACATACATACATATACTACGTATATATATAACATACATACATATACTACGTATATATATATAACATACATACATATACTACGTATATATATATATAACATACATACATATACTACGTATATATATATATAACATACATACATATACTACGTATATATATATAACATACATACATATACTACGTATATATATAACATACATACATATACTACGTATATATATATATACATACATACATATACTACGTATATATATAACATACATACATATACTACGTATATATATAACATACATACATATACTACGTATATATATATAACATACATACATATACTACGTATATATATATATAACATACATACATATACTACGTATATATATATATAACATACATACATATACTACGTATATATATAACATACATACATATACTACGTATATATATAACATACATACATATACTACGTATATATATAACATACATACATATACTACGTATATATATATATAACATACATACATACATATACTACGTATATATATAACATACATACATATACTACGTATATATATATATAACATACATACATATACTACGTATATATATATATAACATACATACATATACTACGTATATATATAACATACATACATATACTACGTATATATATAACATACATACATATACTACGTATATATATATAACATACATACATATACTACGTATATATATATATAACATACATACATATACTACGTATATATATAACATACATACATATACTACGTATAGTATAGTAATCATACATACATATACTACGTATATAGATATAACCATACATACATACATACTACGTATATATATAACACATACATACATATACTACGTATATATATAACAGACAACAATACTACGGTAATATATTATAACATTACATACAGAACACGTAAATATATAGAACATACATAACTATACTCGGGGTATACATGTCTATATATATATATAACATACATACATATTACTACGTATATATATATATAAACATACATACATATACTACGTATATATATATAAATCATACATATACTACGTATTATATATACACATACATACATATACTACGGATATATATATACACTACGTATACATACATATACGTAGCTACGTATATATAAAAATACATACATATACTACGTATATATATATAAATACTACATATACTACGTATATACTATATAACATACATACATATACTACGTATATATATAACATACATACATATACTACGTATATATATAAATACATACATATTACTACGTATATATAGATAACATATAAAACATTCCTACTACGTATATTATATAACATACATACATATATATATATATATACATACATACATATACTACGTTATATATATAACATATACTACATATATATAACATACATACATATACTACGTATATATATATATAACATACATACATATACTACGTATATATATATAACATACATACATATACTACGTATATATATATAACATACATACATATACTACGTATATATATAACATACATACATATACTACGTATATATATAACATACATACATATACTACGTATATATATATAACATACATACATATACTACGTATATATATATAATATAGGCACATATACTTACCTAGTATGAGCTGTAAACATCCCCAGCGAGCGAAACGTCAGCTGTGCGACAGGGACAGGTCTTCGCCAATGCGGCGACGCCGAGCTTTGCAGCGCCGGTATTGGAGATAGCACAGGCCCAAGAAGATCAACCTGGAAGGGGCTGGGAAAAAACACTGAAAATTAAAAACAGTACTACTGGGGGATTTACTTCATGATATTTCATGATATTTTGTGATAGGTTTATTGACAGATTCTTGAACGTTCAGGTGTTTTGCCAGATTCTTGAACCAAACCGGTGCCAAGCGACAGAGCCACGCTGAAGAGAAGAACCTCTGCCACAGTCATCAGTTCCTCTGTCGCCTGGAGGATAACCAACCCCTCATTGGGGGAGATCGCCTCCAATGAGGAGTGTGGGGTTTATTAACCAGCAACAAGCACTTTTTGCAATTCTTGTGGGAGAAAGTCCTTAGCAGAACTAGACCATAGACATCCAGCAGGGCCATTGATGTCCTAATCATCATGGGGTCCAATGTCCGGATCTCCCGGCAGTGTCGCCATGTTGGCGCACTGAAACATTCTCGATACTAAACATCTCTTTTCAAATTGGTTGCATCCTAATCCTACTACCAGCAGTATCTTTACCAGAACAGTACTTTTACTAACGACTAGAATTTAGGATTAGACACTATTGGTAGTGTTTCATCAAGGATTTCTTGGGGAAGTCCTTGTCTGCTTTGCCTGTATCATCCTAGCTTGGCGGGTTGTTTGACAAATAAATCTCTATGCATTTTTTGTTGGTTTCATTCCCATGTTTGGTGGTTAATTGTCCATATCCGCTGGGTCAATCTGCTAGATCAATCCCCGTTCTTGCTAGTTGAACTTCACTTTTTCATGCTTTAGCCACTCAGCATATTACCCGTTCCCTCGTTCTGTTGCGTGTCAACTCCCCCAGTTTTTTTGTCGCTGGTCATGTCAAGTTCGTCGCCGGCACTTCCGGGGCTGCGAGCATCGTGCCTTAAGCTCTTGATGCTTCTTCCAGAGCTGGTCTTCTACGCCTTGTTTCGCCAGACTCGAAACTCGTTGATTTGATGCGGCAGAAGTGTTGATGTTTTCGGGGTTACACATCGCCAAACATGGTGCTTTTTCAGAATAGGAACTACAGTAACTTGAGGATTTTTTAGATCTATTAATTGTTTACCAACAAGAATCTGGATGGTATCAACAAACATTGGGATGTGATTGGATATGAACAGATCCCAACCCTTTAGCACGCACAGAAAATCAAGATAGAATCAAGGTGTCGCAAACAAACGCGAGAATGCCACGGAACATCTCTATTTTACAGGTTCAATGGGGAGTTCAATCTCCACAATGATGGGACAATGATCTGACTGCATGTGTTGGCATAACTTTCTAGGAACAAAACATCAGCTGCTTGCTGGTCTTTACCAATCTGAAAGAGATCCTGTTTGGTGATTTCATCCCAAACAGCATTTGCCAATTGGGATTACCATCTGGTTGTGACTAACATAGCCATGGAAAATCCCTTATAAATGGAGGCTTTAATGGGAAAATCATCTATAAATGGGCCATTTTCCATGGCTATGTTAAATAACCAGAGGGTATCATCTTTTTTTGCGGGTGGTGTCACATCATGAACATTATCAATCACTTGGAACACCAGTGATTATGCTACACCTCACTCAGTAATCATTAGAACCATTTGACTTTCACCCATCATTGTCAATTGAGAGCAGTCCATCAATACCCTCTATTGAAAATGGTCAGTTATAGTGGATTTTCCCATTAAAAATGGTGATTTCCCATAGTTATGTTAGTTTACCAGAGGGTAATTTGGCTGTTTTTGAGCAGTGTTCAGTTCACCTTCCGTCATCTCCCAACGTACTAGTTGCTCAAGAACCCGATTTCCACTTTGTGACTGGGTTTATCCCCCCTTAAGCCAGTGAGCATAAACATGTATTCATGTGTGCTTATATATATATGTATATAATTATATATATATGTACTTATTTATTTATTTATCTATTTATTTATTTATTTATCTATGTATATATATATATATGTATGCAAATGCCAATAATGTAGTATCGGGATATTGGCTTAAATCCTGGTACCCTGGTTTTTTTCGGTGAAGGACTCACTTGGTAAATACGAAAAAAAATGTCCGATGGCGTTTTTGACCCATCCCGTAAAATAGCAACAGGGGTTCCATCGAAAATCCAAGACTCAGTATTGCTTGCTGCTCGCCTTGGCCGTTGCCATGGCTTCATGGTAAACACCACTCATATGCAGGTGAAAACCGGGGTTTATGGACGGCAGTTCAGGGATGAAAGGTGGCCCCAGATGAAATAGGATATGTTTTACCCTCTTGATCTGCTGAAAAGCATACACTCTAGGTCAGCTCAGAGTCCAGTGAAGATTTCCGCGGGGAACTCTTCATCACACGGAAGGTTGAAATAATCAGACTGTTTTCGGAACCCCGAAGATAGCCATTTTGGGCGGAAACACCCTTTTTGGACAACCTCACATGTGAGGAAGGTCTGGCCACCCTATGTATCAAAGCCGCTCCAAGCTGAAAGTACTGAAAGAGATATTCTTCTTTTTGAAGGACCGTTTCGGAAATAGATGGTCACGATTTGCCCTTATGGTTGTGATTTTTGTGCGGCCTGCATTTTGGCATTTATTCTTGGGGTGTCCTATGGGGGGATTGGCCGAATCTGACTTTGGCGGTGGGGTCTGCGATGCGCGAAGTCACTGAAATGCCGTAGAGCAAAGTGCAAACCGCCTCCGGCCGTCACATCATGTGGCATAGGTGGGATCAAAGATATGGGTCTCAAAAAATTGGGTAAACCCCTACAAGATGAGGCCCGCCAGGGGCCTAAGTTGGTTTACAAAACCATGAGCTAATGTGTTTTTGGGGTCTATTTATATCCTCCATATCTCCCCTAGTTAAGTAACTTAGAAGTAAACTTAGCTATCCAGGGGGACTTACCTTGTAAATGGCAATATTCAAAACCGGAAAAGATGGTGGGGATTTTGAGCCGTTTTGGTCCAGGACTCCTGCTGACATGACATTCCCATGCCAAAAAGTCCGCAATGAATCATCTTTCAGGCCACTTTTCGAGGCTAAAAATGCCAGTTTTGATGTGTAATCTTCGAGCATTTTGATATGTCGATTCAATACCCGCTTTCTTCAGGATCTTTTAGATGTTATGATTATATCTTGGGGCCAGCTACCCCAAACTGGGATGGCTTGAGGTAAAACCTGACCTGGCACAATATCACAATTTGACCCATCTCTGCCCATTTGCCCAATGTTACCATCAATGTATGTGCCATGATTTTCAAGTATTCCATAGCCGTAAAATGTTCGCACGTCCGTCCTGATCCCTCTCTACTTGAGTACCACAAATAGGAATCTTCAGCCCCTTTTGTTTCCAGGTAAATCACCATAAGTTTCCAATATCTACGGGGGACTCCGGACACCGTTGCCACATTTTTGGATACTTAAAAGTTAAAAGCCACCGAGCCCTCCGCACCCTCTCGCGGCACTGGCCAATACACTCGCTGCAACTCACCTGGGGAACGACTGCTGAGCCCATGAAATGGGACAGATATGGACAGATTATACTCTAACTATCTTCATCTTATGGCTTATCGAAGAAATATTAGGAGGATTGGAGTATCTAACAAATCAACATTGCTTCCCTTTACTATTAACAAACATGTTTCTCCTAATACAACCCTTGGAGATACATGGTTTAGTAAGTTTAGTATTGGATCTGCTCTAGGGGCTGCAAGAGTATTTAATATTAGGGGGGACAGGATTATGAGTGGACTATCAATCGCTGGGGCTTCATCAGCGCAGATAGTGACGGAAAATCTTGGAACCGAACAAACAAATAAAGACCAGCAGAGCCCCAAAATGGAACTGCTGGAAACCTCCAAACTGAACATTTGTACGTCAAGATTGCTGGCATGGATGCGGAAACAATAAGTTGTTTTGTTTTCTTTTTGAACACCTCCCGAAGCCTTTGGGCGTAGGTCGAAATTCAAGACCAAGAGATCTATAGTAGCTTTGGTGAGTTTATGCCACTTCGGGTCATTTCGACTTTTGTCCATCTATTTGGTGAGAAAGTAGTCCATGGTCACCCTGCCTCGAATAGATCCCATCAACGTCCACTCTGCAATCTTAAAGGTTATAGTCATAGTTGTGCAAGAACACGCATGACTTAGAAGAAACATACTACACAACGAGGATCCCTTTGGCATTCCAGCTCTTCGATTTTCATCCTCATGCATTTCAATAACCTGGGGGCGCAGAAGTTGTTTTTTTGTTTTAACCTCTGGTAATCAAACACGGCAATGGATTTGTTCCCTTTGTAGAAGAGAAAAAGGTTCGCAGAAAAAGCTCCATGGATAGAGGATGCCCGTTTGCCATTGATAAAGAGATGAAAACCCTATGAAATCCCATACTGGTTGGTGGTATACCTACCCCTCTGAAAAATGATGGAGTTCGTCAGTTGGGATGATGAAATTCCCAACATATGGAACATCACCATTTTTAATAGGTAAACCATCGAACTAAATGGGCAATTTTCCATGGCAAGCTGTTAAATAACCAAAGAGTATCCCAATAAAATCCCATTAAATCATCATTTTCAATGGGTAAATCCACTAATAAATCCACTATAAATCCACTATAAATCACCATTTTCAATGGGTAAATTCCTATGAAAAACCACCAACTAGCTATGAAATCCCCATGAAATCGGAAGGGTAACTAGCCAGCCATCGGATGGTCGTGATGGTCGCGATGGTCGCCGAGGAACCGCATCAAACTTGGTCACGTTGTCGCAGAGCGTGGTGCCCAATCTCCTGCCGATACGGGATTGACCAGAAATGGGGCATCCGGCATATCCCTTTTTATGATGTTTATTGGCATTCAAACAATGGGACACTTAAAAGTTCTTAACTGGTAAAACATCAGATTTAAGGGACCTTCAGGGGTTTGATGATAGATGTCCCCACAAAAACCAACAAAAAGGAACCGAAACATGGTCATATCCAGGAGGAAACGCATATCTCAAGCTTTTCTGTAGAACAATCTATTCACTTTCGGTCAAATTTCTATTTTGCGTGCAACTTTTCAGCGGCTCATCCGTGACTCTTGTCAAACAAGTCTTATAAAATGTCTTGTCAACATGGCCAATCTTAAAGACTCTTCAAAAAGGATATATATATATACACACCTAGATCTTCAGATGAGCAAACCTTTCTGTACTTATGTACCTTTGTCCTAATCGAGCGGAAATCTCAATTCAAACACTTTGTGGATCCTCGAGCGTTCTTTGCAGACACCTGGTCCCAACGCCAATTGGTTCAAAATGGCTGCTATTCTTCGACCTAGTTTTGGAAAACGGGCATATTTCAGATTTGGGGGCCACTTGTTAAAAATTCATTCCAACTCTTACAAACATCAGGGTGCAACTTTAGGCGCAAATAAGCGCAACCGGGCTCAAAATTCAAAAGTGCTCTTTTTGATCATCACTTCAGGGGTTTCCTCGAGCACATTTTGAACTTGAGCTTCATTTGGAAACCTGGTTTGGCTACTTGGATGTGTGTGCGTGTGTGCATGGAATGGAAGGGAGCACATTTTTCAACCTCGAGCATCTGACCCCTTAGTTCATATAGAATTTTCTAAAAAACAAACCTTTCATACCTCGAGCGGAAAATAGGGTGTTAATGGAAAACTAGGTATATATATATATATGTATGTATGTATGTATGTATGTATGTACATATGTATATATGTATATAGTATATATATACACGTATATACACCATTATACACCCATGTATTAATAGGGCAAAAGATTCACGTATACATAAGTATACTCTCCTACCCAACCAGCCAGTTATTCCAGTCGAGCCGCTGCACTGCACTCTGCGCAAAGAATTTCTGCCACTTCTCTTCCCCTTCGTCGGAACCTGAAGCATCAACGCGTCAAAGTTGGTGGCGTACTTGGGTGTGGAAATTGGGGCGTACCACCAAAATGGCAATTTTATCGGCAATTAAAACAAGGAAACACATTAATCATATATTAATGCCACAATCTTGCCTCCTTTGGATGGCCCTTGGCAACGTTTTGTCCTGTGAATACTTTAATCTTTTGCCATAGGTGCGGGTATTGGATAAGCCAGCTAGAACATTGAATTTTTGCAGGGTGTCTAAGTTAAGGTTCTGCAGGCTTTTTGCTAGCGACCATGCCAGCAGAAGGCATTGCAAATAGCATTGCCACTAGCATTTCCAAATCAACCGAGGTTGCTTTCATGCCCACTTCCGGGTGTTTACATCCCAGATTTTGTTGTATAAAAAGCCACCAGAAGACATTTTTCTATTGAAATTTACATAAGTTGGAGCAAATCCCCAATGCCTGAAGAAACGGATCGAACTACTACTGACGGATGCTACAGTAAATTGGTTCATGAACATATTTAGAAGGAGGCCGCCTTTTCAGGCGAGGATTTACGGAAACAGAACGGGGCCACCATCCTTTTCTTTGATTGGTGAATTTATGGGTTTGTTCAAAAATGGGGATGTCATGATACCATGCCAAATTGCAAGTTTAATCAGATGACCATCCTCCAACTCTTGATAATTGGTTACGCATCCCGGCCATGAAATATGCCTATCCCAGCAGAAATCTCCATTCTTCATGCGGTACTTTTCATTAAACAAAACCTGGATCCAACTACCATGGCATAGGTAAGGGGTACCCCTACAACCTGCTGCCATGGCACCATCTGCAAAGGAGAAGGCTAAGTCTCGATACCTTAGCCACCCATGGGACCCATGGGGTTTAAACAGCAATGATGGGGGTCCAACAAAGATGAATGTGGGCTGAACTAAGAGAAATGGGGGTGTAAGATTTTTTGTTTTTTTTTCCCCCCCCCCCTCTCTCTCTCTCTCTATAAGGCGGCTTATGCTTTATGGTAGATATTACCTATATATGGTTAATGGGTTTTATAGCCAGGGCCCACTTTGCATGATGCACTCGAGAAGGGCAATGGCACCCGAATAGCAACCAGGGTAGAAGCGTCATATCACTATTTCTAAAATGGGTTTGTCTGAAAATAGTGAGGGAACAAGGTGGTTTAATGGGATATGATAGGGATATAACAGAGAGATTTAGCCAGCTCACAATAATCAGCAGGCAGCTACAGCCCCCCAAATAACAACTTATATAATGGGGAATCTGATGATTGACCAATGGATTTGGAAAACGCCATTGACAAATGCTGATAGTGTCGGACTGCAGTCCCATTTAAAGTATCTGGAAAAGTATACTCATGCTCCAACGTGAAATTATGTGAATTTCCGATGTTTTCCCCTTCAAACAATGTGTTTACTACGCTAGGGGTATCTCAAAGCCGTTAGCTTTCGCTTCAAACTGGACTTTTTTTTCTGATTTCGGGGCCACCCATGTGAAATCTTTTGAAACTACCAAACAACTCCTTCCAATGTGCGAAGTATCTCCTTCCAATTTGCGAAGTATCACACAGTCCAGTCCCAGACACGCCAGATTACTCAGACTCTCCACCAAAGATGGTGGGGCAGAGTATTCCGAGGTAAATTCCGGAGTCTCCTGCGATCGGCTCCAAGCCAAACATGGCCAATGCGAGGGGGATCTGTTGAAAATGGTGGAAAAATATGGAGAATCAATGGTGATAAATGGGAGAATCATGTCGATTAATATGGGATAGACTTAAGATCTTAAGATTACCTGGGAATCATTACCATAGCTGGAAAATCCGTCATAGTTCGACTTTCAAAGTGAACCGCCATCTTTGTCAAATCATGAGGATCATCCGATTTTTTTTCTGGTGGTTCATGGTGGTTACCCGGCCTGGTAAACATAAACATAACTATGGAAAATCATCATTTCTAATGGGTGAACCTGAATCATTGATATCCTAATCGACTTAATATTGGTACCCTCTGGTAAACGTTAACAAAAAACTATGGAAAATCATCATGCTATTAATGGGTAAATCTGCTATTTCGACTGGGGCATTTTCAATAGCTTTTTGTATGTTTACCAGAGGGTATATCCCCACTTTTTCTTGGCTCCCATCTATGTCGCTTACGGGTGAAATCCATGGTGAACTCCCGTTAAATTCGTAAAAAAATCTGGCGTTTTATCCCAGACATCCCCAGACTGGTTTGCACGTTGCAAACGGTTGACATTCATGAAATTTACCCTCTGGTTATGACTAACAGTTCGCCATGGAAAATCTCTTTATACATGGAGGTTTCTAGCTGGGAAAATAATCTATACATGGTTATTTAAACTAACAGTTCGCCATGGAAAGATCCACCCATGCTATTTTCAGAACGGTGTTTACCATCGAAGTAAATGGACCATGGCTTCCATGACGAACTGGCAATGTCATAACCAGAGGGTAAATCAAATAATTACCCGGACTGGTAAACATGCAAAAAACTGATGGGAAAATCACCATGCTATCAATGGGTAAATCCACGAACTAAATCACCATGTTCAATAGCTATGTTGAATTACCAGGCCGGGTACCAATTTTTACTTGCCACCTTCTGGTTATTCAACATTGTTCAACATAGCCATGGAAAATGGCCCGCGAATAGATGATAAAAATGATGACCTATAAAACATGGTGATTTTCCAGTTTTCTACGTTTAAAGAACCAGAGGGTAATCATATTTATAGGGCCCCTATATCCCAACTTATGAAGGTTATTCCAATGTTTATACCCAAACCTCCACTGCACCCCCAGGTAGGCTTACATTCCATTTAAATTCCCATGGTTAATATCATGGAATAAAATACCATATCCGCATAGCCTACTCTGGGGTGCAGTTGAGGTTTTTAATGGAGATATACGCTCTATATCCCTCGGGGGTATATACCCACTATGAACAATTATTAATTAACCACTATTAACCATGATTAACCACTATTAACCATACTTTTCTTGGAAACATCCTCCCTGTCCTTTGAAAGGTCAGCCCAAAAGCCCTGAATCTTCGAGAGCTGCCCTTTGCGCAGCTGCAGTTTGTAGAAGGCCCTGATCTCGTTGGGCAAAGGCATGATTTAACCAACAAAAATGGTGATTTCTCCAGGAAAAATGGCGATTTAATGGATTTGTTTAATGGGAATTTCAAGGGTTTCAATGGGGATATGATCCGGGATATAAATTGTCTTTAGAGTAGTCGGGGGGAACATAAGGATATTTTATGGTATACATGTATATATATATATATACATACATACACCATATACATCCATATACACATACATATTTGGCTCTGAGCATGTAGTATCCAGTGGAACCCTTCAAAGTGACAATTTTCCATGGGGGAAATGCTGATTCCCAGATGGATCACCAGGTCGGCAATGGGTTCCGTTGGAGATTCAACCAGCACACGGGGCTTCCCGTTTTGGACCAGTTGGGAGGTGAGCCAGCCGAAAAAAATAAGTGGAATTCATAAAGAGACCAACCATGAAGGAACCAACAATGAAGGCTCGTTCATGCAGAAATTCAAAGAACTGGGAGATTCTATGGAACTTGAAAGAATAGAACTTGAAATCGGCCTGTGATTCACCAAAGATTCATCAGTGGATGGGTGAACAACACTTCAAGGAGACGAAGTCTTTGAGTGAAGCCATTGAAATTCCATTGAAACATTCCAATCCAGGTTCCAGTGCTTGGTTCGTTCTGAACACTCCACCTCTGATGCTTCCAAAATGATGATGTTCATCCGCATTCTTGATGGTCAAATCTCCATGTTCGGTGGCCTGCCATCCATCTCCCCAAAGCGATTTCAAACAAGGGGCGGGTTGTTGTCGCGCACAGGACTCACAGAGGCAAAGAGCCTTGGTTGTCTTCATCGCCCTTGATGCCAGTGACCGACTTGGAGGATCCCACGGATCGCAACTGGTGAAAACACCCCGGGTTAAGAAGTGCCCGATTCCCTAGATGTTCGATTTATGATGGGGCCAACTAACCCTACCAACTACCAAGTGGGGTAATCCTCTATCTGTGTTTTGTTTTTAAGGGAGCTTATTGGGAAGATTCCAAAGGGCCCAAAAAATGGGGTCGACTATTTTTTGCTGTCTTGAACTCAACGGAACTTTCAAGTTGACAGGAATATATGGAATATTAAATTGGGGCTGGATAAGGATTTCATAGGAATTTAATGAGGACTTAACTGGATTTTGAAAATGATTTGATCTGGGTCCATGTTCAATTTCAACCCATGAGGTCTGAACAATTCTTAATTTGGAAATATTCCTCCATTAAGATGAACAAACTACGTTTTTTCCAAACATGGATATGTTTTGATGATCCATCCGAAATGTGGCAGTGATACGACATATACCCGATATTGGGGCCTCATGAAAAGGGCCAGTACTTAACCAGGGGTTTCTGCGGACATTGTACCATCCCCTAATCCATGGCTATGTAATCCATTAATAGCTACATAATCCAACTTGTGACGTCTTTTGACCATGGTACATATTACAGTCGTGCTGCCCCTGGTGCCTGCGTCAAATTTCACATGCCTTTCTGACACTCGGCGATCGACTTGTTTAGTTGGGTTTCACTTGAAATGGGATGCCAGAACAACCCCAAAATTTCATAGTTTACCATGGTTTAATTCATAGTTTAAATGGGCCTACCCCAATATTTTCATAGTTTACAATGGGTTTACCAACTTCATGTTTATTTTCATGTAAGCCTTAAAAAAAAGTTGGTTCCCTACCATTCCCACCATTCAATGGCCACCTTTTAATGGAGTGCATCGACCGTTCACAGCTCTGCAAAAGTGCAGCCAAAGAGCATCAGTGGCGGCGAGGAATCCTTCAAATCCTGGCTGTGACTGTAGCATTGGACCTCTGGATTTTCTTCACGGGTTCCCTCCCTTCGAGAAAAACGTCCCCATAGATTCCAAATTTGTGGATATCTCGTGGCAAAAAACAAATCACTGACTCAGCAAAGCAAGGAAATAAATTGCGGGTCATCACACTTTGGCAAACAAATTTAAAGAAATCAGAGCGGCAAATCAGCATTGGCCATATAAATATTTACTATTAAACATATTCATTCCTCTTGACTAGGGCCTGATACTCTCCTTTTAATCGATGGGATTCCATCCTCTTGCCGGAACCCAAAAGGCAACGAGCATATCGGAGGCAAGTCATGGCATGAAAAATCTCCGCTGTCGATGTGAAGTTGGCAAATCACCTATGTGGGTTTTAGGAACCATCATGATTAACGGAGGATGTTGCTCAGCATTTCAGTTGTATGACTCCAAAAAATCAAATAGACCATTCTTGATCTACAAGTAAGTACCTCCCATACATGAGTGAACCTACTATAATATTACTAGAGCCAACTTTATTCATCCCAAATGGTCATTTCGGGGTTTGTTCCCAGCCATCCCAGGACACCGCGAATGGTTCCAAGAGTCCACCACTCGGAATTCATCTCCTCAGGGTGCGCAGTTTGGGTTCTCGTAAATCAACTATATGTATTACGCACTCACAGTCAAATGTTTTGAAGGCCAATCGCAAAATTTACATTGCAGCCTGCTAGCCACACCAGTTGCATTTTACTACATACTAGTATGTCTTGACAGGCTGCAGCCGTTCCTTCCCTAACATGTTGGCTGCAAGGGAAAGCTGCACCAATTCAAACCCTTCGTTTTTTTCCCCAAATTTTCTTCTCATTGCCGCACCTAAGATTTCGGCCCGAGATCCGAGAAAGCCTTGAGATGACCCAAAAAATTGACACTTTGGCAATTTCATATCTGGTTGGTGGTTGAGCCTACCCCGAAAAATATGAGATCGTCAGTTGGGATGATGACATTCCCAATATGATGGGAAAAATAATCCAAATGTTCCAAACCACCAACCAGCATATCTTTTCATGTCGCCTTGCCACTCACCTATGTGGCTGTGAGTCAAAATTGTGTATGGAACGTTCCGCGGTGTTCCGCACGTATGGAACGAAGGGGCTTCGCAACTGGTCTTGTTCCGGGCCTTTGATATGCATGTTGAAGCCGCTCACGCTTGCTGCCGCTCATTTTCACTTCTCAACTGCACGACATCCTTGTTGTACACCTGTTCAACGCAGGTTTGCCTTGCATGGCTAGTGCGTGCACTAGCTAGGACACGACCGGTAGCCAGCGTCACCCACCGGCTACCATGTGAAGCTGTCCACTCAGCTTCAGACCTGTCACGCACGTCCCACCTCCTACTCTGGGGTAGATTGTGTCCCCGCGTAGCAAGATTCTTAGACTGCCAGCTGGCAGCAGCCAAGCACATCCCTACCATCACACAACAAAGTAGGTAGCAGCTGTAAGTGCTGCTATGTGCGCTCATGTATGTGCATACAAATGTAAAATCAGATTGCACATGTTCAAATATATATATATATAGTTAAACAAAAAAATAGTTATATATATATAATATAATTATATGTATAATAACGTATGGATCAGAGGTGCGGAACAGAGGTATGGTCCCGGACCTTGTTCCGGACCTTATAATTTGACTTGCACCCATATGGCTTGAAGCGCTGCAGGTGTTTGAACACATCTGCGTAGACCTCCGTCCTCTCCATATTTTTGTCTGGGTGGTTCCATGGCCTCTGCAATTGCCTCGTGAAGGATGAGCACTGCCTCATGGTGGAGCACTCTTTCTGGAACCTTATGGGATACAGTTGAACTGCCACCTCTGCAATCTGATCCTTGGGAGAAGCCCTGTCTGTGTTTGGCCGCTCCATTCTTGACCTCACTGTGATCCTCCTTTTGGAACTGCTTCTCTTTTGGGTAAGATGGACATTTCCGTGGTGGAGCTGGTGACTTGTCCCGTGACAGGCAGCACTCGCACTCCAAGAGATTCCCCATGGCTCGGGTTCGAAGGATGAGTGCAACAGTTCAAATCGAAAATGAAGCATGCTTTTCAGGAACGAAACTTTAAGACTATGGACAGCCTTATGGTTCAACCGTTCCAAATGATTTGCCAGGAGCAGGCCTGAAACCGTAAGCGGTATCAAGTGTTAATGAACTAACTCTGGTTTCTATCCTTCATGGCTCACAATTCTTTGGCTGTGATGCAATAATGCTGCTTCGAGACCTGTTTCCTGACAGTCATGGCATGCAAAAATTGACCCAGTTCATGGCAGCTGATCCGAGGATGCAAAACCCTAGATCTAACAACAGATTCCACTACAGCAACCCCCGAAACCAAGAGATTTTACATGATTTTCCTACGCAAAATTGCACGTTTTCTGCATCTTTTTGGGTGTTACTATCGCATTCTCGAAGATCACCTGCTTTTGTTGCCAAGGATCGGTGGATGTGTGAAAAGAACTGTCCAGCAATGACCTCTCGGTACCTGGTTCTTCAATGGGTGGGTCGAAAGCTGAAAAACCACATCTGGATACATCTGGGATATAGTGGAATTTCTAGTGGCATTTATTCTGGAATATGGATGACTACAGATTTAGGGACTAGAAATGGGATCTACCCCGATTAATGGGATATAAACCAACCTTTGAACGAGGATATAATGGCGATATAATGGGAATATATCACCAACATGCATCTGAAATTGGTAGGTGAAAACCCACTTTATAGCCATGAAATGCGGACAATGATCATCTAAGCGATAAAACTTTTGCTTTTTCCCCTTCTTCAGACAAACCCACATTCATGCTATGATGCGAAAGATATATGCTCTTTTTTATACATCATATATGGGCATGTCTGAAAATGCTGCAGTATACAGTATACCTCAACATATGGCCATACATATTCATGGGGAAGATCATTATTCACCATGAATTCAACAGAGAATTTCGCAACATGTTCACAGAACAATGACATATCACCATACGACACCCGTATGGAAAATCCCACATGACATTCGATTTTCACATTCGATGATCCGATCAACAGCCAACTTTTTTCTGGTGAGTCTGCCCCCGGCGATGAACGGATTAAAGTATAGTTTTTGCCAGTTGGTTACCCACCTTGTTTCATCATCAAGTCCCAATCTTCAGTTCTTAAATCGCTGTTAAATCACCGTTTCTTGGTCAAACCACATCACTCTGATGGCCATGTTCTGCCATATTTTGCTATGGCCTTTGTGCAGTCCCAAGGTGCGTAGACATCAGGTGCCAGTACATCACCACGAACTTCTTTTGCCACCTTGGACGGCCCGAGTCATTGCGGAAGCACCGAAAACTCATGGGATCATGATTTCGGATCATGGCGGAGAATGGTTGATACTGGTGGAACATAATTCAACAATAATTCAACAATAATACTGGTTGATAATGGTATAAATTAAACTATAAACATCATTCAACAATCAAGTTGTACCGAACTATCAATTCACTCAGTTCACCCGGTTAAAGTGAAAGGATCACCCAGGGACACCTGGCGGACAGTTGGGCTGCATGAAAACAGCGATTGGGAACTACCAAACGCAGGACCTTGGTTTTTGGTTGTTAGTTAATGTTACTTATATCACTTATATCCAACATCCCTGGTTTATTTATCTCTTTGCACACGATGCCAGCTTGTGTTCCGATTCGACAGCCAACAAATGGCTTTGGTGCAGTCTTGACGGACAAAACCGGATGGTTACCACCAATGCACAGCCGTTTACTTGTCCATTGCTAGCGCTTTTGATCTATCTGACCCAAAGTATGTTAATTCCCAAACTGGAAACCAACAATTTTCAGTATGATTCCCAAACGATAAAGCCCATGATGCGGGCGTTCTCATTCGCCCAACATACCCTCGGGTAAACTAACAAAGACAAAAGGAAAATCCGTGGTTCCAGGAAAGTTCTGTATGAAGGTGGGTCATATCTACTCTCTGGTAATTCAACACAGATATGGACATTCCACTAATTATTTGGAGATGATCCCATCTTTTCACCTAAAAAGTTGGGATATGGAACTGCCATGTTAAATTACCAGAGGGCAAACAATCACAGACATCCTGAAGTCAAGCCACAAATCCGTTGAGCTGTAGGATGACAATACTGGAGGGATGTGCCCCGCAATGTAAACCTGGAAAGAATCAGAACAAGGGGATCTACGCCTTGATTTACCCTCTGGTAAACTAAAATAACCATGGAACATCGCTATTTTCAATGGGTAAGTCAACTATAAATGGCCATTTTCAATAGCTGTGTTAAATCACCAGAGGGTAGAATGAACAGTGTTCAAAGTCCACTTTTAAAATGGGGGAATAAATCAACTATTTCCGGACATATTCTGCGAATATCAGCAACACTATGGGGATATTGGTATCCAAATGGGTTTACCTGAAATGCAATCCCTTTAAAATGGCCTGTGAAAGTACATGATTTGTCGATCAAACACGCCGGTTTTCTATGGCAAACGGTTAGATTGTCAAATTGTACACCTCCTCAATCTTTGTATGGAACCCCAATTCGATGGTTGTGCAAACCCAGTTTTTTTGGGTGAGAATCCGTAAAATCTTTTTACCGTTATGTGATGTGGAACCACCAAACTTGGGGTCTAGAAGATGAGATTCCTTTTGGATCCGTGTAAAATCTAAGCGCATGCAGAAGTGCAGTTTTCAGGAACAATACCTGGGCATGAGCTATCAATGCTTGGAAATTACCTGGCTAAGACAGACCAGATAGTCATTCCTACCAGTGGTTCATGAGGCTTCCCACATAAAGTGAACCTAGAATCCCGGTGAATAGCGAGGTAGTGTGATCCTATAAGACAATCATTTCTGTTTCACATCCACAAAAAATTGATGATATTGGCTGGATTTGGTTGGCAAATATCAAGATGTTTGGATATTTTTCATGGGCAAATTACTATTTCTGTATCTCGGTGGTCTGACCACACTACAATCTGGACTCTCCTGGAAAATTTCTGGTGGCATAAAGGGGATTGGTGGATCTTGTCCCTCTCTATCCTCTGCTAATCAAATTGGAAAACCACCTGTTTAGTTCGATGCTCCCAGTGCATTGCTCATTCAGGATTTACCAGCTAGCCCATGTTTGATTGCCAGGTAATTGTCTTGTGACATTTGCCATTTTTGCATTTTTTGGATGGTTCATCCGATTTATGGCTGTTCTGGGGAGTGTTTATTGGGGCCCATTTGTACAGAATTATTATTAATCCATGTAAATGAAGGTTTTTATTACCCATATTATTGGGTTTACTTGGTTTCTGATTAGATCTACCTACATTTAAAATTTGCAGGAAAACACCCATATTTCATAGGAAAAACCATGGTTTCCTGTAGATTTTCCTCGACAATGTTTGACCCGCCCCCCTGGAGGACGCTCCAACCACTCTCCGCACCTTGGTTTCTGCCTTGACAGCTCGTTTCAGCTGGTCTTCCTGCCGTTTGGGGATGGTAAAGATACCATCTATGGCAATATTAAGGAAGGTATCTTTAATGCCAACAACCTTCCTTAATATGGTAATATCTATGGTAAAGATACCATCTATGGTTGATGGTTTAGGATTTACCAATGTTTGATGGCATCATGTGTCACAAGTAGTCTTCCAACCCCCATACTTCCCAGGGTCATCATGTTAGAGGGATGGTGTGCCACATTCATGGCAAGAAAAACGCTAATATTACTGTACAGTGCCAAAAAGACATATGAAATCATACTACACAATTTTAGCCGTTATGATTAACATGGTTGTGGAACAAACGTGGCCAGGCATGAGAAACCTTGATCAACAAAAATCCGGCGGAGGTCTGGGGTATTGCACGGACTGAGTCCAGTTGCAAACAAGGTTATAACTTCTATAACCTATTATTCTGGGTAAATTATAACAACTCACTAACCTGAAATAAGACCATAGTGAGGTCGCAGAGAGGTCGTTATAATTTACCCAAATTAATCTATTACAAACAGGGTGAACCATCACGTACCCAAATTCGAGAAGTCATTTCATGACTAAAACCAGGGGCTCTTTTGATCTCCGGGGTATGCGGGAAGCCTCTAATTTTCTGACTCAGTGATCTTCCCATTTTTAAATGTCGATTGTAAACACACCCCGAGTTTAGAAATAAGGGAGATCCTATTTCAGCAGTGACCAAGCACGCTTTAAATTGGTATCCCTTTGTAAGCAAACCAGAGATATCTATGGATCAACATGGATAAAAAAACGTATTGTTGTGGTAATAATCCACCATAAACCAATAAATGATATCCCCAGTATTGTTGATTCAAGATCCATTTGAGTGTGAAATAAATATCTATCTTTCCATGAAATACTGGTTGGTTTAGAACGGGATTCTCCGTTCTTGGATTACTAAAATTCCCAATATATATATATAATATATATTATATAATATATATTATATTAAATATTATATTATATATTATAATATATATATATTATATTATATAATATATATATATTATAATATATATAATATATATAGTGTATATATATATATATGTCAATTTGTTGGGTAGTATAACCAACTAATCATCAACCAACAGGGGGTTAGCAGCCACTGCTCATTTGGGAGAAAAAACTGCCCATTTCGCCAGAGTTTTTCCATGGCCAGGTCACTAGCCACCCGAATTGCCCGAAGGGGTCGCTCGCCTGGCGGGTAGAGCTGGAACTACGAAGTTGGAGAGTCAGATATTGATGGGGACAACAACAATGTCATGTTTACCATCCCCCAGTCATCACCATTTTTATGGGTGGTATGGTTACCATTCCCAGTCATGGATGGTTTATGGCATTGTTTTAACAAGATTAGTTCAAATTATCATGTGTTTTTTCTCTGCTTAAACAAAAGATTCTTCGCACCGAGCATCTTTGAATCCAGCTAGTTTTGAGCCACAAAGGGAAAAACCAACCTAAAAATCCAGATGAACCAATTCCCAACTCAGATTATCCCATCGACCATTGAGTCATAGCCAGGGATCTTAATCCATCACCATCCAAGTCCGAGTCATAAAGGGGCCGCACAACTGACATCATTTGTTTCAATACCCTCTGGTAAACTAACAGTTTGCTATTGAAAATTGCCCATTTTTAGTGGATTTACCCATTGAACATGGTGATTTTCCATAGTTTTGTAAACGTTTACCAGAGGGTAAGTTACTATAAACATGGCAAACAACCATTGGTTCAATGCCACGGACAAATTCCACTTCCGCAAACTCATTGGAAAGAAGTTCGAAAGCGTGCAGGCAACGCAGAGCCGCTAGAAATTCAGGCTTGTGCTCCCAAGCGTGCCGCCCAAGTGCCTCTGCCAGCGGCCATGAGAACACAATTGCCATGTGGTCCATGTGCTCACTTCCTGTGCTCGCATCTGGCTGGGTGAAAAGCTCAGGCTCCCAGCTGAAAGCCGCGAAGCGTTGCAGGCGCTCCAGTTTTGCATCACATGCTACTTGGAGTGTGGCCACGAAGTCTGCAGGTACCAGTGGAAATGGCGAAGGCCAGAAGGAAAGAAAGAAGGGGCCTGGAGCAAAAAGAGGCCTGGAACGGGGCACCATGCGGTGCACTCCGTTATGATGTCTGCCACAAAGCGATCCAAACACGCGTCAGGGGAAACGGTGGAGTCTATGTGTGACCTGATTTTATTGGGGGCCATCTGATGAAGCCCAGTTGTGACCAGCTGTTTGTCTCAAAAAAGTGGGAGTTCGCCCAATTTATGGCCTTTCCATGCCTCTCCTTATTGGGGAACATTTTGATAAACTACCGGATCCAGTGGTACCGGATATTTCTCGACAACGCCATGAGGATTCAAACATGGTGCTGTACTGGGTCAACATGGTACAAAAGGTACTGACCCATAAAAACTCATCAAAGGAAGTTTAGGGGGAGAAACTTCCGTGTTACGGACTTTTAGAATGTCAGGGAAAGAGTTAGTCAAAGAACGAGTTAGTGAAAGAAAGAGTTAGTCAAAGAAAGAGTTAGCAAAGAAACAGTTAGTCAGGGAAAGAGTTAGTCAAAGAAAGAGTTAGTGAGGGAAAGAGTTAGTCACAGAAAGAGTTAGCAAAGAAAGAGTTCCTCAGGGAAAGAGTTAGTCAAAGAAAGAGTTAGTCAAAGAAACAGTTAGTCAGGGAAAGAGTTAGTCAAAGAAAGAGTTAGTGAGGGAAAGAGTTAGTCAAAGAAAGAGTTAGCAAAGAAACAGTTAGTCAGGGAAAGAGTTAGTCAAAGAAAGAGTTAGTCAGGATATATGAGGTAGTCAAAGAAAGAGTTAGCAAAGAAACAAGTTAGTCAAAGAAAGAGTTGGTGAGGAAAAGAGTTAGTCACAGAAAGAGTTAGCAAAGAAATTGTTCCCTCACTGTAAATGGGATTGCAAGTGGTGCTGGTGGAGGAGTTGCCGATGGAGTTTTGGAGGAAGTCTCGCACGAAATGCGTTTTTGAGAGATAGCAGATGCACGAAACCCTATGTTTTCCCATACAAAGTCCGTCCCCGAACCTCGATGATCTACCTCTGCGGTGCGACGGTTGCGAGACGGTCTCGTGTGTGGTCGGATCATGCTCGGATCATGGGCGGATCATGCTCGGATCGGTTCCGCATTGTAAATGGGGTTTCAACTGTGTTTCGTCCATGTGCGGTCGACAGAATTTCATTGTGATTTGCAACTGTAGGATCGTTCCCGCAATGTAAATGGGATTGCAAGTGGTGCTGGTGGATGAGTTGCCGATGGAGTTTTGAAGGAAGTCTCGCACGAAATGCGTTTTTGAGAGATAGCAGATGCACGAAACCCTATGTTTTTTCATACAAAGTCCGTCCCCGAACCTCGATGATCTACCTCTGCGGTGCGACGGTTGCGAGACGGTCTCGTGTGTGGTCGGATCATGGTCGGATCGGTCTCGGATCATGGTCGGATCATGCTCGGATCGGTTCCGCATTGTAAATGGGGTTTCAACTGTTTTTCGTGCATGGGCGGTCGACAGAATTCCATTGTGATTTGCAACTGTAGGATCGTTCCCGCAATGTAAATGGGATTGCAAGTGGTGCTGGTGGATGAGTTGCCGATGGAGTTTTGAAGGAAGTCTCGCACGAAATGCGTTTTTT